AAAGGTAGAGCTTAAGATGGAGCTACTTGTCTCTAGGCTGTTAATTTTTTCTACCAGATTAGGTAAGGATTCCAGCTTTTTACCAAACCCTGCAGATTTCAAGATACCTGAAAATAATCACAGACAAAAAAGTAAAAATGAAGTCTGAATAATCAAACTGCATGTGACATATTTAGTAGAGATGGTCTGAGGTTACAAAAGAATGAATTGTAATTAATTAAAACACTTTTTTTTTTAATTGGTAAAAAAGTTTCTACAGATAATGTACTCCTGAGTGTGTCATACACACCTGCCTAGTCACGCACAAAAAGCTGTGACCTAGGGCTTGCATACATGCTTCAGCTCTTATGCAGCCAAACATCCATGGGGAGGAAGGATGGAAAGAGCAGCACTGGCTCCCAGTACTTTAGTTCCTCTGTCTGTGTCACATTCCAGGCACAAAATCCTTGCCAAAGTGGTGGCAGAGAGCCAGAAGCACATCTACAAACCCACCAGCTACCTAAGCACATTTATTTGTGAATAGTGTTGTTCTCTTTGAAATTCTGAGAGAATGCTAAGGGGTATAATCCTAAATAAGATGCAAGCCTGAAAAGTGGTATTTACCTTAGGAGAGTAAGACTAGGTACAGCTGAGCTCTCAGGAAAGAACTGCTGCCTAAATATCCAAATCAAGCTCCCCACAGCAAAGATGTCTCTGACACAGCTTGGCAGAGGTCACTGCAGCCTCAGGGTAAGAATCCTCTCCAATGGTGAATGTAGATCAACAAAATAGTTCAGATCATAAGACCATTTCTAAAATCAATATCCTGATCCTTCCCCCTTACTACACTTTGCACCACACAGCAGTGTTAGGATGCATAAACTAGACTCTTTTCAGATTAAACTGAAGATGTAGCTCAGGTCTCCAGTTGCAAATGGGAATTCCATGGCATCAGACTAGAATCAGTCTGAAGTAACGCCTTGTCAAAAGAAATATGGGGTGTATTGAGCCTCCATCAGCAGCAAGTATTTTTCTCTACACATATATTCTTCTCAAGCCAAATCACAGATTCACCTTAATCTTTTAACTTAATTTTTACCATTAAAGTATCTGATTTTTTGGTGGGCGGGGGGAGGCAGTGTGGAGGTGAGAGGGAAGGTAACCTCTATTGGACTGTAGGTTCTTTATGAAGGGATGATAGACAATTCTACCTCCACATTATTGGTGTTGCTGACTGTAGGTAGGATGTACACTGGATGTAGACTTCAAAAGTAGATGGTTAAAGCAGTCTTCCATGTTAATCGCTTGAAATGATACTAAGGTTTGAGAAATTGGATGACAATAAGCAAGTAGAAATATGTAAATTGAAAATCAGTTGCCCACAGAATGCAGAACATCATTAAAAACCATATAAAATCTTATAGTTATTTGAACATGCCTTAAAATCCAAACAAGTTTTCCCAAATACAGTAAGTAATAAAATGCAACTGACATGTAAACAGATTTTAAAGCCATATAAATTTCCAAAGAGAGACTTTCTTCTTTGCTGAATTCTGTTTTATGGAGAGTTTAAAGTTACTAACCAAATGAAAAAATAAATGCTTTTCATTTCTGTAAGTGCTTGCATATCATAATAGTTCTTAAAATATCCATAAAGTTTTCTCTTTCTCCAAATGAAAGTGGTTTTCTCCATTCTGATATGGATGGAGTCTAGTCTGTGCTTTAAAACCTTTACCAATATATTGAAGCTAGTTAAAACTGATGTTTTAATTACATTTTTATGACACTTCCCACTAGCAAAAGCCTTTGTACAGATGCTGGTTCATAAAACTCATGAAAGCTGAACCGTCAAAAGCACTTTTTTGCAAGTATGAACTGCATCAGCTCTGGGAAGGGATACCCACATAAGAGGAAAAGCCTTTATTCAAATATAGTAATGCCAGTAAACCTGTGGGTATCACAGGAAACATCAGGGAGGGATACCAGCACAGTAGAAATGGGAGCACATGTTTCAGGAGAGTCTACAGTCAGACTGTTAAAGGTCCTAAGGTGCAGGTCCACATGAGAAAAAGAGGTAACAAATTCTTTTTAGCCAGGCTTTGCAGCAGCCATTTTCTGCCTCCTACTCTCTCATATCAACATATGCAACAAAGATATTTCAACTCACATCTTCAACTCAGTAGGAGTGCATGCAACAAGCAGTTATCAAGGGAGGACTGTCCTCCAGACCCCACAGGTTCCACAGTCAGTGACCCATGTCATCTCAATGGATAGTCAATGTTAAAGGATGGTATACAAGACCTACAAGCCATATTAGGTCTAGATAAAAACAAGTTCCATGCTAAAACATAGTACTGTGAAGAATATGGAACACCCAGTGGAATTCCTTGCTTAGAGGTGTTGTCTTTCTGTTGCAAGAAAACTCAGTAGCAAAATCTGTGTGAACACCTGTTTCTGATTAAAGGACTACAGTGTGAGTGATGCTGTCTGTGGTTTTAGTAGGGGGGAAAATTACCTTCCAAGCACCAAACAAGGTTTGAGGTGACAAGACCTCTCTGTGATGTGGCTGCTAGATGAAACCCTTTTGCTTTGGTAGTTTGTGGTTAGAAATAGCTTAAAGAACAAATGGCTAGAGGTAGGGCAAGAAATGCTTCAAAAAACTGCACACAGTGAGGTGATGCTTAGAGGGAAAAGATTCAGATGAATGTTTAATGTTATCAGAAATAATTTTTCAAAAACTTAATCCTTCAACTCATCAGTTTTTTTCTCTACTAAAAATTCCATTATGGATAAGGATCCCCACCCTAATTCAAAAGTATTTTTAAAGGTCAAAATGCACTCTGTGTTCACATCACATACCTCCGGAAATCAGTTCTCTACTACACAACTGTTTTGCAACTTCATCTATTTTCTGCATGTAAGTCATCTAATAAGGGAACGGCAAGGATCTGGGGCAAAAGTATCACCTCTAGTAGGCCCTGCTTTAGGGGTGAGAAGATTCTGTGCTTACAAACAGAGGATAAAATACCAGTTATATGCAATTGTGAGAAGCCAGTCTGTGCTGAACTTTAGCAAGGTTGTTACTAGTGATGCTCCTATACAAGTGTGATAAACAAGTGTTTTATTTCAGTTTGGGCATTTCCATTTATGGAGATACCCTCTTTCCTGGGACGATTATTCAATTGCTGGACTTCCTGCTCATCCTGAAACCTTATGTCATATAATTTAGTTTTTATTCAGCATACAGATAATCAATTTAATTCTTTATATAGATTGCCCTGGTGCAATTACAATTACTGTATGTTTGGATCTAGTCGATAATGTTGGCAATCCAGCATTCCCTGAGTGCAGTAAGGCTGGTGCAACATATCTGTCCTTATTAGGCAATTTCCTGTGCTAAAAGTCAGTAGTGTCCTCCAGCCTATGGAATATAGTTTCATTCCACTTAGTAGAAGCCTCTCTATATAAAACACATGTTTAATATTTGCAGAAGCTGCTTAAGCTATCTTTCAGTGCGCAGTGAATCAGATAGCATATCTTCCTTGCTCTGAATAGCCTTGTTAATAGACACACAATTTCCACAATTGCTTTTATCACCTATTATTCAATTACCCACTGTAAGATTTGTGTGTTCACTCCCTTCTCCTCTGTTTACACTGAATTTTATCATCAGGGTGTTACTTTGCTTCTCTCCTTTTCCCCCAGGTAGTTTGATCACTTCCAGGCTGGTATCCAGGAGGACACTTGAGAACCATCTCAGAAACAGAAGTGGACTGTTAAGCAGTTTGCTTATTCCCAGGCTGAAGTCAAGAGTTCATGGTATGAATTAAGGAAGAATTAAATGCTTATGCATGAACTAATGCTGACGAAATCTAGTCTGAGGCTTCAAGAGTTAATATCCCATCATGTTCTTGATATTATCCCATTGCTAATATGGTTTGCTTGTGGAGCTCCTGAGGGTGGGGAATGAGAGGAACTTGTGAGTGGCCTCTGGTTTTACCAGTGTATGAGGGAGGAAGTCTGGAGTGGTTGAAATTCCCCCTTGCACACAGATCCAGGTGAGTGGTAAGCAGGCTGCTTTCAAAAGCAGAACCTGTGGCACATGGGCATAGACTGAAGGGGAACAAACCAGACAAAGAAACTTCACTTTTCCAAGACTTTAGTAACTAACTGCAAAGCAAGAAGGCATTTTGCAGAATGAGAGCTCTCTCCCCTTGTAGCCAGGCCCCATCCCCTACATCCTGTCCCATGCCCCACTCACCTCTGCCCCTGCCAGAACCTGTGTATGAAGGGCATTTGTTCAGTGCAGCCAAATGCCAGCAGAACAGTGGGATAAAGAGAGGGGAGAAAATCAAGTGAGCAGAGCTAACACAGAATCTCTACAAGGTATTTCTGCACCTGACTCTTTGAGCAAGAGCCTATAAATCTTGTTCTCTATTCACTATTAAAGGCACCCAGGACCTGAGGGAAGTCATCATGAGGGACATATAATACTTTCTCCTTTTCCCCACTCACTTTCTCCTTGCAGGAATTATGAAACAAAAGAGTTCACAAAAAACAAACAAGAAAGAGGACAAAGAATCTTTCACTGAATTTACTCTCATGAAAAGCTGATGAGAAAAGTCTCACAGGCATAACTTCAGTGTTTTGTAAAAACCTAATGCTGTGTATTTGAAACTGCATACTCTTTTTTTCCTACCTGCTAAGTATTGCCACACAATTTCAACACTGGACTATTATTAATGCAAGTCTATGCCACTGCTCTGGCCCCACAGAAGTTGTCAGGACTGTGTCTATGATCTCTTATTAAACCTGAGAGCAGCACCATGGTTCTGGTTCATGTGCAGTGGGAAGCACACAGCCTTCCCCCGAGTGCTGCTTGTTGATGCAGGCTCTGGGCTGCTGATTGTACAGCAAAGCACCTGTCCATGGCTGGGGCAGACTTCCTGCTGCAGCGCCACAGCTCCCTGAAATGAGATTTATGCAAACTGGCTCAAGTGTGATGTCACAGCGCACTGATAGACCCAAGGCCTATCTGCCTTCTACAGACATTTGATAAAATCAGGAACTTCGCATACAACTCGGGAAGAAGTTCACCTCAGACCCTTTTAGGGCAAACTATGAAAACTTGTTAGGGTCCTCCTGTCCTGAGATCCACCACTGCTGAGGGACTTCACGGAGTCCAAGGATCTCGCTTTTTAATTTTTTTTTCTTTTCTTTTTTCTTTATTTTTCTTTTTTCCCCCCTATTTTTAAAATATGATTTTTTGCAAGTCAGTTATTCTGGATGTTTGAAAACTGAATTAAGAAAAATTCGCTCAGAAGTTGGCTGAATGTTGCAAGCTTGCAAGATGGAAGGATTTCCCCTTATTCCCCCTGTGAGTATATGGATTTATTTGTAATATGGATCATTGGGTTCAGTAGCAAAAGGCAGAGTAAACCAGGTTTTGTTATTTGAGAATATCTCTGTTTTGGTCTGTATTTGTAATGCCAGGAAGTTTGGCTTAGGTCAATATATAAAACTAGTGACAACACTGCAATGAAAGGGAAATTAACATTTCCTCCCCAAACTTGTATCAGATTTTGATCTCCATTTGTTTTCACAGATTAAATGGATGGTATTTTTGTACAGGATGTTTATAGCAAGTCAGTAAATCTCTCTTCTTCAGTGCCACCTACATGATATAAAAGCCGTCTTTCTTCAGATTGTAATTCTTAATCCTCTGAGGTCTCTGACAGAGTTTATGTATTTAACTGCCTACTAATCTGTGAGAGAAGAGTTGTTGAATGTTGATTTACATATTGCAGATTATAGGACTGTGTCCAATGATGACATTTTAGTTTTTAACTTAATGTTTTCTTGAATTCTCTCAAATTCACTGACTGTGAAAAAGCAATTGGCAAATAGGGAAAAAAACCTACGGTCTTTATTTGAGTCTTTCAATGTTTTCTCTAAGGTATAAATTTTTCTGCGTGCTTATGGGGCAGGTCTAATGCTTTCCTTAACTCTGAAGCATTGTCGCACTGCTGTAATTTGTCGTACAGTGAGTTAAAAAAAAATCTTATTTATGAAAAAAATAATGTCACTAACTTGTTCAGAAAACAGGCTTAATAGGAAATCTCTAAGCAGAATGGGTACAAGAGGACTTAATTAGATTTCATTAAGTTTGTAGAAGCTGAAGAGGTGTCAGATAAGGTGGTTCATTTGGCTTTTTATGTGGTAGATGTCTTGCATTAATGCTATACATGTGTCAGAGAACAGAAGGAGACAATGCAGATCCAAGGGGTTTTTAACATAAACTTGTATCAAGTTTTGGTTTTGTCTTGTCCCATTTAATGAAGACTAAAGACATCTTCCATCCAGAAAGGTTGCCCCTTGAATTCTTGTCATGTTCAAAATTCATGATGACTGAAAGTATTTATCTTATTTTTGGGGGATGCCCTTTCTTTTCTCAGTTTATCATCAGTGCCCCTGAAATCACTGATCTACCCAAAGGCTGAGGAGACTCTAAAAATATTTTTTCTTAAATATACAGAATTTCCCAATGGGTTGCCTGTAAGTACAACAGAATAAAAATCTGAATAGAAATGAGCTCAAAAAAAAACGTATCTAGGGATTTCTCAGTATGCTACTTGTTGGGCTTAAAAAAAATAAACACAAAAGAAACACAAACCTTGTCCTTAGCTACCCCAGAAAACTGCATCTCCATTGGAAATAAACCCCGGCTGTTAATTTTCTGTCCACTGATTAACTCATAGCCAAGTTTTCTGCCTTTTTTACCAGCGCTGAATTCCAGGACATATGTTGAATAAATTGAGTGAAAATCTAACACAGTTTGGCCCGTATTCTAATTTGTGTTGCAGTTAATAATCTGTCTGAACTGTGCTCAGATGAGTGATACGATTGGCAGTGAAATCCCAATTGCGTCTTACTGAAGCTCTTGATGGAGCGATTTGATTTTTTTTTTGTTTTGTGATTAAACTGTCAAAAAATTAATAATTTTGTGGTTTGTACTTTCAAAATTTCTTTAAGTGCACTTTGAGCACTGCCAGCTAGAGTCCTACAAATCTGTCTCCTGGGACTTTTTCAATGGGGAGACACGAGCCTGTTTCTAGGCAGGGGTTGCAGCAACACTTCCCTCCTCCACCCTTCCCTGTTCAGTTGAGGGTGGGTCAGTAACTGCCTTCTCTAGCCTGGGCTAGGAAATTCTTATCCTTCAGTAGGAAAACACTTTTTAAATTGTTTGGGAGTACTGCATCTTCCTCTGATAATTAGAAATGTTGTGGGGAAAAATTCTGCAGACTGGGTCTGTGTCTTCTAGTGCTTGATAGAACTCAGTTGTGTTATGGATCAAAACATGATTAAGTCAAACATCTTTGCCTGAAGAGGGTTCCAGTTTTATATGAATCCTTAAGTGGCCACCTGTAGAAATCGCAGCTTTGAATGAAGTATTTTTGCATGAGAGCAAAAATGCCCCACCAAAGTCTTCTGTTCCACATAACTGCACTGTCAACACGGTCCAGTGAGGCTGGCCCAATGAGTAATCATGCTAATATTTTTACTCATCTTTTCTAAAATAGTTATACTGTAATTTTTTTCCAAGGAAATAAAGTTAATCTTGGCCTTAAAGTTTGTCTCAGCAGCACATCACTGGAAATTGTCTGAAGTATTTTGAATCACATGCCAGTGAATAGTTTTATCAAGACAACAAACAGATCAGCATTTAGTGATTTTACAATTCCCTGGAATCATCTGACAAAGTCTTGGGGAATAACAACATTTTCATACTGCTATTCAGCCGAGTCCAATGTGTCTCTCTTAACCAATGCCAACTGAGCTTTCTCTGCCTGCTTTTGTGGCTTTTCCCTCAAGTTTCAGGGCAAAGATGGAAGACTGAGGCCACTCCTCATTTATCAAAGTCTGTGACAGAAAGTATTGTTTGTTGACCTCTTACTTGAGAGTAGAATACTGTCTTAGATAGTGCACTGCATCCCGTGGCATGCATGGAAGGAGATACCAACTTTAGACCACAGCTATGGGATCCTAACAAAGATTTCAGTCATTCTTTTTCATGGAAACAACCGATAGAACAAACGGCCATTGACATCAGTTAAATATTAAACATAAGCTATTCTTTGCTTTTTGTCAGGAGTAACAAAACAGTTCAGTGTCATGGAAGAGCTGTCAGGAAGATGATGAAATGGGTGTGGGTGGGGAGGTTCCAGAGAAGGACAGGGCAAGTGGGTAAAGATTGACACAAGAGGCAACAGCAGTACATGGTGAAACCTCTTCTCTCTAATTAGAGAAAACATTTCTAAAGAAACTTTTCTTAAAAAAAAAAAAAACCAAAACAACAAACCACACCCCAAAAAACCAGAAAGCAATTAAAAACATGTTATTGAAAATAGCCTCTCTAATAAATAGAGGGAAATATCCCACTTTCCCATAGGATAATCAGAGAGAATACATGCTGTTCTGTGTCCTTTAACCACCATCTGATTAGGTTTATGATAAGTAGACTTTTAAATATTTTACATACATCTTGCTGTGTTAGTTACTGTGCCCTTGAAGATCAGACACCAAGATAGAAAGCAGTGGCATTACAAGTCCTTTGTGGGGATGGATCGGTCCAGTTGCATGAGTTAACAAGGATATACAAACACATATTTTATCAAAAGGATCGCTGGACAGGAAACAAATCCAAGGACAAAAATTCCAAGAATCCATAATAAAGAAATTTTAAGCCCCAGACTTTCAAACGAGAGTTTATAGTACCCCAATGCCCTATGTAAAATAGTTTTTAGATGTTGGGTATCTGCAACTCTGTAGTCAGTCAGATCTGTAAATATTAAGGGAATCATTGTTTTAAGAGTCTATTTAACACACCTCCCTTTAGCTCTGGTCACTGAATACACATCTGAACTGTAAAAGTAGCTTTTGAATGGTAAAATATTTTATTCTCAGCTGTCAGACTGTGAGACACTATTGCCTGTTAATGTATATTGGTCGGAAGTGGGGGAGTTTGGAAACTGAGAGAAGACAACAAAGGAAAGCACAATTAGGAAAAGCCAAACGTTCTTTTTCTTGCTTAAAATGTGTATTTTTAATCTTCTTTTGGACTTATGTATACTTCTGTAAAGATATGCGTGATAGATGGCTTGTTGTATCAGTGGAAATTTTAGTGAATTAAGTCTAGATTGACAGGATACTGATTTCTTTCTAAATTAGTTTATTATGGGCTAAATAGTTATCAGCGTTTAAAACTTCTATGCATTTAAATATTAACTTCTTAATAATTTCTATCAATTTCTAGTATTTCAATTGAGAAGAAACAGATTTTTCTTTCAAACAATGTACATTTATATGACTTTTTAACCTCTGTTTTTCCCAGCTAGTATGATATGCATTTTCCATTTAGATGTTGACATTTCCTCTTTCACAGAACATCAATGCTTTCCTTTGAATTATAGTAATTTATGATATTAATTATAAATTTAGTTGAAAATTTGTAACATAATAATTAAAATTCTTAATATGAAGGTATGAGTTTATATTTTAACAGGAACCATATATTTAGGGAAAGGAAATAAAGGAGTGGGATGAACTAATTTGCAAAGATAATGAAAAGGAGAAATTCCATTCAGAATTTTATCCTAAAGAAAGCAAAATACGGTCTCATTACTTTTTCTTGTCAGGGATCAGACTACACCAAAGGTGGAAGGAATGAAGATAAGTAAATACATATAACCAGAGAGAATACCAAGAAAATATATAGAGAAAAAGCAGAAACATTGAGGAAATGCATGCAGTACTGATTTTTGACCACCCCCCTGAAATCTGGAAAACATGTTATACTTTCCATTGTATCTCGGTGTGAATAAAGAGCAATTCTGTTGTAATCACACAGATTTGGAAGGTGAGACTGTACCTACAGTACAGCTCCGGAGACCAGAGAAGAGTCCTGTCACTGGTATTCCTGCTGTGGATGCAATTAAATGATGACTTATCCCTTCTCCGTAGTCTTTCCCTTAGAAAGCCTTTACTGTGGGTTATCATCTTCTCAAGATTTCCCCAAAGCAATTATCCACCACCATGGTTCTCTCTGGAGCTTGTAGCCAGGTGATGGATTTTCTCCTGAGGCCTTAAATATTCCATGGATCTGACTCCCAGTTAGTGTGTGTGCTGGAAGTCACAAAGTTTTAGAGAGTCTTACCAGTGCCTTTTAATGACACACTAATAGAACACATGGCTGCTGCTAACGATTTACCAATTCCAAAGTAATTTCTGAAAGTGTTTTGTTGAGGAATTTTTGGTATGTGTTCTAACATCTTAATCCTCAGAAAGGGACAAATCCAAATTCCAACAGAATGAACTGAAGGAGTTAACCAGAAGAATTAAAGAAACCAGAAAAAAAAAGTCCTTTCCTTTTGCTAGCTGCTTATCTACCACCTCCATCTGGATTTTAGTGGCAGCTGCTACCTTAGGTTCCATTTCTCAAGCAGTCCAGGGGAGTAAGAAAAAGAGAAGCTGTCCTGTATTTCTGTCATGCTGTTACCACAGCATAAACTTAAAAAATGCAGATGTTCCAAAAATGTGACAGGTTCATGGAGGGAAAGGATTTGGGACATACAGATAGACATATGAAATATAACACAAGAAATATGCCCATCATATAATTATCAATATTTGTTATTCTAAATATTTGTAAATATTCAAAGTTAGTTATGATGGAGTCATTAATAGAAGTGAAATGTTCCTATTAACACCTAGAAATACTTGAAGTCATTTCCTTTCCAAAAAAAGGCAAGAAGGTGGTTGAGTTCTTTGCTGTTGGCAGTGCAAGAATTTGTTTGGATTGGAAGGAAACACTGTAACAAACTTAACTGGACTAAGGTTTAACAAAACGGCATGACAGAGACTGTCTTTCTCTAACTCTTATTCTGGAAATAAACATGAAGGAATATTAAATGAAGCATCAAAATTGTGCACAACTAATAATAAACAGCTTTTATTGTGACAACATAAGATCTTACTCAGTGTTGAAATTGGAATAGTAGGCCTGAGGAGGAAGAGAAGTGGGCAAGTTACCCTATGTCACCTGTTTTGAGAAGATAGAGAAGACTCCAATTCTACAGCTAAGCATCCAACAGGTCACAAAGAAAACATTTCACCTTTACTTGTGCCTAATATCTACAACAGCTCAAAAGCAGTATCCTCAGAAGGCTGGAGTGAAGGGGTGTCTTTATTACAACTGGACAAGTTCTGCTACACAGGCTGGGTCTCTTTTCTACTGGGATTACTCTTCTTTTTTTTTTTTTTTCCCCCAAAACCAGTGTTTGGTGTCACACATTTTATTTCTGCTGATTCAGTAATAGCTTGAAGTCTCCCCTTTCTTTCCCTAAGCAGTATAAAATGGGTTGGCATCAGCCCTTCACTAACAATATGAATAATTTGGAAAGGATTTGTGTAAACTTACTGTTCTAAAAATTCCTCTTCTTTTTACAGCCCTCTGAAGATATGGTACCCTATGAGTCAGACCTCTACCGACAGCCCCATGACTATTACCAGTATCTCAACAGTGATGGAGAGAGTCATGGTGGTAAGTCAAAAAATATCTCCCTGAAGCACAAAGTCTCATGGATTACCACAGGAAATGGAATTAGGACATACAAGAAAATAACAAGTTTATTGCTGAGATCTATAATGTATAGGAACACATTTCTGAACCAAGAACAAAAATTTTTATTAATAATATAATATTATTATATTATTTGTTCCAACCCAGCAACTGTAACATGGTTTCTCTGAAAGAGCGTTTTAAAAACCACTCTATGATGCAAAAGTTCCCAGGAAAGTGGGATCTCATGATCTCTATCCTTCATTATCTTTACTGTGTTTTTATTTTCCTCTGCAGATCAAAAGCATTCAGCTTGCTTCTCAACTTTTTAAGAACCTGGATTTGCAACACTGTATTCCTCTTCTTGTGTTCCCATGTCCAACTCCCATTTCACTTAGGTCCTAGATAATCTATTTGTGCTTCGGTTTCTTTGGTATTTAGCCTTTTTCAACTCCATATATTTTTCTCTTTCTTTTGATCTCTATTGCATGCTGCCACACCTAACTTTAACTTTCACTCTTCCTCCAGTACACCCAAGTACTTCCTGTCTCTAAATCTGTGTAAAACTTCCTTGTAGCTGTTTGTGCATAAGCATAACTCAAGGTAAAAATGCTGTATGATTATTTATTACTTCAATTTATGTATGTGATTTCAAAGCTTTGGTGCCTATATTTTAGTGTTGTCTAAGCACTGGACTCTAAATCAATGCAGAGGCAGGAGTCTTGCATTGTGAATTTTGTGTCCCGTGCAATACAATGGTCCGGCAACAGCACCCTGGAAATACCAGAGTCAATATTGACTCAGGAAGGAAAAGCACCGTTCTACTGCATCAGTGGTGGCAGTCCCTGCAGGTCCTGGAGTTTCCCTGAAAGAACCCCCCTGATACAGCAACTACAGCCATTGCTGTTATAATTTCAGACACGAGCTAATCATAGCACAGCACTGTTTTGTGGCAACAAAAGAGCAGTGAGTTACTGAGTAAGATCATTCTGAGCATTTAGCTGAAAGAGATTCCTACCCAAATTTGTTCTCTACACTTCATTCAGGAAACACCTATGATATTCTTAACACCTGAAGACAAAGAGTTAATTCAGTTTTTATAAGTTATCTCATGGCACCTGTCGAGTCTCATTAATCAAATTCCACATGGAAATTCAGGGTTTTTACACTATACCCCATATCTGTTTGCACACTCATAAAACAGGATAACATTGATTATCTCAAAAGGCAATTGTGACAATTAAACAATAAATATAAAATATGCCATGTAGGAAAAAAGCACTGGGAAATAACTTTTCTGTCATTAAGTCTAGCCTACCTCAAGCAAAAACTTCCCTTTATCTTTCACCATTTTATCACCCCATCTGGTTTACTGTCCATTTTTCTTCTGAAAGGTTGCTTCTAAGCTACACTTCTCAGATCACTAGCATGATTTTACTCATCAAGATGAACACAACAAAACCTGGGTAGTGACCTATATGAGTTATAGCCTAAGCAGTACCTAAACATGCACTTTAAACAGAAATTTTTCTGTTCCTAAAGTTGTTCTGCACTTGTCCTAAAGACCCCCAAAACATTTTAACTTCTACAGTAAGTACTTAAGGAAGATGCAACCTAAACCCAGCCTGCACATTTCAATGAAATTTTAATTTATGAAAGCACCTGTAATATAGTTGGTTGTGTATAAATATCTGTGCCCTGTGCTGACCTGAATTGCTCACAGTCCAAAACAGCAATGAACAACCGAAAAATACAGATGGAGACTAAAACCCACAAGTTATTGTAGTTTCCTTCTTTCTGATAAACACTGAAAAACCCAACTTTGGCTTTCATTTTGTTTGCATGACAGAAGTATAGAGTCTTGAGGACAGCCGTGGAGAAGAGCAGGAAAAGGATGCCAAAAAGTGCATTTAGAAATATATAATAAGTGTTCAGAACAAAGTGGATAAAGGCACAATGATTGAAAAATTGAGGGGGGAAAAGAATAAAAAGATGCTGCAGTAACAGCAGTGAAAGAGACAAGAACCTGATTAGGGAGAAGAGCAGGAAAAGGATGCCAAAAAGTGCATTTAGAAATATGTACTAAGTGCTCAGAACAAAGTGGATAAAAATTTTCAATGATTGAAAAAGTGAGGGGGAAAGGAATAAAATGATGCTGCAGTAACAGCAGTGAAAGACACAAGAACCTGATTAAATAGGAGGATAAAAAGAAAAAATAAGAACAGAATTGTGAGAGAGAAGTTCACCTTGGGGTATAGTGAGACCACTGACAATACATGAAAATAATTTTGCAGGTCTACTCAGTACCCCTATGTACCTCAATACTACCAGTTAATGCAAATAGATGTCACTAGACAGTATAATAATTTTGATTTTGTTGACAAGGGATTGTTAAAGAAACAGGAATGTTTCCTGAAGTGTCAGACAACCTCTCTCTCAGTGCTGGAAAAATTATTTTGTGAAAGGGAGATGGCAATGTCTGAATCTGTAGATTTGTGCTACATGCATTACTGTCCCTTTTCCTCAAATATAGTACTGAAGGAAACCTTTACGCATTATTTATTATGCCTTACTTACTTATTTACACAAATAGGTAGTAAAGTCCACAAAAAATTTTGTAGATCTGTTCCACTAGTGAATAATATTTAGAAAATAATTTCCTATAAGTCAACACTGAAATTAACAAGTAAAACCACAACATGATATGCTCATCACCACAAGCATTGTGTGCGATTATTTTCTGTACTGCAGTGTAACTCTGTTTTAAATACTATAGTAAACACAGAGGCACAGTCATGCTGGACAGAAGCTGCTTTGAGTGGTCATGTATTAGCCCATCACCCTACCCTGAGCATGTAAGTCTGTAAGTGTAACAGCATATTTTGTAACACTAATGCAATCTTTGCAATTACAAAATTCCACTGCAGCTTTGTCTCTGTGTTATCACCAAACATTACAGGTTTAAAATCACTTTTTGTATGAAGCTGAGTGCTGACCCTTGTTCACTTTTTTGCTAGCCTCATGGAACTTACTAGATTTCATGATCTGGGATTTTATTTGCGTCCCGCATCCTGGACTAACATGACCATTTACAAATCTCAGCTTTGATTTTGTTAGCCCACACAGAAGGGAAGGAAAGTCCAAACATGTGAACCTTAATCTTAAATGCTACAGATCTGTGTTATCACCAAACATTACAGGTTTAAAATCACTTTTTGTATGAAGCTGAGTGCTGACCCTTGTTCACTTTTTTGCTAGCCTCATGGAACTTACTAGATTTCATGATCTGGGATTTTATTTTTGTCCTGCATCGTGGCGTAACATGACCATTTACAAATCTCAGCTTTGATTTTGTTAGCCCACACAGAAGGGAAGGAAAGTCCAAACATGTGAACCTTAATCTTAAATGCTACAGAAAAAAAAAGAGAAAGAATTCCAAACTTCATTAAAAAATCCCCTCCCTTCAAAGCTATTCTCATTATTTGGTGCCTAACCATAGGCTTTTGAACATTTGGCATAATTAAATTGATTTGTAAAGTGACAGTTAATGAGATTCTAAGATTGTTTTAGATAAGACTGATGCTCTGCCCAGGACCACAGCACTCTTCTCAAGAGTGATTCTGTAGTGTCTGAGCAAGATGTTGAGTTTCCAGTGTCCTTCAATATTTTTCCCATTTCCTCTATGGCTTTTTTCCTTGACTTGCTTTTTGAGATGTGCAAAACACACTGGGAACTTGCGAGCTGTGCAGTGTGGGGCAGTGAAGGAAGCCCTCTCCGGGCTGGCAGTGCAGCCCTGCAGCGGCTGTGCCCGCGGGGCTGGGAAAGTCCAAACATGTGAACCTTAATCTTAAATGCTACAGAAAAAAAAAAGAGAAAGAATTCCGAACTTCATTAAAAAATCCCCTCCTTTCAAAGCTATTCTCATGATTTGATGCCTGACCCATAGGCTTTTGAACATTTGGCATAATTAAATTGATTTGTAAAGTGACAGTTAATGAGATTCTAAGATTGTTTTAGATAAGACTGATGCTCTGCCCAGGACCACAGCACTCTTCTCAAGAGTGATTCTGTAGTGTCTGAGCAAGATGTTGAGTTTCCAGTGTCCTTCAATATTTTTCCCATTTCCTCTATGGCTTTTTTCCTTGACTTGCTTTTTGAGATGTGCAAAACACACTGGGAACTTGTGAGCTGTGCAGTGTGGGGCAGTGGAGGAAGCCCTCTCCCGGTCCAGCAGGTGCTGGAAGCGGCGGAGGCGCCGGGCCGGGCTGGCAGCGCAGCCCTGCAGCAGCTGCTGCAGAGCCCTCAGCTCCACAGCTGCCTCGGGAGGCTGCTCCCCTTGGCACTGCACCATGCACATTCAGCCCCTTGCTCCACATTTGTTACAAATACCTGCCTAGAGCCCGTTGTGCATTCTGAGAGCTGGTTCCACCATTATTCATCTACTAAAACAGGAGCAAAGCAATTTACAGTGATGAGAAGGTGCATGAAAACGTTCAGTCAAGTTTTCTCACCTGTGGAGTGAGGCTCTACCTCCATGGTGAATATTAACACAATGCCTTTAGGTCAGCTGCTGCTTCCCAACAGGCTAACATCCCCTCTGTCATGGGAGGGAGTTCAGAATTCATTATTGTCCTTCCTCTAACCTTTCACTACATACAGGACCAAAACAAACATAATCTCCATGTCTCTGTAAGAGAGAATTCTTTTCACATCCTCTTTCACTTCACATGAAATTTCTCATAATGACTCCATTGTGTAGGTATAGCTTGGCTTTTAATGACATTTTCCTTTACCCAAAGAACAGGCACTTTCCATTTCTAGAATTTTTATCTCCTATCTTTTTTCTTCCTTCCACCTTCATGTTTTAGAGAAAAGAACAAAATTGGTATGTGTAACTGACATAACACTAACAGAGAGCATAGAAGGAGAGAGTTTCTGGTAATTCAAATATCTGCAGATATTTAAATTTTTCTTTTTTTATTTTCATATGCAGTAACTTAGCCAGGATGGTTAACTAAAGAAGGACTTGTGGAGACAGATTTGCAATTTCTCTTCTAATGTTACTAAACCAATATTGTTTTTCCTAAGGATTACTGGGAAATTATAGATATTTTGGAAAGAACAAGGACTTTGCTCCCTATCACAACTTGAACATTTGAACATCAGTTTGTGTTGAAGTAATTTCTGATGTAGATTTTTTGGTAGTGTAATACTATTATGTCATTACTTTAAATCCTATATGCTGTGTTAATAGTATTATTTTATTACTTTATTTTTACAACATCTGATTCTATCAAAAATTAATTTAGTAATTAATATGATAATTACTAATTAGTTATTAGCATGAATATGCATAAATGGTGTTCCATGGGCTAGTTAATCTGCCAAGGGAAAAGTTATAACAGTTCTGGAGCAACAGTAACCTTTTCATAGGCTCCAAAAAACAAAGAAGTATCTTGAAGCATAAAAACCTAACTGCTGATAAAAAGAATATAAAATAATCAGAAGTAGAAGTAGACTGCCTAGAGGGTGCCCAGATACTCATGGCTATGCAGGTTGGAAATGCTCTTTGTTCTCTCTTGGCCACCATATTTGCTGCTAGTAAGACATTCCACAGCTGAAGACCTGCCACTGACAGCCTCAGAGACTTTTTCGTGGGCTTTGTCATCCTCCCAGTTATGCACTGATCTCATTTGCTGTTGTGGATTATCAGTGACAAGGGATCTTTGGGAATATACATTGCCCTCTGACAGGGCACTTTCTGCACCTCAAGCAGAGCCAGATCACTGAAAGGAACAAGAGTTTAGATTATTCCTGGGATGTATTCTCAACAATTTAATATGCAGGGCTGCCCATGGTATATGTGACCTCAAGGGTTGGCTCTGCTTAGAGAAATCTGCACTAATTTAACCCAGAGGAAACATGAGTTAGTGTGGCTCAGTGTTCCAACTAAATGGACAGGTTTCACACTGAAAGTTTCAAAGCTTCCTACCAGGACACAGCCTTAGGTAAATTATGGATTTCAACTCACACACTCTGCTGTTTCCTGGGTTGAAGTAGATGTGGATATAAAAACACCTGAGTCCTTTGCATCCATAAACCCCACTTTTTTACACTAGAAACTGAATTTTTTGTCTTGAACTGCAACATGAAGAAGTGCTACTGTGCATTGTAATTTTCTTAGGGCTATAAAATCCATACATAGCCCATAGAAAGTGCCATACAACCAAGTGAAGACAAAGTAATGCAGCAGCTCCCTGGATGTTTTTACAAGCACATTTCCACCCCTTTCACATGCAGTGACGAGGTTTATTCATGAATAGGAAAGCAGAAAGGACAAAAAAGTAGTGCTGGTGTCATAAATGATCTCATAGAGCCTCCAAATAAATTTCTGCAGGCCTGAGCACAAAGGCAGATGAAAGAGCTTACAGCTTCTCAGGTAGAAGTGTGCTTGGTATAAACCTATCACTGAGTGCACTCTAAAAGAAGCCACATTCAAAGTCACACCCCTGGATTTCAAATCCTCAACGTGATTACACTTAACTGTTTGAAGCAAAAATGGGGAAGGATGAGGAGATAGGAGATAAGGAAAAAAACTAACTTAATATTTAAGAAAAATATTCATAGCACATTAATATCCAGATGTCATGCACAATAGCATATATTGCAGAACAAGACAATTTTTCCTCAATAAATTTAACTACATTTAGAGAAGCATGTTCAAGTCTGTCTATTGTGTTATTGGAAGGATGTCAAGAGCTGGGAGGGAGCTTGGAGGAGTGTACAAGTGTGAATAGGGGGGTGAATATACTGATTTACACTGAAAGACTCAGAGCTGATACTAGCTTAAGGCATAATTAGAAATAGATGGTAAGAGTTGACAGCAGTGTGAAAACATGTAAAGGGGAGAACAGAATTTTAAAAAATAATTTAATAAGTGAAGAGAATGTGGAATGGTAAGATATAAATTAGAATTGTTACACAGAATATCATAAAAAAAAAATTCAGCCATGTATAAAGTGATACACAAAAAGATGAACGCTGGAAGATTAGTTCCAGGCTCAGAGAGAGCAGAGGATGTAGTGTTGACACAGATTTTAAAAACAGGTTGCACATAAATATGTGCAAAATTATGCATGCAGCTATTGTATATGAGAAATACAATTAGCAATACTTCACATTTCTTGTAGAAAATTTTAAATTTTGAGCAGCAAATACAACATTCTAAAAAGCTGGAGGCTTATGTTGAACTAAAAAAGCCAGAAATCTAAAACTGAGAATGATATGGAATTTAATTTCAAAGATAAATGAATAAGGAAACATTATAGTGGTTATTTAAGTACTTCTTTATATTTTTTTAAAAATCCAAATTATCACAGAAATTTCAAATGTACTGAAGAGATAAAAAAAGTAGAGAAAGAGTCTGCATTAGAATTTAGCCTTCCTGTATACAGTGTATACCAGATTTCCACGTGTTTGTCCTTTTATTCTCTAGTATCGCCACTTAAAAATGCGTGATTTAGCAAAACAGCAGGAAGAATACAGAAAAGTGCCCTTTCTGCAACATTCCTGAAATGTTGCTAGCATAGTAAAATAAAGACTAAAAATAGCTGCAGAATAATCTTTACACTTTTTCCACCTCCTCATTTCCATGCCAGGAGGAAGAGTGTAATAAGAATATGACAGTGTGTAAATCAGTAGAATTTGTTGACTCAAGAATGACAATGTTTTGGAACTTGATATGGTCTCTTCCTGAGAAAAGTGCCAGCATTAACATCTTCTGCATCTTGTGTTAAATTATCACTTAAATCCATCTCACTATCTGAGAGTATTTTCCTACTCAGAGTGGCCTAAGTAATACTTCCCAGTCACAGGAATTTATGAGATTAGGGGAAGAGACTTTACAGGGATCTGTAGAGAGCAGAGACAAACAGGCCAACAGGAGTGGTTCGGAGAGGGCTGTGACAGGAGCAAGAATCAATGAAAGACAGGCAAATGCCATGTTTTTCCATCTTGTAGTGACGGACAATCCTTTTTTACTTTCTTCAGATCATTATTGGGAATACCATCCACACCACATGCACAGTGAATTCGAGACCTTTGGAGACAACCATTTCACAGAGCTGCAGAGTGTGCAGCCTCCCCAGCTGCAGCAGCTCTACAGGCACATGGAGATCGAGCAAATGCACGTCTTGGATTCTGCAATCCCAACCACACACATTGGACTCAACCATCAGGTATGGTTACCAACCCTGCTCAGAACTTCAGATGGAAATTAATGGTAAAGAAAACAATACATTAGGAATGCATGCTATTAAGTGAAAGACGCTTCTGGAATTATTTACTCAGGTTCTTAGGGCATGAAAAGCTCTTCATTCTCAGGACAAATTGTATTTTAAACATGCTTTTTACCTGGATAATGAGAAATCATGCTCCCCACACTGTCTAGAAAGAGAGCTGCATTTTGTGGAGGTGTTTGGAATTTCAATTTTTGTTTCATTTGGAATGAAAATCAACTGATTTGCAATTCTGTGGATAAACTGGAGCTGATAAACTTTGTATCATCATAGAAATGGTACCTGTGACTATTAAGAAGTAATTCAGAGCTTTGAAGTAGTAGTAAAGCTTTAAATATTTCATAGGAATGCTGACAGTTTTATATGACTTGTATGAGAAATGCTAACAAAGTCACTGACAATTCTACCACAGGCTGAGGAGACCTTTCTTGTGCTTCTGTCTGGGAGTAAATAAGTCACAAGCCAAAGCACACTGTCTTGGCTTTGCTCAGATTTTACATTAAGCCAGGCATTTCCCTGTAAATTCCACTATGCAGTAGTCACCAAAGCACCACTGAATTCTCACTGAAGCTGACATTATAAGGTGTTCCATCATACTGCAAAGACATTAAGCACAGCAGATGTGGAAATCACTCTTGATCCTACAAGAATATGCCCGAAGTCATTACTGGGAGCAGTAAGAAAGCTGGAAGAACTTGTGCTAAAGAGTTTCCCAATGTACAAGAAATGTCCTAAATACAAGACAGAGTAGAACTGAAGTTGGAGAAAAGAGTGTTTGCTGATTACAGTGCTGCATATGACAGTACCCTTGCTGAAACTTTGTGAGAAAAACCGCATGCATGGGCTTAGCATTTTGGGTTTCTCTGCTCAAAGCAAACTGAAATTGTATGTTAATACTGTGTTAATCAAAAAGAAAGAGAAAAAATAGAATGAGTAAGTTAACACTGACAACAGGAAACTGCAAGCCATCAAAAAAATCAGGAATAGAATATAAGATGTAGATACAAACAAAGAATTAGGAACAGAAAGTTACAAATATAAAAAATGCATCATGGAACAGCAGTCTGTGGGAAGCTTAAGTTGTTTCAGTTGCTCATTGCAACTGCTAATACCTAATGACCAACCATTACCTCTGGCCAAGGGCAAAGGATGAAAACGAGCGTCTTTAGGGATGTCTTTGGAAGCACAACCAAAAAGCAAGAGAGGGCACTTCTGCTTATGCACGTTCATTCTACTCAGCTATGGTCTTTCATTTCAGGATGAAAGGCATGGAACTAATTTTCTTACAACTTTTGATAAAGAGCACTATGATCTCCCTGCCCCACACCCTACCAAACTGCAGATGTTAGTATGTAGAATTCACCACTACCCTTCTTTTCCTCAACAGCAGGGGATCTTTGGCTTTTTACATTACTTTTATTCCTAGAATAGATCATGCAAATAGTACTTGGCATGCTCTGAAGTTCAGCTTCTGGTGTGTCACAGTCCCAGGCAAAGAAACAAGCAGGAAGCAAGTCTTAATCCTCCTCTAAATTTGCTAGTTTTTAACTAGCATGCTTGTCCAGCAATGGCAGAGTTGCTGGTTGCAGCAAAGGAAGAATGTGCAAAGATATTTCTTTAATTTTCTGTTGATATCACATTACTTTGTAAAATTAAATTTGAAGTTTAACCTGTTCATGAAGCAAGATTTGTTTGAAACTTTTGTTAGCCTGACAACAGGGGCCTCAGAAATACTAAAATAAAATAAAAAATTCATTCTGAAGGGAGAAGGAAAGAGAAGGTTGGAAAGCTCTGAGAACTCTAGAATGAGGAAAATCACACATGGGCACCACAGACCCTGGGAAAACATCAGAATATGGAAAGTAGCTAGTAGTTCCTTAAGTTTTTTCTCTCCAGAACTGTATTAGTAACCTGGCTCTTTATAGCACATGGGCCAGTCCTCTGTGACTCTGCCCCAAAACTGTGTGACACTGTATTGATCACCCTTGCTGAGGTTCAGGTGCAAAGGAAGTGTAAGCAAAGACAGCCATCAGGGACAGTGGGGACAGCATGGGGAAAGCTCACTCAGCTCCCCAGGCTGGCCTCTGCAAGACACCATGTCCCCTCCCACTGTCCCCTCCAGCCCAGAGAAGCAGTTCCTTACTCCCACACAACCTCCCAAAGCACTCCAGGTTTCCACAGCCCTTTGCTCCACAGGGGCACCAATCTCGGTTCCCCTCGCCTGTAGGACACTGTCCCACCTTCTCATTCCCCTTCCCCCATGGCACAGTCTCTCCCTTCCTTCCTACCCCTGGGGCTGCAGCTTTCTTAACTGTAAAAAGCCGAGGGTGGCTGTGGTGAGGCTGAAGTTTCGCTCCTGGGGATCCGACAGGAAGCTTACACGCTCTCTTGCCCAATCCTGCCCTTCCTGCCAGATCGGCTGCAGCCAATCTGCCAACTCATTAACTGCCAGCTGCTGTGCCCCAAACCAGCCCTTGGCACACGCCTGGTTGGGACACTTCAAGGTGGTGCAAAAGTCACCCAAAAAGCCCCGCTCGGCCAAACCCGGCGCAGGGTGAGTGACTCATGAACACCCACTGCCCACTTCAGCATCTTGGGTCCTCTGGGAGGGCATCAGGCTCAAAACATCCCTTCCTGGTGAAGGAGAAGAGCAGTACAAAAGGAGCTCCCTTTCAAGGGCTATCTGTGCCATTTCATGAAAGCTGCATAAGATATGCTGCTGGGTTTGGGGAATGTTGGTTGGGTTTTTTTAACGTAGGGGCTAGGTTCTTACTCCCTGCTCCTCAGACTGACCTGTTTCACACTATTAAATAAGAAGATGCAATCATTTGTGCCAACTGGTCATGTTTCCTAGCAAACCAGACCACAAGTGAGAATTTACAGAGCTGAGGTATATTCCACACTGCTTCTGGCAACACCTCTATATAAGGGCAGGAGAGTTTAACACAAAAACTAGCTTGCCAGCTTTGCAGATGAGAAAATCCCCCCTAATGGGGAATTTTCAGACAGCAATTTGGGAAAAGAGAATGTGGGCTGATATGATATATCCTTATCTTAGTGTTAAGGCTACTCCTCTCCTCATGGGGGAAGTTTAAGAGAGAAAGCTAGTACTGGTACAATCCCATCTCCAAATTTGGATGCAGTCCCATAGGGTTTCGGTGCCGTCAGGAGGCACTGTGCCTGAGAAGGGAAGAGGACAACAGAGCCAAAGCCAGCCATAATAAGGCAGAACTGTTCATCTCTTTCAAATTCAGCTCCAGATGGTCTGTGTTAGGAAAAGAGTTGTTCTGAAAAGCAGTTTCACTCTGGGGATAGACAAGCAGGATCAGAAACTCATTAGGAAGAAAGCAAGCTTTGGGGAGATATGGGGAAGAGGAGCAGTGTTACTTGCATAGGATATAGGATGTGAGAAATTTCTGGCATTCACAATGTTATTCATCCTTCCCTCTGGTAAAGGTGCATCACTGTACATGTGTAAGTGTTGACTGTTATCTGAAAGTGTTTCTTAATAGGATGGCATTTATTATAAATGTCAACAACTAAGTCACTCAGTATTACACTAAATATTTTCCCATACCTCTAACTTTCTCCCCTCTTTTCTCTGTGCCTCTCTTCATTACATTTCTTTTTTAAATCTTGATGCCCTTCTCTGCATCACTGCTTTCTCCCTCTACTACTCTGTTCTCCAAAAGGTGTCCTATTTGCCCCGGATGTACTTCTCTCCACCTCAGCCCAGCTCTGACGAGGAGGACATAGAGAGGCAGAGCCCCCCCTTGGAGGTTTCAGATGGGGAGAATGATGGTGTTGACCCTGGGCCTGGAATTATGCATGGAGAAACAGGTCAGTGAAAACAGAAGGATTTTGTCAAGCTATGAAGTGGGCAGGTGTTATATTACCATGAGGATAATGAATAAAACTGTAGACCTGCTGTGCTAGTATTTTATGCCACTGCCAAAGATTTTCCTTCCCGGATTCATTGCACTCTCCCATCCTCTGAATCTCACAACCATAACTATCTCAAACCTCATTTCTTAATGTACTTCCCTGCCTCCTTCAGCTTTGTCTATTCAGGCATCCTGAATAGAAATGGCTTTTGCCATTTCTACTCCAATTTCTAATAACAGCCAAGAAAACCAAGACAAGAAGGTCAAGGAAGAACCAGTTTAAAAAAAAAATATTTAGCTCTCTTTCCTCAGTATCTGAGAGTCACATTCTGTATAACCTGACAAAATTAGGTTTAAGTTAGTTTTGAGAAAGCAATGTTTTGCACTTAGCTTCAAATTAGCAAATTAATTTCAGAAGTTTAGCCATAAGAATTACTTATTCTTGCTTTTTCTTCTTGGTATATCAACCCACATTTTGTCCTTACACTGTTATATAGTCTATTGTTATAAATGCTACAAACTGAAGAAATTTTGTCTCCCAAGCTAGCTGGAATACTTGGATGCTTTCTGCTGTTTCACCCAGGAACTACACACAAATACTAATACTCCACTGGCTTTCTTTGATTCTCACACAGGCAGCAAGAAAAAGATACGTCTGTATCAGTTCCTTCTGGACCTTCTCCGCAGTGGGGACATGAAGGACAGCATTTGGTGGGTGGACAAGGAGAAAGGTACATTCCAGTTCTCCTCCAAACACAAAGAAGCACTGGCCCATCGCTGGGGCATCCAGAAAGGCAACCGCAAGAAAATGACCTACCAGAAGATGGCACGGGCTTTGAGAAACTATGGCAAGACAGGGGAGGTCAAGAAAGTTAAGAAGAAGCTGACCTACCAGTTTAGTGGAGAGGTGATGGGAAGGGGGGCCACTGATAGGAAGCATTATCCTCACTGAGGCCATGGGACCCTAAGCAAGAAAAGTATTGAGAGCTCCTGGCTGGATACCAGCAGAGGAGATGGACGCATCTTTCTCTTTGCTTCCTGTGCCCCCTTCTCTGCCTTTAAACAGCCTTTATCATCAGATGTTTCTGGTACGAATTCCCTTCTTCAGCATCTGAGAAACCTAATCATGACAGAATTCTTTGCTTCCATCCTCCAAGTTGGACAGAGTTGGGAAATTTAAACAATGTACAAATATATTGTTGTCAGGAAAGTTTTTTTTCTTTTTTTTTCCTTTTTTTTTTTTTTGATTGTATTGTAACTAAATACAGCCAATGAAGTTTTGCCTCCAGGGGTGGTGCTGTGTCACTCACAGTGACACCACGTTAGCTTCCAGCTTTTAAACTAGCATTAATACAGGCTCTGCCGCAGCTCTCGGAGCTAGAGAGAAGTCTGCAGATCTTGGGAATGAGACTCATTCTTTTAAATAGTAATAACATGTACATATTTAATAAAATTAGATATAATGAAGTTTTGATGTTTGCATAATAAATGATTAGTTCACAACCAAATGTGCCACATTCAGTTATGCAGATACAGCTCCTCTGTGGTGTCTGAGCAAAAGGTACACTGGGTAGTAGGGCCTTATCCAAGTGTAGCTACTTTTTAATTTACCTGGAAACATCATCAGTGGTGTCAAACTCAGTAACAAATGTTACAAGGTGAAATACATTACTGTGAAAGAGACTACAGTACTGAAGGATATTTCAAAATACATATATGTATATATTTCTCACTGTTTTTTCCTGTGCAAAATCCCTGCCAGTTCAATGTTTTCTGGTCACGTATACAGAATTGCATTTATATCCCCATCCCATTTAGAATGTATCAATTAACCATGCTCTTCTGTGGTTTTACTTATTTTCCTGCTCCTATTCTTTTGTCTTCCTTCCCCCCACAGTGATACCTTGATTCTCGCTCATGAATCTTTCTTGGAAATAAGTTGTGTTTAATCATGTGTTTGAGGAATTCCAGTACAAAAACGTTTCAAGATTTTAACCGTGGATTTTAAGCCCTACTGTAAAACAATTAATAGTAACTAATAACAACTGCACTGTAAAAATAACACTCAAAATGCAAAATAAATGATAATTCAATACCTGAAACATCATGGTAAATTTACCCAGTACATCCAAGCACAGAAATTAAATGTAAATTCAAGCAACAGTAAGAAAATTGGCATTTTAAGTTTTAATGTTATTTAACATATCTCAACTGTTTCAATCACTCAAAAATCAGGACTTTCCCAAAATAGACGAGGTGAAATGAGGCAGATCGAGAATGACGAGAAGGGGGTTTTTTTAGCAATACTGAAATGCAGTACAACATGCCAAATATCACTAAATAACCTGAATTTTTTCAGAGCTTGCTCCTCACTGAAATCAGAAATAGTTAAAAGTGATGAGCTTCTTACAGACCTGAGTTTTCAAAATTAAATCTAAACACAGTCAGTGTTATCTGCACTAACAATCTCACTGTAGAAGTGAAAATCTGCTGGCATCATGGCCTACAGTATCTCTTTGGAGTCAAACAAGAAAGAAGCTCATGGTTAAAAAACATCCCAAAGTACTACTTCCCAATTCTTATTCCTGGTTCATAACTTGATAAATATATCAGTCAGTGCAAAAAATTAGCAGAGAGTTATCTTTCATGCTTCTAAAAATCTTGTAATCCAAATTTTAGTGACTATGCCTTGAGGATCATGTTAATTTGAGCATCATTTTTCATTCACTTAGGGTTAGGATGAGTCATATTAAGAAGACATTTTGTTTCTAAAATTGTACTGGAAGGATTTACTTCCTATAGCAAATACTGTAATACTCACTAAATTTGACTTGGATATCTCCATCTGCATCCATATTAAAGTTTCAGGATGGGAGATGTTGAAGGCAGTTCTGAGAAGACTAGAACACCCAACACTGACACAATTAAGGTTCCTTCTTGCTGAGCTGGAAACTCAGGACTTCTCTACTTGGTACTGATGATGTTTGGCACTGCTGACCTGGAATTAAAAAGATATCAAAGACATTTGCATTCATCAGACTTGTAGACTTGATATTCAAGAAAATTAGAGTAATAATTCACTCTTCATAAAAATATCTTTATCACAAACACAGCTTCAAAAGCAGAACTGATCCTTCTCTGACACTGTAATTTGGTGGAGAAGGATCATTTCCTCTTGCAGGAAAACTGTGATAACTGAAAAGAGCCAACTGGTGAGTTAATTGTGGAGATACTTAGGATATCACAAAAGCCATTTCAAGCTTACCAAAAAGCTTTCTAAGATCTATGAGACCTATTTTTCCATTTCCCTAGCAAGTCTTGTATAAAATCCTATTAGATACTGGAGAAATAATACAAAACTAAAATAAGCATTCAAATAAACAACAAGAACCTTTAAATGAGCTTTTTGAGTGTGTGCATTACTATAAAATGCTAATTTAGAGCAACTACTTATACTTGAATTAAAGATTTTGCATTTTACACTGGTTTTGACCACAAGAAACATGGAAATTGAAGATTCTGAAAAAATTATCTTGGGGGAGATAGTATTATTATTAAAAATATTTTAAAAGTAATATTGAATATAATTTAAAAAGAAGGCTTAAAATTTTATCTCCAAAGCTGAAAACTTTTTCTCTTCCTCTTGTTAATGCTTTGAAATACTGGTTCTAAAAATATTCACTCCCCATCTGTTTCTGGTTAGGTTTTTCATCTGTGGCATAAAGAGTGAATAATCATGTATTGCAGCTGTGAAGGAGACCAAATGATGATGCTTCTCTGCCAGAGTACTGTTTGTCTGCCATACAATCCAACTGCTCAGGACACTGGGCAGTCTAGGCAAGCTGAATTCTTGCCATTCAGCTGCACATGCAAGCAGAAGCTCTTTGGCTGTTTCAGACAAAATTACCAAAATGAATATGACTAAATCACAGGTTCTGCAAAATTACAGAGGAGCTGCTTTCTCTGAAGGTGGCCAAGTACTAGACAGGCAGACGTCATCAAGAAAGGTCGGGGGGGTTATTATTTGGAGAGATGACCCATGATTAGGACAAGTTCCTTGGAACATGTTGCAGCCCACTGCTGTTAGAGATCATCAATCCTCTTTCAAAGCAAATGTTCATACTACAGCTGGATATTCAACTTATCTTTGGCCCTTTTCAGCCTGCTTTAAAAATCAGCTTTATTAGCCACTGAGTGGTTCCTAGTCAATTCCTGTGGAAAGATTATTCAGGAAACTATCAGTGAGTTAAATTCAAAATACTGAACTGCACCTACAATATATAAGACTCCCTGTAGCTGTTCATCAGAGGCATCAAAGTTAGAAAAATTGCACTGGCTATACAGATAATCTGCTTATAATAATTTACAGAGATAGCATGTATTTTTAAATTCTACTCAGTCAAAGAGAGTTTTAGACATTTCTAGATGTAAACTACTACTCACCTGCACCAGACAGAACTGCAGCTAAAGGTGCTATTATTTAATTTATGCCTGAAAGCTCACATTTAATGAGTCCTCCAAACTTCCTGAAAAATGCATACACACATCCCAGTATATCTGCTGGAGGTTTTTGGTCTCCTCCTTCATTAAATTTTATCTCTATACCCTCATTTCAAGATTCACACACTGACAGAGTCTTAAAATCTGTGTTTGTCTTCACTTGTGATTACAACAGGGCTTAGGCTCTGTACATTGCCAGGTTTCTTTTCCTCAGTAAGTATATTTTATTTTTTTTAATTTTATCACTTAATCTCTTTGCCTTTCTTCCATTTCTTTCTATTTTTTTCCTCCCTCATTTGGATCTCCACACAACAATATTCCCTTCCTTATCATCAAGTTTAATTCAAGCTATATTGCCAGCTCCATAACTAGTACATATATCACATGACAGTTCAATTCCGTGTGTTTATACTGTTGTTCAAAAATTTCCTTGTACCCTAGCTGCACATTGTAAATTCATAGCAAAGGCTTTATTACTGATGACAACACAATGAACATTTTTCCTTTGAGAATGCCCTGAACAGTATGTTCTCAATGGAAATCCCATACTTGTGTATTTAAAATGGATGGATTATGGATAGAAAAGACTATGACATGACACAGACTGTGGTACCAATTCCAAGATTTTGCATTTATTTCTAATTTATTTTGTGAGTTACCTTGCTATCTTGTCACCTTTTCTTCTTATATTAAACACTCAAATCAGATTTACTTATTTTTGCATACCCATATACTAAAACGTTAAACATGTAGTGCTTGTAATAAAAATGGTACTGTAATGAACCCACTAATATATCACAGTCAAGTAGATTAGGAGCTTGCTCTTTAAAGCAACTGTGACAGTAGCTAAAACTTCACCAAGTTTCACCTTTCTTCTCTAACAAATTTGCACATTGCAATTCAGTTGGCTCAGCTGAGCCTGTGCTATTAGAGAGGTCTGTATATAAACCAAATAATCAGTCCCATTCCAAGAGCTGGGGAATGTGAACGTCTTCCAGAGAGAAAGAAAACAGCAGTAGGCTGAGATATTCTTTCTCATTTCCTCACTCATACCTCACCCGTGTCTGAACACCTCACATCAGAACACAGCATCCCAGAGGAACCTGGGTTGGGAGGGATGTTTGGAGGCCACCCCATCCAACCCCCTACTCAAAGCAGGCCTATTGAATCTGGTTTTTCAGGACAACTTTCTTTCCATTCTGTGTTTCTTTCCATACTCTCCACTCATCCAGCCACATCCTCCTTCACACCTTTGGTTCCCCACAGTGTTACTTTTTGCTATTGGGGAGTCAAAGCAGTACGTGAGAATGAGCAGTCTATGGACAGGAGGGGAATGAGGATGTGGTGGAGCAGATAAGGGTTAGCAGGAGGTGGAGGAGGAGAAAGAAGGGTGGGAGGAGGTATTGGGGAGACCAAGGTTATGCAAAGGATTGGGGAAGCGGCTTTGTGGTAGGAAGGAATGCAGTTTCTGTGCCTTAAGGGCTCCCTTGAGCTTCTGTTTTAACTCACCAGCAGCAGAGCAGCAGTGCTTTAGGTATAAGAAGCCCTTTGACCACTGGTGCCTTTGTGCAGAATGCTTCGATTCCTCTGCCTTATGCAAAGTGAAGAATGTTTGGGTGCTGAGCTGGGCATTTGCTTATACAAATCAGTTTGGGTTCTTTTAGATTTACCTAAGTTTCTGAGTTTTGGGGGTGTCTGCTTTCAGAAGCATAATTTTAGATTTCTTCTCTAGATATTCCCTTCTCCCTTTTTAACCCACTCACCCACACTGTGCTTTCCTTTCTCTGCCAGCCTGAGCTATCAATTCCCAGCTCTAAGTTCAGCTTTTCTCCATGCCTAGATTCAGCCAGTAGATGCCTCCATATTTAGTAGATTCCAACTGCTTTATCTCAATGTCCTTTTTCAACTTTTGCCCAGCTAGTTCATTCCTTCCTCTCAGGCCAACTTTTCTCACATATGCCTCCAGTCAGCTTCTCTTTATGTGAATGGTTCTCAGTTCCAAATTATTAGTTCAGCCATTTATAGTTTTTCCATCCCACATCCTCTTACAGTTTCAGCCTTATCACCAGTTCTCTTCCCTCCGCCCCATTTCTATCCCAGCTCCCCACCTAATATTCTTGTCCTTTGAGAATCTGTTTCAAATCTCTCCCATATTACCTAGAAAAACCAATTTTCTCCCCTCATCCATGCCCTTCAATCACACATTTTTATTTCCTCCTCCCACTCAAATTGGTGTGATCCCTTCCCTCTCTGAAGTTCCAACTATTTGCCCCCCAACCCTGCTGCTTCTCCCCTTTATTTTGATGTGCCTGAGGGAGATAATGGTAGGAGCACAGGACAAAAAGGCTGTTTTGCTTTTAGTTCCAGTGTCCATATTAAGTCCAAGTCCCACCTTAGCCCTCACATAAATGCTTAGAAAACTCTGCTGACCCCTGCACTGGACCTCATTGACACAAACAGAACTTCTTCAGAGGATGAAATGTAGAAAATTCCCACTGAGCATATGCAGACTGCATTTTTTTCCCCATAGTCTAGAATATGCAGCAACTCAGGTTATTTATCATGAAGCCAGTTAAAAGAACATCCCTGAAATAAATGCAAGTTGCTGTCAAATATACAGAAAGAACTCAAATATGGAGTGCAAAGGGTAGGGATACAAAATGGCTGTGCAGAAGAAATACAAGCAGGACCAGCATTACCCGATTCTCCTAAATCCCTGCAAATTCAAGTTCTGTCAGTAGGGTCAAGTGGCTCTGCACTGTACACACCAGCACTCTGTGATTCAAAAACTCAAAGGAAACAGTGAGGATTAGCTTGGACATTGGGAACAGATTCTTCACCCACAGGGTGGGTGGGCACTAGGACAGAACTCCTAGGAAAGTCACAGCAGGAGCCTGCCAAAGTTCAAGGAGCATTTGGACAACACCCGCAGGCACCTGGTGTGAGTATTGGGGCTGTCCTGTGCCAAGTCAGGAGCTGGATTTGATGATCCTTGTGGATCCATTCCAGCCCAGGATATTCCATGATTCTCTGAGCACTTCAGTGGATGAGTCCTGCTGGTCCTGTGCTCTGCCCAGCCCCACCATTCACAGCAGAAACCTGCAGCCACTGAGGAGCTGGTAATTTCATGACACAAAACAAAGAGAAGAAGAAAATAAACAGAAATAGAGACAAGAAATTAAATGGCATGACAGAAACTACCAGGAAAAGAAGCTCAAAATAGTAGCTGGTAATTTCATGACACAAAACAAAGAGGCAGAGAAGGAAATAAACAACTACCAGGAAAAGAAGCTCAAAATAGTGAAGTATTTCTGCCTGGATAGCTACATTTGGGCAGTCACAAGCACTTGAATACATAGCCTTTCAATAAGAAGCTGGGTAGTCTTTTTAGAAGGAGATGCTGTTAATTTTGGCTATAAATAATAAATTGGTTTTCTCTGCATAAGCCATGGTGCAGCTATCTAAAGTCGCACAGCCTGTCAACTGCAGGCCACCAAATTCTGTCATTTTTGAACTTGATTTTGAATTATGTGGTGAAAGACACTGTCTGAAGCACAGCGTAATAATTTCAGAGTAATTCTTCTGACAAGGAAGAATTTCCCTTCTCACTTTTTAAGCACAGGCCCTGAGACATTTATTACATGTTGCTTCACTGTTCTTGTACATTAGTTTCATTTGCATACAAGATGAAACTTCACAAAATTATCTAGTGTTGCAGTGCACTAGAAAGTAGTTATCACAATCAACTACACGCCCTTTTTGGGTCAGAGTAGCCATTGAAATTATAAGTTTCATTTGCATAGCAATTTTATTATTAAAAGTAGTCAAATAATAATGCAATGTAATGTAATGTAATATAGAAAATGCTAGAAAAAAGTTTACTATTACAACAATGCTGCCACCTGGTAACCTAATGTGTAATAGCAGAAAAAACATTCATTTTTTCCAGTCTTGAACATAGCAATATATTTGATATATTATTTTAAATACCATTAAAAATCACAAAATCTGTGAAGTTATTATTGGATTAGGATAATTTCCCTGCATCAGATTAAACCCTCATAGCTGTGTTTCATTGTGGGGAAGAAGTGAGACCCAAGCCCTTTGAAAGGTTTCAAGTCAAAGCAAATAGCCAAGATTTCCTGACTCCCAGTGAAATACCTCATGCACAAGAGAGCAGCCAAATACATATCATGGTAACTTGTGCTCCACCAGAAACACAGGCAATGGAAAATAAACACGGGTGACATCCTGCCCATCTTCCTCAGTCATCCATTAAAAATTGTTTCAGGGGAAGGGGAGGAAGTATTTGGCCCCAGATCAGGAGAGGTATCAGCAGTGTCTCTTGCATGTTCACATTTGTGCTATCAGCCTACTGAGAGTCAGATGTGAAAGGCAGACACAGAGTGCAGTGACTGATGTGCTGCTTGCACACTGGTCTACTCTGAACTCCACGCCAAAAGATGAAATCATTTAAAAATGAGGTTTTTACAGGATAGTAAAGCCAGGGGGAAAAATGAAAACCACACCTTTTTCTTTTTTTAAATTATTCTGTCAATACTGGTGGGGGTAAAATATACTCAATGTTTGGCCTCCAGAGTTTTTCTGGTAAAGCTTAAAACTCAAAATTGATAAACCATCATAATAAAAAAAAGAATGATTAGCCACAGTTACTATTTTGCCATATGCTAACTCTATGGATAAATAAGAAGCAATGATTGGAGCATAAAATGGCCATACAAGAATAATTTTCTAGTGAGACTCTACCCCAGATCTTTTCTATATGATGAAGCAAAATTGAAACTCTTAGAGGTATAAAACAGAACCTTGGAACTATTCCTAAAATGATATTTCAAAGAAGAAGAAGAAGAAAAAAAACTTGCTAGTTATCAAGAAACGTATGCCCTGGATCAAGTGGGTGGATGGGGAGGGAGGACTAAAACTATTTAAGTAGTGTCATGCTTTCTACTTGTGACTGCAAATGTCAGTATTGTGTAAGTGTCTCTGCAAAAGAAAGTTCTTTCCTTAAAGTTCACAGTTTGTTCTACAAATACAGTCTTTGGTTGAAGAGCTAAAAAAAGAAACGAGAAACCCAGTTTGTGAGGGGCTGTTCAACTCTGACTCAATTATGGCAAAAACAAAAATTGAAATAAGTAGTAAGAATGTAAGCAAGTGCACACTTAGAGTAAGCAGGAACCAGCACACGGGAGATGTAACCATCAGATCTAGTTTGCTGCATGTGCTGTAAACATGGCAGTGCTGGAATTCTTCATGCAGTACATGCCTGGGGCTGGAAAATGCGCTGCAGGCATGTGCAGCATCATAGTGTGCTCTGGTTTATACCAACAGACCCGTGGTAGCCAGTCCGGGGTGGCCTGAGCTCCCTGGCTCCTGGAACTGGCTATATTTATCCCAGCTGATGTAGCCTGTCAAGTGTGTCCTGCTGCTGATAAGGTGCCGTGGACAACAACGGGGGGGATCAAGGGGGAGGAGCAGGATGGGGGCTCCCATCCACCGGTTCTTTAGGGGGTCTCAAAAGCCCTGCACTCACATTCCCGGGTGACTCATACCCTGCTTTCTAGATGCAGCTGGGAGCTCCATCAGAAACAAAGAGAAGATGCCAGAGCCTGTAAAGAAAACAGGTAAGGATCATAACTGACAGGCAAAACTAAGAATGGCTTGACAGGAAAAATGTGACTAGATTATGTATTCCAGGGAAATGAGATGCCCCAAAGGATAAAAATAAACAGACAAGAAAAAGAAATTTTATTTTATTTAGTTATAAATGTAAGAGATATTGAGTGATCCTAAAGATAAACCACTAACTGCTTTGATAACCCTCAGCCAAAGAATTTTCTCAAGAGTCTTTGGATGAGAAAAAAATAGAGGTGAAACACATTTAATTCTCGGATGCTTTTAATTTCTCATTTCCTTTCCTAGTCACATTTAGGACTCTGAAAAAAAAAAAAATAAAGGCTTGTAGTCTCTCTATTGGACAGTTAAAAAGTATAAACCTCTCCTGCTTTTATTTTGGGTTTGGGGTTTTCTTCCCCTGACAATTTGTAGAAATACTATTGCCAAAAATTGATGGTACTTATTGTGAATGATATCTTTGTGAAAATGAAAGCAAATAGTACCTGGTCAGAGTTTATTCTTTCTAGTTCTTTCAACCACTGACAACAGAACTCTAGGAAAAAAAGGCAACATTGTACTGTGAAGAATGCATGCAATTTCTTTTCCCTTGCCCTCCTTCATCCTTTCCCCTTGAGCCAGAAGGTACTTAGCCCCTTTCAGGAAGCCAAGGTCACAGAGCCATAGAGAAAAATGCCAGGAAAGTATTTCAGATTTATGAATGTTTTAATTTAAAATCTTCAAATAAGGAATCATTCAGGTGCTGCCCACATAGAGAAGGCCTAGAATGGGGTGCAAGGTGCAGTGGGTCTGGTGTTTTGAGGAGGAAGAGAGCCTGGGAAGAAAAGGAAGAGACAGTTAACTTCAGGACACCTGCAGAGGAAGATGCCTCAGGAACACTTTGCGTCCACAAGTTTGGAAAAAAAAGCTGACAAAAGCTGAATTTATGATTGTTTGTCAAGTGTGAACATATTCAATAGTCAAGCCTGGAGAAACTTGTACTAAACCTGGGATTCTCCCCTTTAGAGCTTCATTGATGCCAGGCCATACCCAGAATGCCCACTACTTGAATGTACACTACAAGGTGCACGTGTTTTTAGTAATGTGCATTTTCTAGAATTAGCCAGTGCCAGCTGTGGAGACTTATTAATAATGGCCCGTGTGCTTTGCAAAGACCTGAGCAACCATTGGTCTCCTCTTAGTTTGGCCACTGAGACAATCTCCTATGGTCACAATAACAAAATAAGAATAATAATGAAGAACTTGTTAAGAACTTTCATTTGACCAAAATATTTGAAATCAGCCACTACCAGGGTCAGACCCATTACACACCCAGAGACTCCCCCATTACAACGTCCAACGCACCAAAGCATGGTCAATTCCAACAAGATTCTTTGTGTTCTCTCTGTATGATAACCCTAAAGCAACAGTGTTATCAGCAATCCTTCCATTGCATTACAAATATAACATCATTTCATGTTCATAAGGCTGACATTTCTAATGAAAGTAGATTTGTATATAAAAAAGAAATATATATTAGATCCTGTAATTGTAGACAAAACCATGAAAATATAAGCTGCAAAGTTTCAGTAATCACCCCAAAAATGAGAAAATCATACTCATATTCTGTTTTTAAAGTCACATGATTTTTAAGTTTTATTGAAATATATAATTGTTGTGAATGCAGAATAAAAGAAATATAACAGGGTAGGCAAAATCTGACAGTGACACTTGTCATTATGACCTCTGATTTCTAATGGTTTAACTGCCTTTAAATTAACATTTTCATTCTCTGTGGGTGAGAGACAATGTCTCTGTGAAGATGCCCACTTTTGCTGGCTAATGGTGAAAAGAAATTCTATCCCAACTTATTTCTCCAGAGAAATCTAACAGGTGTCTAACATCACTAGTCCTACACAGTTCTTATGAACAAACCAGACCAAACACTGGGATTATCACAGCAGGGGGAGGAAAAGCTCTTGTTACTCACTCTGACCGAGACAGGACCAGTCACATGCCTCACAACTTTTGGAGAGGATCTTCTCAGTCTCCCAGGAGACACTAATCCCTTTGGTTTTCTATTTCATGTTGTTTATACAGTTCAAGCCATTTCAAGATGGGATAATGCTGAGCACCATCTCAGGAGGCCAAATAACCATCGGGCAATTCATACTTGGATAAATCACAATTCCTGCCTTGCAGGAACTACATGGAACACCATGTAGTTAGATTACTGAAGAGCCCAAAGTCCCTAGTTGGTATTACTGAAATCTGTGCATCTGGTGTATAGGCAAAAGAAAATTCTTAATGTCAAAGAATAATCAGAACAGCTTATATCTGCTGTTTTAACAGGGCTTTTAATATGCAAAAAGAAACAAACAATAACAACCAAAAAACACCCAAAACCCCAAATAAACAAACAAATAAAAAACCCCACCCACCAAAACCCCCCAAAGATCCACCAAAACCCCCCAAAGATCCCACAAAAAACCCCAAAAATCACTGAATAAACCATTAAACTTAAAATGGTGTGGTGAAGTAGATTTTTCAACAGACATTCTTTCACTTTCAACTGTCCAACTAAAATACTTCAGGAGGAAGCACTTCTCTACTTATTTCACGAATGCCAAAAGAACTGTCTTAGCATTTGAGAAAATCTACACCATCCACAAGAGCAAGAGAATTTATAAGACCTGTAAGAGTTTAGTGTCAGAGCAAACAATCAAACTTTGAAAAGCACCACTTTTTGAAGGATTATGTTGCAGAAATTTTATGTTCTTCTCCCTTTGATTTAAACATTTCATAGTTGATCCTTGTTCAAAAGCTCACTGTTTGGAAAATTTTGATCTATTTTTTTTGTTCTGAAAATTCAGAAATGTTAAAAAAACTCCTATCATTTCCCTAACAATATTTTATGACATTAGGAGGAAATAAACTTTTTAAACACCATATTTAGTAGATAAATGGGACTTAATGGGAAGTGTGTGTTTTATTATAGCTGGAAAAGGAGAAGTCTATATTACTCACCTTCTCTGAAAATCAGTTAGCTTTTACTCAGATATTTTACAGATTGAGGATTTAGATGTTGCAGTTCTGATTAGGAAATTTCATCAAGAATTTACAAATAACTTGTAAGTACACAGAGGCAACAACAACAACAACAATAATAATAATAGTAATAATAATGTTGCATAATGAAGAGTAAACTGCAGAATTTTAGTTTGAATATGGAATAATTCATTCTTTCACATTTGCAAGCACCTAGCACAACAAAGTACTGCAACAATCTTCTATGCACCACAAGAATGCCAAAAACCCCTAAATTCATACAGACATAGTTTCCTCTTTTGTAAGTTAAGATTCAAACCAAGCTGAACATTACTATCCCCCTTTTACAGAAAGTGTGATGGATGCAGAGAGAGGTGACTGATTAGTGAAACTATTCCTCGCCTGTTGCTCATGTTGCAGGAATTTGCAATCTCAGCTGCTGAAGTAGGCAAGGAATGATAAGATTGAGTCTTTCAATAGCTTCTGGATCATGGAATGATTAAGCTTGTAATTGCAAGAAGCCACTTAGGTCCTGACTGAGGAATGTGCAGCATCTTTATATAGTTCCTCAGAAAGGCATTTACGAGCTCCATTACTGAAGTCTGCTTATCCTCAGTTGGGCTTTTAACTCGGTGCAAGAGCAAATGATACAGAGGCAAAACTAGATGCCAAGTGTAAGCCAAGATAAATTTTCAACATGAAGTCTTAACAAATAATTCCAAAAGTCAATACTGCTTTTGTAATATTATTTAAATATATTGGCCAATACATATTTTAACACCAAATACAGAGAATGTGCCATAACTCAGCTTTGTGGGAGAAACCTGTGATTATTTTGTCTATTTTCACTCATCACAAATTTCTGCTGTAGTTTCTAGCATCTGCATTCAACCAGATACATTAGAATCTCCTCAAGTATTTATACCTTCAACAGGTTTTATTTCAGAAACGCAGAAATGTAATCTGAAAATGTCATCTAACACACATTCTCCACTACCACTCTATGTAATTAAAACCACTCTTGTAGAAAACACATTTCTTGCTCACTTTCATTTCACATAGTTCACACATACTTTGAAATTCCAGTATTTCAAGAATAGCTTTTCAGCTGATGTTTGTGACTCTAAGCCAGATTATTTTGGGAGGGTTGCTAGCAAATGAAATTATTTTGGTAATTTGAACATTATTTTAATATGCACCTTACCTCCACTTTTTCTGACAATAATGAAATAAGAATTGTTCTTCTAGCTTCTAGGTTTTATTCTTATTGGAGATACAACAGTACTTAGCAGCTACCTACTAACAATTTAACGCTGTACAAAGACAACAGGAAAACAGTCTCTGCCTGAAAACACTCATAAAATTAAAGCCCAGTAAATAGATTGATAGTTCAACAAGAGAGCAAAGGAAACAAGAATTAGTACAATAGATAGGAACCTTGGTAGTAGCTTAGCCATTTCTTGGGGTTTGCATAAGAGGGTATGAAAAAGACTTGAATTTTAATAGTAATCTTGTTTGATGATGGATGTTAGAAGGATATTTCTTTAAAGCAGGTCAGAAAGTAAAGGAGAAAGCATGAAGGTGCTAGTATGAACATTTAATAAATGGCAGCAGAATGAAGGCAGAATACTAGTTTTGTTATTTTATTTAGGTGACTACTACAGAAAATTGGTTTTGGAACTGAAATTATTTCATTCTAGTTTAATTTGGCCCACAGCAAATGTATTTTATTTTTCTTCATCCTCCTGATTGAAAGACCTACCAGTAAAATTTCAAAATGCAATCTGATCACAGATCTCCAAACAGAGGTTTTTATTATTGACCAGCTAAGCTGTAACTTGTGTAACACGTCTAGTGTTATGGCTGATGTTACATCTTTAGGTCTTTGGAGAATTTTAGAGGATACAAGTTCTGGTAGCTGCAGCCTTAACCACCAAAAAGTTTCTGCAAGATAACTGCAGACCACATACAGCTGTTTCCTCTTCTGCCTGGGGTAAAATCTGCTGGTTTGTGTCACTCAGAAGTTATGTGAGTGTGTTTGCATTATGGAAGCTAGAAGTGATTAGGAAGGCCTGGGTTATGAGAGGTGAAGTGTTGAAAAATGGGTTAGCACAAAGTGGCCCCAGATTCATTTTCTTTTATTAGCTTAATGTCCCTCTTTTCTCCCTCCATTAAATCCCCACAGCAACACCAATTCCAACCCCACTAAACACACAGAGCACCTTCAACACTTTCTGTCTTCATCAGCACTGGTGACTCACATGGCTCTCTGCTCTCTGCAGAAGTGCCATGCTGTGCCAGTACAAATGTCACTTTTCTCTCCCCCTGTGCTGGGTTAGAGCACACCAGGAATCAGAGAGTTAACACAGTGAGCAGCACAGGACATCAGGTGCCCCAGCCCTATGGCTCGTCACTCGTGGGTACCTGGAGTCTGGATAAACACAGGACAGTGCCTGAGATCTGTCAGGGGCTGACACAGCATCACACAACAGGCATCACAGGCACTGGGTTTTCCACAGCCTCATCATCGTATTCAAGAGTGTTTAGAGTATGGGATGGAAACATAGAACTCAGAGGTGTGTATTGGGGTAGAAGCCAAACGTTGTAGTGAGAGACTAGCAGATGGGGAATGTGTTTCTGATAAAAGCAGGCAGAAGTGTGGTTCTCAGGGCACACCAGAAGTTTTGGATTGTGGTGTTTAGGAGTATTCCTAATGAGGAAATTCCTGAATTACATTGGTGTAACTGCATGAGGAAAAGAAAACCTCTGATCAACTTGGATTTACATGTTACTTAAAGTAACAGCCACAATGATGAGGTGGGGAATGACTGAACACTTTATCCTGTTAAGCAACTCCTTTTCTTCCCCAAAAGGAAAAAATACAGTATTCTCTTCACATGCTTGTTCAGCAATCTCTCTTCTGCAGCAAAGTAATTTCCTGTAAAATCTCTAGCCCTACATCTTCAGTTTTCCTTTGCAATAATAACAGTGAAAGATGAAAAAGAATACAGTTGGATACAGAGAAGGCACTGCCCTGCACTGACTGAATCTGAAGTACGGGAAAAAGACTCAATTAAAATCTGTGTCTCCTCTACCAGTGAAAAAGTGGGTACACAATGGTGTTCTTGCAGGCCTTTGTTCTCATGGGAGATTTTGGGCTTTTCCAATTCTGTACTTAGCAGAAATATTCACAATCATTTTAAACTGGAACTAAAGTGAGTCTTTTGTCAGGAAAGGGGGAGAGAATACAAAGAGTCTTACTTATAAACTTCTGCACATGTGTTTAGATTTCCTAAAGCCAGAAGTCTTATGTAGGGGTAGAGATTTCTCACTGTGTTCTCGCCAACAATTTTGTTCTTGTTGAGTCACCTACAAAGCAAATGTAAGAAACCTAATCACTTTACAGGGTGTGCAGCAGATCACAGAATTACTTCCAAGTATGCGTGTCATGAAACCCTGACACTGTAGGCTGGAACCTTTACAAATCACTTTGCTGTTAGGTAATTAATATATTTATAGATTCTTTTGTGCTTAAATAGAAGAGTGATGATAATAGCACTCAAGGACTGAAAACTTGCCTCTTTGCTGCTTTGTCTGTAGAATCATAGTGAAAGAAGCCAGCTAGCCACTAGTGGAGTGGGTCCCAGAACTGACCTGTCTCCCCAGTGTGCAGCAGCCTGGCCACCTTTGCAGGCCTTTGGAATCCTGCACGTCCAGCCTGCTGTACAGTAACCCTCTGCAATTATTCAGGATACACTGCATCAATGCACCCCTTACCCTGCTGTGTTATTTACAGAAGTGAAGGACAGTACCTAAAGGTGTGCAGCTGGAAACAGACAGCCCGTGTAGGACACTACAGTACATAGTCCTATATCCCACAAAGCACTATATTTTTAAAGAACTATTGCACCAGATTAGAAAAAACCTCAATAATAAGCATGCAGGAACATTCCACTCCCAGGTGAAATTTCCCACACTTTTAACAGGGAAGGAAACCATGCAGAAGAATAAAATAGGAGGTCAGTCAAGGCTTTTCTAGGCTCATTGAAAACTAAAATTATGTTTTCATCAGAAATATAAAATGGGGGGGGGAAGAATAGAAATTGAAACTATGTAATTTTGGTTTTTATATAATGAAGAAAAGCAAAATTCAATCTTTACTAAATTCTAAAAGTGTTTGTAGTTCATATTTTAACTGATGCTGAAGAAGGTTCGAATCATTTGTAAAAAAGTGCAAGAAGCATGAATTGTATTATGGCTAAAGACCAAAGGCCATCAGATGAAATCTTTGCAGATGTAACTCCACTAAAGTCAACTAAATTATGCAGTCTGAAAACATGGTACAGAAATAGAGATTTTATAAAAAGAATAGAGTGTATTATTAATAATATACCATTTACATGAACTAAAGCACCTATTTGAACATGAACATAAGCTTTGTTTTATTTTAAAACATTTTCATGCCATGTTCCTTTCAATTTTATAAAGCAGAACTAAAAGTTCAAAGCTAATTATAACTGTTGTTGTGTAGTTTGGAAGAATTCTTGTGGCTGCCAGAGGAGTAGAGCCATAGACAATTTGCCACAGAGGTGACTGGTAAAATTAGATGTGATAAAATTACTAGTATTTTATAAAAGTGTAGTTATACAGGGGTGAGTCAATAGAAAGATGACAGAATGATGCACAAAAAACCATGCAGTATATGAATCAGAATGTTAATTACTGGTATTTTTATACATCAACATAGCTCATGGCAATTAGCAAATGATTAACAGATTTTATTAAGACAAAAAACATTAGCATGAAATTAAAAACTTGATTCAAAATAAAGATGAAGAAATATAAATAAATAAATCATGTTAAAGAAATTAGTAAAATAAAAGTTACTTAAATAAAACCTAATCTTGAGAGAGATTAGGATACTCATTACTTGTTTACAGTTTCCTCTCTGCTGTGCTACTTTGATTGCATATGAAGTAAAACATCATTTGGTTTATGCTTGCTCACCCTATATATTAATAATGTCATTAATTCTCCTTATAAGCTTCCTAAATGTTTCTTGACACATTGAGGAAATATTTTAATCTACACCTTTAAAGTAATTAGAAAACAAATTGTTGTAGAGTGTCATGTAGGCAAGTACTTCAACTTTTAGTGCTGAAGTAAACTTCTGAATACAAACAGCAATTGATATCATTTTAGCTGGTATGAAATTACAAAGGTCATCACAGGAATGTGAATTCCTTTCCACTAAAGCCTTCATCAGTCAAAACAGAAGGACTAAAGATGAGCCATTAATTCCTCGTGGTGTATTAGGGCACAGGCTACTGCACCAGCTACAGTGTTGTGGAATCCTGATCTTCTGTAACAACCATATTAAGCCGCTTTTAGGACAAAATTAATAATTCTAGATGAAAGTGCATGGCAAATTAATGTAGACAGCTAGATATGTAAGAATATATTCCCTGCCATCTTGTCATCAACCAAAACATTCACTTATGACAAATCAGAGCTCAATATGAGGAAAAAGAAAGAGGAAGACTTTTTCTATCCATTCCACTTTATTTCATGACAATGTGGAGGCGATATGATATCTCAGTCAGACACAGAACTTGATAAACTCAGAGGCAATTCCACAACTTCTCTGTGGAAAGTGTTGTAATTTATAACTTGCATGGGCAGATGGGAGAGAAAGGAGACAGCTGCTGCAGCCACAACAGCTGACTCCACCAGATATGCCACAACTGCAAAACAGATTTTAGTGAGCCCTCTCTCTTTTTTTAGTTTCTGCATTTACCAAGAAGCCAAAGACAACAGAGGTGACAGCCGGAAACACAGCTGTGTTTGAAGCAGAGACAGAAAAGTCTGGCATCAAGGTGAAATGGCAGCGAGCTGGCACAGAAATTACTGAAAGTGAAAAATATGTCATCAAGTCAGAAGGCAACAAGCATTCACTGACAATCAAGAATGTAGGAAAAGAAGATGATGTGACATATGCTGTAATAGCTGGAAGTTCCAAGGTCAAATTTGAACTCAAGGTCAAGGAACCAGGTACATCATTTCCTATGCAGGTCTGGTTTCATCAGTATTTCCAGTCCCACATGCAACCTTCACAGATAAAGCCCATGGAAATTAGCCTATTTTAACACTGTAAAATTTCTCTACCAGCAATACACCTATTTTACCCAATTATTTGAAGCTGCTAATTCATATTAAGCTGAGGAATACATTTCCAGTGGCTGAGACACCTCTTTCCAGGTGTCAGAAGTCCACAGAGAAGAGATCATAGGGGAAATGTCAATTCTTTAGAGTTCTGTCACGCTTTTACACTTAATTACTGAAAAGCAAAGCAAAGCTAATCTAACCCTCACCCTGACCTAAACTAAGATGCCTGATTTTAGGAGTGGGATTTTCTTATAATAATTTAATTTAAATACAAAATTGTAATGATTACAAGTTATGCTGTAATATTTCTAGAAGCTCATACATTCCCCAAAATTGTCTCAAAATCTCCTGCTACCAAAAATGAGTATTTCAAGAGGAGCTTGAATATGAAGAGTAACATTTGTATTATTTGTGTATCTCCCATTATTACTACCTTTGTACACTTTAAAAGACCAGTTACATGGAAGTTTCAAAAACTTTCCCAGGTTTTCCTGGGAATAAATTTAAAGAGTCAAATTTCCTGGAATTTTCTCATGAAAAAGTATCTGAAGATGCTTAGGATAGATGAAATTACTAATTTTTTGAAACATTTTGACCTTCCATATCCCTTTTTCCCCTCCAAAATTGTATCCATTTACCACTTCTGGTATTTGACATTTTGCTTTTTAACTTGGTGAAAAGCCCCAAACTCAGATTGTTTATATCACTTCCTTTTCTTTGCTATCACTGTTTATTCTAGCAACGTAATGAGACCTTGTGAGACCTTCTGGTCAGCTGAAAAAAAAATGGAGGAATGTTTAACATGCCTCAAGATGTCCTGTTCCATATGCAAAGACAGGGCATGACAGAGTATGCGTAAGGGAAAATCCTGGTATGGATTAGGACAACTTGACAGCTGTCAGAACATGCAGAAATATGGTCCTGCTGACTATCTCATCCTGAAAGCAAACTGGTCCATATTGAACTCATTACATTTTCCTCATTGTCTTTTAGGTTAGTTCCATGTAGAGGCTGCTACAGGCAGAAAACTTGCAAATAATGCTGTGGAGCACAGTGGAGTAGAGTTCGTAATGTTACAGAGTAATTGGATTGCTCATTATTATTTGGAAGTGGCTCCACTACCTACAGAGAAAAAATATCTTGCTGCAACTGATCTATTTCAAGAAATTCTACCTCCCTCCATCTGCTCCAGTTGCTCACTCCTACTCCATTTTCAGACAATTCTGTCTTCTCCATTGTGCCAAATGCATTTGCCTAAATTTGTCTCTGAGGTCATGGTTTAATTGAGAGGATACAAACTTCCATAAGCCAGGGGAAGACATTACAGATGGATTTTTAAAATACTTAATCCATATTGTTTACTAGCAGTGTCTAGAGCTTTTTCCAAGCTGCAGACAACAATTGCCTTTGTAACATTACATTCCAACAGCATCATTAAACAAAATCTCATGAATAAGCAAACTGTTTACAAATATAAGAATTACATCCTTTTTCATTACCTTTTCTGTTTAGAAACTGACAGTAGTTACTTTAGTTTACTGACATTTGCAACAAATAATAGCATTATTCATCATGTGACAAGTTTCTAAACATCAAGACTACAGAATTTTAAAAACCAGGCATTAGTTCTTTCTGAGCTCAGCAAAAGAAAAAGCCTCATCATCCAGCTTCAGTGGGCCCTTTCTGCTTCCAGCACATCCTCTAAGCTCTAGGAAACAACAGCTAATTTCTCTGCATTTCCTAAAATATATTAAAGGCTGTTCTTTTGCAAAATTTCTTCAAAAAGAAAGAGGAAATAGACTTTCTCTAACCTTGGCTTACATTCATTTCCAGAAAAGAGTGAGACAGTCACTCCTGCAGAAGCTGCTCCAGCCCCAGCTGCCCCAGAGTCACCTGCTCCACCAGCAGAAAGCAGCCAAAACACAGAAGGTAACAGAGAATTAACATTGGCATCAAGTCTGGTTTATTAGCAGAGGGGAAGAACATCCACAGGCACTCCTTAGTGTGAGATAGTGACAGTAGATGAAAACAGATCAGGGAATAAGCAGATAGGGAATAAGGAATTTCAGAGGCATAAGAAATCTACTGAGAAATTTTAAAATTAATTGACTAGTTCACTATATAGTTTGATGCCAAAAAAATCTGAATAGTAATTATGATGTTTATTTCAGTTTCATCTGCTGAGACACACCCAGAAGAACCTCTGGACCCCATTGGGCTCTTTGTGGCACGACCACAGGATGGAGAAGTTACTGTTGGTGAGTGCAAAATGTTAGTCAAGTGAAGTTTGTAAACTACCTGTTGCTTGACTATTAGCTCTCCAAGTATAGAATGACAGCAGTGATACAACAGATAAACATAACTGATAATCTTACTTTAATCTACTTCTCCTACAAGGTGGAAACATCACATTCACTGCCAAAGTTGCAGGTGAGAGCCTGCTGAAGAAGCCATCAGTGAAATGGTTCAAAGGAAAGTGGATGGACCTGGGAAGCAAAGTGGGGCAACATCTCCAGCTACATGACAGCTATGATCGAAACACCAAGGTACAACTGGCAGAGTAGGGTTCTCAGTCTTCTAGGCACTAATCTTTAATCTTAAGAAAATAGAAACTAAAATAGGACTGTTTTGATGTTAAGGTACCCAAAGCAACACACAAGGCTGTACTTATCCACAGAAGTCTGTGTTTCAACCACACTGACACGAGACAAGCTCTACATACAGACTCTTGCATACTTTATCTATGGTGAAATGAGAAAACATCTGGAGGACTGGGGGAGTAGTTTTGCACTTTCTACTGCAGGATTCCCTTCATCTTCCCCCTCAAGAAACTTGGTATATTTAAGAGAAAACAATCTGACAGCTATTTAAGCATAGTCTATCTTGGTCTTAATAGGTCAATCATTCTGCTATTAGTGCTGGAATTGATTGCTCTCTTGGCTTCTCTAGACTGCTAGCTGAGTAAGACCCATTTTTTACGAGAAATTTGTCCAAAGGCACCTGAGCAGCAACATGAGTCTGTGCCACAACTTTGTTTCCTCTGTGGTACATGAGCCACTACCACCCTCTCCTGGATGGAGCTGGACAGGCTCCTCACATGAGCCACTCCTTTCACTGAATTCTGGCATGTTCTGCATACGGTCTGGGAAGAGGATAAACTGATTAGTGAAAGCTTTATTGCTGTTTCCAATGCACATGCAATTAGTGTGTGCCCCAGCAGAGTTTGGTATCTTTGTATCCTCAGGAATACCTGTACTGACAGCACTCTTCAGCTGTTTCTACTGAATTGGGGAGTATAGGCAATTTTTTGTTACAGTAATGAGTTGGACACTCACGAGGTTCTTAGTTCTAAAAGGACACAAAGACATAGTTCATCCTTTGTCTATTTCTCTTCATTAATTCCCTCTCTCAGGTTTCACCATTTCACTTTCTAACTTAATTATTGTATCATTGGTGTCTCTTCTAGGTGTACACCTTTGAAATGGAAATCATAGAAGCAAACATGACTTTTGCAGGAGGGTACAGATGTGAGGTGTCTACCAAGGACAAGTTTGATAGCTCTAATTTCAGCCTGACAGTAAATGGTAAGGTGAATTCCTTCCATCTATTTTGTTTTATCTTCCTGCACCTGTATTTTTTTTTTCCTGTCCACCAACAGTTCTTTCTGGTACATAATGGCTACTAGAAAAGCAGAAATCTGAAGTACAGACCTGAAGATTTATAGAGGAGAATGGGATTGGGATCATTAGAAATACCACTTGGTTGTCACTCTGGTCAGAACTGTGATGCTCTTAAAGAAAGCACACAGAAAGATACAAAACTGCCCACCTTTTCTCTGTCTTTATTCTGGTTTCAGATTCATTCTTTCATGAAGTTTAATTCCACTAGAATAGAAGTTCATTCTTATTTTGGCAAAAGTTCAGCACTAAAAATGGGTATTTGAAAAAGATAGGTTTAGACATGTGACACTATTGTCAATTCCTTTTCCCTTCCTATATAAATAAATTCAACTCGTACAGAAGCACCTTGTGAGATAAAATTGCTGTAAGAGCAGATGACTCATTTTATTCAATGCATGGTGCCACCCTCACAAGTGCTATACTGAAAAGTTTATAAAAATTTCAACATCAATTTGCCTTAAGTGTGGGAAAGTTTAAGTAAAAGAGTATAAGCATGGACTGCCTAAAAGAGCTGAATATTTGGACCATTTCTGGTTTCAGCAATTCTATTGAAGGGGCTGCAACATTAACTTGTGTCCAGCTACCAGTGAACCTAATGATAAGACAAAAGTTAATTAAGTTATTTGATCATCAGTGTCAATTTTTGTAGTTTCACTAGATAGGACTCACAAGACTTCAGAGCAGCAACTGAGAACAGTTTTTCTCCCAGCAGCAGCAGCACACCAATTTATGCCAATAATGTAATAAAATTCTCTCTATACAACATCCTCAATTAAGTTTCTGTACAGAGGTACAGAATAGTTCCTACACAGTTCCAGGAATTTACCTCTGCTGTCAGAGGATAGATTATAATTTATTATTAATAATAGTATTCAGTTGATGTCCAGTCATATTCTCATTAGGGTTTAAATACTCTGTGAAGACACTATTGAAATTAAAATTTTGCAGTAGGAGAATTGACAAGCAAGAGATAAGATAGTCTATCAGGCTCCAGGTTATTACGAAACATGAGACAGAAATAAGTTATCAAAAAACCACTCAATGTTGAAAGCTAATTAGTGAAGGTTACATGCCTAAAGATGATGGGTTAATCTTCCAATATGCAATTAATCACAATTTACAATATAACAATTTATTTCTAAAAATGTTGGCAAAGGAAAAGTTTAGAATATTTAGTATATTTTTGCATTTTGTTGACTTGCTTTGCCATTTTCCTTCATTATTTTTTGTCACATCAGAAGCACCTGCAAGTGGAGACTTGGACATTCGAGCTGCCTTCCGCCGCACGTGAGTACACACAACAGAAACCTGTCTAGATCAGGCTGCACATCCTTGTGGAATTCATTACTTTCCCAGATAAAACCAGCTGAAAGCAAAGCTGTTCTACAAACAAACACAAAGATACAGAGGTCTACTAAGAAAATATTTCTACTATTAAAATACTATACAAATCCTGGAAATAACCTAAGACAGTTTGGACTTTGTGCTAGTGTAATAATAATGCTTGCCTTCAATTAGGCCATCCATAATGTATATAATTGTAACAAGAACTTCAGCACCTTTTTTCCAGGCCTGCAAAGAGCACTCCAGATATAGACCAATAGAGATGGAAAAGATATTGTGTGATGCTGGTCTTGATTTTGTCTGGCTTATATGTATCTTAGTACAAACATCTGCATTTGCTCAACAAGGACAGTGGAGTTCAGTGTGAGCTCTGCAGGCAGCAGATGACTGATAACGTTCCTGCAAGCATTTTGATTGTATCTGTTTTCATGGTCTGTACCTGTATTAGTTGAATGAAGACAGTGACATTGTGAGTGGTGAAAACTCAGCTATATGTAATCTTAGATATTAAAGACTGGTGTTGAAAAAGCCAATCTCCCCCCATGTTTAATACTTTCTGATGTCTCTCTTACTGGAAGATTCACAAAATTGGTCAGATTTTTTTCTAGTGTTATACATTAATATGTGCTCTCTTTTTCCTTCATGCAATAATAAATAAGTTTCTATTTTAGTTTTTATATGTATTTTTGAAAAGTTAAAAGAATATTTTTACATCTATTTCTCTAAAGGACACAAATCATCTGTGGCAACTCCTTGAGTATTTCTCTATAAGCCCTATTTTTATATGAGAATTTTTCTAACATTTATCACAAAGAATTAAACAAGGCTAGCAGAATTTGTCTACAGTTAAGTCCATCTGTAGGTAGCTAATCAGCCTCGCTGTCAAATAGTGGCCACTCACTGCATTGTATTATTTCACTGCAGTGAAAGGAGAGATTCTCTTCTTGTTAGCACAATTAAGAGAATTCTGAATCAGTTGGAGGAGAGTGCAGTGAGAGCAGCTTCAGGCTGTTCAGATTGTCAGTTTCTCCTGTAAGAATGAAGCCAGATTTTGAACGGAACTGCTTAAATCTGAAGTTTTGTCTTTGATACCCTCACTCAGGAGCCTAGCAGGAGGGGGGAGACGGATGACTTCAGCTTTTCTCAGGTAGTCACTGACTGTGTCAGTAGACAAACTCAAGTCTTACAATGAACTGTCTCTCTCTGCTTAGGAAAGAAAAAATAAACAAGCCCACAGAATTAAGATGCAGCTTAAATTTCAAATAAATCACTGTTTATAATGTGTAGTATTTATGAGATTCATACATACGAATAAGAAGTAATGTAAGACAAAAAAAGAAAAATTAAAAAGATAAAACATAAGAATATAAAAAGATAGATAAAAACAAATAAATAAAGAAAAGAGTAGCTTGGTAGATCAGTGAGAGGCAGATTCATCTAAAGAAATCGCATGTGTTTGGCAAGTGACATCTCACCCTTGTCAGAAGAAAAAAAGTAATTTTAAATTATATGCATGTCTGGCCTCTCTGTTTTACATGTTTTCCTCTCTACTGAGCACATTTTGACTAAAATTGCTGTTGCTCACAGAAATGTACCAACACAACTGAAAATCTGTTGTTTCCTGGCACATTCCTTATCATATTATCATTAAAGTTTTCACTCTCTGCCTTTTGCTCCTAATGTTTTCTACTACAGCAAAAACAGGAGTTCTGAGATTAGACTTAACTATATGCATGTTAAAGCAATTATTAGTCTTATTCGTCAAAAAAGCTAAACCTTGATTGCTGGTCTTTCCTGAAACTTTAACTACCACTTGTGAAACAATAAGGTGAATAGTTATTCTCCTAGCTGTAGACCTGATTTGCTGAATATTTGATCACAGGAAATCCTTTCCAAATTTGGGATTACAATAGTTACTTTTATGTACAATTTATGCCTGCAAACATGCAAATTCTTGTGAAAGTAGGGCCAAAACAACACTTTTCTCTTTGAGCCTTATACCAAGGAAATGATCCTTTCCAGTACTGTACTATTCTGAAAGTAATTAAATATGTAAAACTGGGATTACAATAGTTACTTTTATGTACAATTTATGCCTGCAAACATGCAAATTCTTGTGAAAGTAGGGCCAAAACAACACTTCTCTCTTTGAGCCTTATACCGAGGAAATGATCCTTTCCAGTACTATTCTGAAAGTAATTAAAGATGTAAAAACAGTATTTTCTTATCAAAAGATCTCTTCTCACAGCATATTTCAAATTACATAGACTCTAAACTGTTCTTTACCCTTATATTCTTTAGCAGCACAAGAAGCTTGGCACTCATTTCTGTTTCATTTTTTTAACTGTTAAAATGCCCATCATTTTTCTGTTGAGGCTGTTTTCTTATTTCTAAAAATTCTTGTTCCTGCAACACTGAGTTTTCCCAACACTTTGATTTATATTCTATAGACACACTGCTTTTTTCTGAAGCAGCTAGGACTGGTGTGGACAGAGGCAGCATTATGGTCTGCAACTACCACCAGTACAACTGGAAAGAAAAAATTCTGCTTATGAAAGAATAATTAAATGCAAGGTATTACTTGTATGGAAAAAATATGAATACTGTGAGATGGAATCACCAGATTCTTGCACTCAAGACAACAGAGATGTTAAAGAGCAGCTGGTCATTGATGATAGTAGACTGGCTGAGATGAAGAAAATACATTTGGGCTTTCTAAATCCTGTCTGAATGCAAAGATGACCCTTTTTTAGGAATTAAATCTAAAGAAGTGATTGTAGTGACTTTATGCTGTTTCCAGAGTAGGTCAGTATTACAAATGTTCAGAAGCACAGCTAAAACCCACTGGATCAGAACACCAAAAATAACATTGTGCATTCCATCTGAGTTTACCGTATGCAACGGGCAGAACCACACATCAAAAAACTCCTGCCTGGTGCTTCTTGTTTTCACAGACCAACTCACCACAACATTGCTTGCCATGATGCTTGTTGAGCAAAGGCACATTGAACTGAAAGGCAGATCACAGAATTCCTCCTTCAACTCTCCCAGGCACCAATGATGTGACACTTTTTTTTCAGTGTAATGAATTCTGGTAACACAAAAAGCCTCAAGAAACCACCCCAACTGTAAACAATATCCACACTCCTGAAAGACAGAGGAAAGAAGGAAGCTTCTGCAACACCTCTGTGATAATGAATACATTCCAAATCAATATGATGACCAAATTAATACCCTGTACAACTTCTTGCACAATCAGCACAGAAAAAATACAATTTCATTACATTTATTTTTAAACCCAAATGCAAATTAATATGAACACAGAGCCTGCTTAAGTCACTTTCCATGTCAATGCACATTCTAATTAATTATAAACCCATCTACTACTCCCCTACAAAAATGTGTCATCTATATAATGTTCTAGTCTCACAAGCTATTCGCACTTCCTTCTGAAACTAATTATGGCTTTCTATTACTGTACAGTACCGAGGGACATGATGATGGGGCAGAGTTTAATTTCAGCTCCCTACTGAAAAAAAGGTGAGTAAAAAAATCCATAGACTTAGAGAAATAAGGCTTCTGTTGAACAACTCTGAAACGCCAGAACTGGAATAAGTGAAAGTTTCACAAACTCAGAATCCTTGTCATTTTCCTAAAGCAGCTCTAAATGGAAAAAGCATGACAGGTAATTATGGCTACTTTCTGAAATATACAGCATTTGCTGTATTTCTACTAGGTTTATACAGGGGGGGAAAAAAAAAAAAGGAAAAAAAATTATCTTTCCCAAGATAGAAAAGGCCTGGACTCACGTAATTACATGTTTCCAGCAGCTCTTTTCATGGGGGCAAGGGGGGGATTAAAATGCCTATTTATAATGCTGCCCTATTAAGAACCAAGATTTTTTTGTTAGATACCTAAATGTAACTATTACACTGTTCAACAATATATTATCAATTATATAGATATTCTAAGTTGCATAAATATGACAAATATGTTTTACTCTTCCAGTTGTAATTTGTATTTGTTTCTGTTACTTTTACTTTCACTTTTCTTTTTTTCTTTGCTGTAATTTCTTCTCTAATTCTCATCTTTCCTTGATGCATCTGTTTTCATAACCTGTTTACTTATGCTCTTCTCTTTTTACCAAACTCTTAATCTGAATGTTTCGGATTCCACTGTTGCCAACAGAGAGTAAGCTTTCTATTTAATTATATTATAAATGCATGGGTCAGACTGAATATAAGAACCCCGTGGTTTGAAATAATGCATGCATCCATCTTTGTCTTCTTTACATGTAGAACACGACAGAAATTGCATAGTGTGAAAGAAAATGATTGACTGCTAATTTCTGAGACAGAAAATCTTTTAAACAGTTTTAAGGTTAAAATTAAGACAATTTCATACAATCAAGGCATTTCTCTGGATGTCCTTTGGTTTCAACCATCACTTTCTTTCATACAACCAGTTTTAAAATTTCCTTGAATTTCCAGATTTTCTCAATAACCTGCTGCTTTGTATTCCTGTTGTCACAGTATTTAGAATCAGAAAAATCATTTGCATAATATTGTTGCCTATCAAATAGGTGATGAAGTTCTGCTTGCTTCTTTCTTTCACTGACCCTGGCCACTCACTCTGTCTTTCCAGCACCTGAAACTATATAAAAACTTGTCACTTAGATTCATGTTTTGCAAGTCTAAACTCTCTCAGTTTAAGTTTCCACAATCAACTACTTGGATGAGTGTTGTTGTGAATCTGTGTTCAGTCTCTGCTCAGGCAGTGGTAACACTATTTATAAAAACTGCTTTATCCTCACAAAGAGTACAGGATCATGCTGACAAATTAAGTAACTTCCTACAGAAGGCAATAAAGCCACAATGGCCTCAGGTTAACTCACCCAAACCTCAGTGGGGCAAACAAGGCCACACGCTGCACAGCCCCTGTGTCACACTGCACGCAGGGCATCTGTCTGTGGGTCAATCCTGGCTTTGCAGTAACACCCAAAGCAGAACACTTCAGGGGGACAGAGATCAGACAGAAAAAACACCTTTCTATAGCTGGCATGGATATCCAAGTTTCTTGTTCCAGGATGAACCCAATTTGTTGTAAACAGACTCTAGTTTCCATAGAAGATGTAAGCATAAAACAATTGCTTGTCCTCTTTATAAAATTTGAAATAAATGAAAACCAGCATGAAAATATTTGCATCATTACATACAGGGTTTCCAGCTGGAATGAGGTGCTGAGTACTAAAAGCCTCTCTCCTCATACCTTTCTCTTTTGCTTTCATAAATAGTTTTGAGCAATAATCAAACTCAAAAAAGCAGTAACAATCTTCAGTATTTACAGAAATGTTAAATTTATTGATTTAGCTATTTATTATTAATTAGGCTAGAAACATGATTTCTTAAAAGAAGCTTATAAATTTCACTGCATTTTAAGTTTCTGCCTTTTATTGACTTAGCAAATCTCTGCCTAGTGAATTTAATATATATTAATATAAATTCACTGCTTATAGTTGTTTTTCACAGCCACTTCAGAAGTAATTTGTGGACTCTTCAGTCTTTGCACACCTCAGGCTGAAGACCACTTATATTAATGAGAACAGATAGGCATAAAATCTCATAATGGAATGAAATAATTCTTCACGAAAACAGAACAGGAAAAGGGATCTCATGCTGGGGAACTCTCAAGAGCTATGCAGATTCAAACAGAATCAAGAATTATTCTTTTACCATTTCTGCTTTCTTACACCATTTTACAAGTGTACCTCAATCCACAGGTAATGATCATTCTATAATAAATAGCTTCACTATAATAAAAAGCTTCATTTAACACTGTATCTCCTATCACTGTAATTTAATTAACTGGTGTTGACATACAGATGTCATGGGCCAAGGAGAGGTCATTGGGAAGAGGAAGGGAACAGCTGTCACAGGACTATTAAATGAGATAGTGAGCAGAGACCTTGAAGGAGGTGACAGCTGACAGGGTCCAATCAGTTGACAGTAACTGGATAGGAAGGAACCATTTCTGGGATGTACAAAACTATTTTTAACCCCTCCACATATGTTTAAAACATATCAGCTGCATATTCCATTTACAGCAGGTTCACTGAGCTGCATCTTGATGCCCCCAAGTGCATAGCTAACCTATGAGGTGATCTCTGTGAATAAGGATCCCCAGCATCAGGGAGAAGAGCAGAGGAGGGGCAGAAACCTCATGAGTCCAAGTGCTCTCCTACATTTCATACACTGCTTAGTTCCTGTTGGTAGTGGAGGAGTACAGCACCTCTGGGCAAACTCTGTGTCTTTCTGTGATCAAAGAGAATAATTTAACAAATGCAAAATAGTGAAAAGGACTGCTGGGATGGAGAAAATTTTGATCAAAGGAAAACACTTTTTTTCTTTCCATTTTCAGAACTCAGTTAAACAGAAATTACAACCTCTAGCTTTTAGTCCCATTTTGCATGAAACTCAAAAGCCTTTTATTTTAATTTTAAACAATTAGCATTTCCTAGGAAGAGACTATATTCTTTCTAATGTTCAAACTTCTTAGATTGCATACACCAGAACAGTACTGCAATATAAAACAATGGGATGACACTGAGTAATGGAAAAGCCAAAGCAAAAACTAGGGAAGTCTTCTCAGTAGTGAGAGATATTAGACTTCTTTGGGACTCCTTTGAAATTGGAAGATTTTTCTCATTATGTACTTAAAAATAACTCTCACAAAACATTTCTGAAATCTCCATGAATGGTCCTACCTGCAAATTTCCAGATATAGAGTGTGTATATACAGACAAGCCTATAAGTAGTCAGATAGAGAAACTACCAATATTTATATAATATCTTAAGGAATATGAAAATATTTGAATCTCTTAAGTCTTCCTTATTTCCTATGATTTTATATTTTGTAGATACAGTTTCTTGACAGAAGTTTGACTGTACTAGTAAAGAATTAGAAACACATTAGAAAATTATATGCCCTTAGATTTATATAGTACTTAGTATCTAATACTTATATAACTTATATATTTTAACTTATATATATTTAGAAATATTTGAAAGCCACTCCTTGACATGATTAGGGCAACAAGGCCAAAAGAACTGCTTATGTAAAAAAAATCTTGATCTATGCGGCAAATCAGTTCAGTTTGCCTGTCTCCTGCTAAGCAAAACTTAAAACTATTTGTAGCAGCCTCAAACTAAACGATAGGTATGTAGAAGAGGAACCCTGGTAAAAATTTTTGGTGATGAAGATGCAGTGTTATGGCAAAGCAAATACCCAATGTGCTGCCCTTATCATTGACACTCCAAACTTCAGCTCCTCCTATCAATTCAGTGAGCGCTGGTGAGGGCTTTGGGCTTAGCGAGTGCTAAACCACTTTGGAGATATGAGATATTGCCTACCACATTGCAGCTCAGTCTCATGGAGCTGAAATCCCCTTTCTTGCTTCCTTTCTGTTCAAGACCTACAAAGTGCTGGAAATTCCAAGCTTGGACTGCAGCACTTTAATAAACACACCGCTCCTATTGCAAGCAAGCACTGTTTTGACAATAAAAGGAGTACCAGAAATGTTTGGTTATATCTACTGTCTGGACGAACTGCAGTAGTACTGTTAATTAGCAATATTTCTCACAGACTAATTGGACTGTTATTTTCCTGCAAAAAATGGAAATGCACCCAATAACAATGGAAATACACCCAATAACATTCCACTTTCCTCTGCCTCACCTGTTGCATAACTCGTCTTCTTGTTGGGGTTTACCACTGAACATGACTGTATTATAAGGGTGTGTTCTGCTGGACCAGAATCTGCTTGGTGCTGGTGATAGAAACAACAGCCACAGGAAGTTCTTTCTCCTAAGAATTTTTTAATTTAAACATTTTTTTAAAAATGCTACTTCTTCCATCATTTCTCTATTTACCAAAATGCAAACTGTGAAGGCAAAAATGCCATGATGGCAGGGGCAAGTAGTTATTTGTTTCCCTGGAAGGTGATCAGCAGTAAGAAGGAATAAACAGAAGTGTTTGCACTTAGCATATGAATCCCACAGTGGAACTGTACGTACAAAGTGTGGGAGAGAGTTTGATTTCAGTATGGATCAATATTTCCCTCAAGCCCTTTTCAGAGCATTTGCATGAATTCCTTCCTCTCCCTGCTACTGAAGCACAGACATGCTCTGCTAAGGGTGAAGATGAGATTCATGGCTCTTTTGCACTAACACATGATGCCCTTTCTCTTGCCCCTGGGATGCTGTGTGTTGTCCCACACGGTTCTCGGCGTCCTTCTGGAGTACAGCAGCTTCCTGCGCCCTTCCAACCGGTAAGGTCATGCCAATCTCTTTTTCTATTTATGATCTTTCAAACAAAGATATGATGGCAGATAAAAAAAAGAATGCCTCTCCCAAAGCCAGACAGCCAAATATTCCACTAGCTTTACTAAACCAAACGTTCATTCTTTCATAATCACTGGTTCTTTGGCTAAAATATAAATAAGCCGTTCATTGTAAATGCTGTCTTCTTTGCTTCTACTCACTAGTCTCTTTATGTTTTATAGATTACTACAGGCAACAATTTTCTTCACAGCAGACGATAAACCTTAATAACCTGTGATTCTTTTTAATGAAGATAAAAATTGTCCTGAGTAGAAAAGGATATGCCTCTTATCTACATAAACCAAGTGCCTTTTTCTAAGATGCTGCCAGCATATCAATTCAGTTCCTTGCTTTGCCATGTTCCATGTTTTTTTCATTGACCATGACAAGAAAATAAGTTTCCTTACGTTTCCATTACCCATCATTAAAGGAATTTTAAATTTATTAGTTTCGGTTATTAGAAATAAATCCTTCAGGACAGAATTCAATTTTAATTAGTATATACAAAAAATCAAATTATAATTAGTCACCAGGTTTTTTTAAATTATTTTGCATAATAATATAGTAAAAAGTTAGACTGTTAATTATTTTTTAAAGATGGTTTCATGAAGACAATATGTAGCTGCCAACCCTATTGCTTTCTTTAAATACTCTTAATAGTAGCACTCAGAGACTCTAATCCCTTTCTGCAGAGGTGAAGGAAAATCTGAATCACAATCTGATGTTGATGTCTGGGATATCCTGAGGAAAGCTCCTCCTACGGAATATGAGAAAATTGCTTTCCAGTATGGTATCACAGATTTGCGTGGGATGCTGAAACGCCTCAAACGCATAAAGAAGGAAGAGAAAAAAAGCACAGGTTGGTGAGATGCTTGTCTTCCAAATATAGTGTTCATATCTTCTTTACAGTAGCAGATACAAGACCATAAGAAATAGTAATTTCCCGTTCCAGTTATTACCCAGCCTTCACATATGAAATACTGATTACCAAAGACTGCAGCTATGCCCAACACTCTCAGCTACCTTAATCTGAACCTCCGGACACAGTGAACGTGCTCACTTCACCAGTGCCACAAGATTGGCCCCTTATACTTCCCTGAACATAATGCAACATCCCCTACTTGCCCCCACCCCAGTCAGTCAGTATATCAGGCAACAGTGATATATTTAAACAATTTAATTTTCATTGGTATGATACCTTAGGAGTCATTGAGCCTTTCCTAGTCCTGTGAAGTATTAATTGCCTAATTATAACTGACTTCTTTAAAAGTCTGAAACAGAGAAGGCAAACAGTCTTCATTCATCAGTACTGAGAAGACCAAGTATAATTTTCCTACATGAGCAGATGTAACTCTGTTTAGAATGTGCTGAAGTACATATTCACATCTTATTTAGAATATTCTACTTTGCTTATTTTGGTTTGCAACACATGCTTGCCATCCTACATTAAGGAAAAATGGTACAGGATGAGCAGACAGAAAGGGTAAAAATTCAAACAGGGATGCTGAAACTGGGAAACATTTAAGATGATGGCTGTTTCATGACCCAGAATGAAAAAAACAAGTATAAAAATGATAAGGTTTTTTTTTTTATCATTCTTTATCATAGCATTCCTCAAGAAACTGGATCCAGCTTACCAAGTAGACAAGGGGCAAAAGATTAAATTAATGGTTGAAGTTGCCAACCCAGATGCTGATGTGAAATGGCTGAAGAATGGACAGGAGATCCAAGTGAGCGGCAGGTAAACTAGAAATATGAGCAATCCAAAAAGGAATGAACTACAGCTTGGACAAACTGAAAAATCTAACTTTTCTTAGAAAGAAAGGAATAGACAGGGAGAAGTAGGAGCTGAGAATGAATCCATGTAGTGCTATGGCTCAGGGTCAATTTGCTGCTGTCATAACTTTTTCTTTTTTCTTCCCTCTCCTCTATATATCTACATGTGGGACTGGATGCCTTCATCTACCAACTTAGCAAGTAAGTCCTGAGATAATATTCTGCTCTTCATGGGTATATCCAGGGTTCAAATGCACTTTCCTGATCTGGGATATACCTCAGTATAACTTGTATGTAAAACAAATTTCCAGTGATCTTGTGCTGAAGCCATTTTTAATTTTAATCATGCTAGATCTTAGAACAGCATCCAGCACCATTCACAGGATCACATCTCACCCTTGGAGGAAGATTCCCCATCATTTCCTATGCTAGTTTTTCAAACATTGCTGCTGTTCACTGCACCAGGACAGGCCTATTGGGCTTGAGTCCTAACAAATCTTGCCACGGATGTCAGAAAAATAGGAGGAATCTTTTTTTCTTCCAGGCAGGAGAAGACAGTGACTGGGTCCAGAAGGGTTTTCCCCTGATAATTACATTTATATTCTCTTTTCAGATATATTTTTGAGGCAGTTGGGAATAAGAGAATACTGACCATAAACCACTGCTCTCTGGCTGATGATGCAGCATATGAATGTGTGGTAGGGGATGAGAAGAGCTTCACAGAATTATTTGTAAAAGGTGAGCAATGGTAGCAAAAGGAAAGAGATCTCCCCTAACATTTATCATTGAATTACTGTCATCTTCTCTATTCTCAGATTTATCTCACAGGAAAGAAAACTCTTAAACATATTAACAGATTATGAGATCTATTGAAGTAGGTATTTTTCTTACAGCTAAATTGAGGAAAATTTTGTCTAACAGCAACTAGGAAAGAAGAACAGTGACAGTTATCATTAATTCTCATTTGGAAAGTTATTTACATCTCAACAATAGGGCTAGAAACTTACTTTAAAAGTCTGATTCTGCTCAAGACAAGAATGTGCCCCAAGCTCTACAAGCAGATCAAATAGTACAGAAAAGTAATGCCTCCTGTTTAGAAATTTAGAATGTATATGAAAACTGTTTAATCCTATATTTTTATTCCAAGTAATGAAAAATGTCATTTGAAAACTCTCATAGGGTGATCTGGCATAGTCAGTCTTAAGTTCTAAGACAGAGATCATCACCATTTATTTGTCCAGGGACTCTTCCTGTGGAGTAGAGAGTGGTGAAATCTTTCTGTGGAGTAGAGACCTATGGTCTCCACCATTTCGGAATACTGTTTTAATAAAATTCTCTTTATTTTCAGAACCTCCAATCCTGATCACTCACCCACTGGAGGACCAGATGGTGATGGTTGGAGAGAGAGTGGAGTTCGAGTGTGAAGTGTCTGAGGAAGGAGCTACTGTGAAATGGTAAGGGAATAGAAGGAAAAAACCAAAGCAAACCAAACCAAACCAACATGAAACATGGTAAGGGAATAGAAGGAAAAAACCAAAGCAAAGCAAACCAAACCAACATGAAACCATTTTCCTCCATGGAACATACCAGGAGGTGTGGAATAAAAAGGGAGAACACATCCTACATAATTGTTTTCTTGAAAAGATTGTCCCTCCTTCTAGATGTCAAATATTGAGGAGGAACCTAGAAGCAAAAATATGACACAAAACCCCAGATTAAGTATAGATATTTTATGGTGTCTCTAGAATTTCTTGCTCAGTGTTTACACTTCAGTAATGTCTAAGTATTGCCCAGACTAATCTGATCTGTATCGTGGTGAGTTCACTGTGCTTTTTGAAATCTTCTCAACTGCAGCGAGGCATTTGGGTTTCTAAAGTATTTTTTCTTAAATAGAGAAGTTAGTGTCTCTTGAGACACGGAGGGAACACATCTGCTGTGGTGATCCTGCAAAGCTGGTCATTATGCTTATGCAGCGAGATGGATTAAGATGGATCATAGACTATGGATCCTGTTTTCTTGGGCATTCCAGCTGAGCAGGATCTGGAAGGTGCACGCTGCTTGGGCAGCCATGACAAGCAGGGCTCATATGCCTCGTCTCACGCGCACTTCATTTCTCACTTCATTTCTCTACCAGATGAAATTCCCTTGTGCTTGTTAACAGCTTCAGGCACATGGTTATCAAGCATTCCCACAATGCCCATTACATTCCTGGAAAGTGCCAACTAATGATCTGCTGTCCCAAAGGAAGGAACTGAGAATGTAAATGGAGTCCAAGAGCTAGTACAGGGTGTGCATTACACTATTAAAGCCACAAGCACAGGAACACACATTCTATTGTTCAGGAACTGCCTGCAGATGCCTGGTCACAAGAGATGGGGACAACCAGATCTGTCCCTCTCAGAACACAGTGCAGCTGCCACACTTTGATCCTGTGCCTTTGAACAACTCCCATACATCTCGCAGAGCTGCTGTCTGTGGGATGGGCATTTGACGTGACAAGGGCAAAGCAGCAGCTGTCTCAGCCTGCAATGCAGCAAGTGGCCAGAGAAACTCATCAAATCATTGCAATGGAAAACTGAGCAGTTAGACATTCACACTGTATTTTGCTGGTTTTGTTATGTGAGACTCTGTCAACAAAAAACTCTTTGGCAACACAAGGGAACATTTTGGACTGCAGAGAGAAGTGTCCAGGGAAAACTTGAAACACAGTGTGGAGAAAGAGTTCCAGTTTAATGGCTCATTAGGGAAATGATCAACAGTTTAAGCCAAGTAACAGGCACTAACTCAGAGCACCTGTTATAGTTCTTAAATCTTCAAACCCAGGATATAAACCCACAAGCACATGAACAAAGGCAATTATGTGACTTGCACGAGACATAAATAAGGGTGAGGCACAGCCATTAGACTAAGGCAGGGAGAATTCATTATGTGGGTCTCTTCAGAGCAATCGGAAAAGGGTGCTCTCTTGGAAGCTTTCACATTATTACAACTTTTGGAGTACTATGGAACAGGCTTCTCCTAAACTTCAGATGGTCTTGGAAACAAGATAATACTTGAAGAAAAAGATAAAATACACAGTTATGATCTAATTTTTCCACCTCTGAATGCTGGATGTACCATCTTATCAGCTCAAAATCAAAAGATACCATGGTAATGTATATTTATAGCAATAAATCTGTGTGTACCCATTATCACATAGCACCTCCATCAGTGATATCTCAGAAGACATTAACCAATTAATCCTCAGAATCCAAACAGGAAATGGGAATGCATTTCCCAACAAAGAGGGATTGAGTGATGAAGTTGAGAACAGATATTTGATCTTGCAGATGTTTGGGACTCAGAAAGACTAAAGCACAGGTGACCTACCTATTACTGCACTAGTTCTGCTTCAAATGTGAGGCTGGGACAATGACCTATGGTGTTCTGTAAGCCAACATTTCTATGACTTTATATAATGCTTCACTTACACTTTAATATCAACAGATTCCTCTATTTTATAGTTCCAATGGCCAAAGGAAGGCTGTAATATTACCTTATATAGGTTTTCTGCTTTTCACAGCAGCATAGTATCATTTTAGACCAAATGCTACCTGGAGTTCTGTTTCGAGGTTTACAGTCTCTGTTTGTCACTATTCCCCTCTGCAAACTCTCTACTCATCCACAGGATCAGCAATGTGCCAGTCAGCAAAACAAACACAGGTTAAAGACACTATTCCCCTCCTAGGGATTTAAGACACTAATCATTACAAAAAGGCTATTTAGTCAAGATTTCAAGATAACTCTTTCTTACCAATGGATTAATAGAACATTCAGATATTTTTCATGAGCCCTGTATCAAAATAGACCAGGGAAAATTAAATTTGAAAGTTCAGCTCCAAAAGTCTAGGCACGGTGTGTGTGCTTGGCTTCACATTTAGTGACAGCAGCATGCTGAACTTCGGGATAAAAGCCCATTTTCAGCAATTCAGCAAAGGTTTCTGTAATGCATTGTAGCACTTGTTCCAGAACTAATTTGCATGAATCACTACAGCCCTAAGAGATCATCTTACACGTTGTCTCAGACTCTTGTCTGAAGAGTAATGAAGAGGAAAGAAAAGGAAACATTATCCTGACAATAATACTAAGTCCAGTGTTTCAAGTGGCTGTTAAAGCATCCTCTGCTTCCTCCCTTACTGGCGTTGTTCTGTGACCTGGAAGGGAGGCCAGTCCTTCTCTAAACCAGCTCGAAGTTCCAGAGAGCTCTGCTGTAACAAACAGTCCTGAGGGAGTAACCTGTCGGTATTTTGAAATGCAGTTGCATCAGGAACATCTAAGTCACAAGTTGTAGGATCCTTGTCTCTGCTTGAAGGTTTGATCTTGTGATTTACTTTAGCAGACTCTGACAGCGGTAAAAGGTTTTCTTGTATACCTCTACTTAGAAATTAGAGCTATTGTATTTTAATGTGTCCCAAGTAGCATTTCAATTTGCTATTCTGTAAGCTCATTTGTTAAACCGAATAGTCACTGAGTTATTGGTCACAAAGAAGTCAAAAATAAGAGAAATGACAAAAAAATAGAAAGAATATTTTTACTCTATTAAAATCACACATATTTTCTATTTGTTTTTCCATGTGACTAACTATCAAATAGAAAACCTTTTTCATTTACAAACTGCAGCAGTATTCAAGTAACAAAACAGAAATATATTCAAGTAATAACGAATAATGTAATGCTACAAAATTAGTAAATTGAAGAAATTACAAGTATTTGCTGTTTATGTTATTTAGAATTAGGAACAGGAAACCCTTGAAACACCTTATGTATTTTTGAATGACCTTGATTAAACAGCGTGAGTCCTCCCTGTGCATTTCCCTTCATGATGACTGGAAATTACAATAATTAAATTTCCTCCTGGGCTAGATGGTGAAGCTTAATTTAGTAAAGTCTTAAGTCTACTGCGGCATCCTTGAATGGAAAGAGCTACAAAATCCAAAAAACACATTCATTTGAACCCATCTTAAAATTTTATCCTTTTTCTGATGCTCACAAATCATGGATTTATAACAATTATATTTCACATCAGGAAAATTAAGACTTTTAAGTAATATCGCATCAAGTCCCATTTAATTTACGGCTGTTTTTAAGACAGTAAATTCCCTGCTGGTGAAGTGTTTTCAGCCCTTTATCTCCTACAGCATTTACCATATTTTTGTGTTTATCTAAAGCATATAAATAGAAAAAGAAAAATCAAATAATTACTTGTGGTGGATTCTCTTGAACCAGAAGGCAAATACCTAGGGAAAATTAACGGTCAATATAGAGGCATTCTGGTTGCACTGACATTTGTGCAACAATCCCTTTTTTCTAAGTTGAAATGCTACAAAGATTGGATTCACCTTGTGTCTTCCAATCCCTAGTAACATTGAGCTGACTCTTACTCTCCTCTTTCAACCATAAGAAAAATGACTCAACACTATCTGGTATTTCAGGGAAAAGGATGGAATTGAACTGACACGAGAAGAAACATTTAAATACCGATTCAAGAAAGATGGAAAAAAACAGTATCTCATTATTAATGAGTCAACCAAGGAGGACAGTGGACACTACACTGTGAAGACCAACGGTGGGGTATCAGTCGCTGAACTGATTGTGCAAGGTAGGCACAGGGAACATCCCAGAACCAGAGAAGCTGAAAAATGAGAATAGGCTGAAGGTAACCTTCTCCAGATAGTGCAGGGGGGAGCATAATCCCCCTGACAGGGGAAGAGAACATGCATGAAGGGGCACAGAGTTTGATAATAAAGGCTTCAAGGAGAGCTCAGACCTGTGTACCGGATATAACAGATACTCTCATAACAACAGGTGCTTAGCTATCAGTCCTGTTAAAGCCCTGCAGGCTATTTCCTTTCATATTTTCTCCTTCCATAGAGAGCTTGCTCAGCCCTTGCCTTTTCTACTCAATAAATCTACATCATCTACTTACGGAGCTATTCTGATTTTTGATGTGTGTATCGATTATTCTCGTGATATCAGAGAAAAAGCTGGAAGTTTATCAGAGCATTGCAGACCTGACAGTGAAGGCACGTGACCAAGCAGTCTTCAAGTGTGAAGTTTCAGATGAAAATGTGAAAGGAATCTGGCTGAAAAACGGAAAGGAGGTGGTCCCAGACGAGAGGATAAAGATCTCCCATATTGGCAGGTCAGTCTTGTTTCAGAAAGCAGCTACAGGCTTGGGAATTGCAGCGCAATCCGTAAGAATTGTTATCTCAGGGGTTAAGAATATAAAGGGAGATTTTGAACTGGCTCCAGCTAACAGCTAAAAAGTTTAAAAGCTTTTCATATGGAAACAGTATTTAATGACAGACTTGTTTTGGCATGTGTGCAGTCTGAGTTGGTGCATTTTATATATATGACTTCAGGGGTATATCAGCAAAAGTAAATCTTAGTTTTCATTGGGATTACGTGGTGTTTTGGTACTCAAAACACATTGTTGAGAACTTTAAAGCTAACAGTAGTGTTTAGATAGTACATGTGAGTAAACCCTACAGAAAAATTAGCATTTATATTAACATATACAGTTGTGTAATTCTGTGCTCAAGTTTCCTAGCAGACTAGCTACTAATGGAAATGGAGACCAAGAAGATTCAGCATTAAATACCAGGTCAAGTCCTACCTGGTACTCTTTTCTGTATTCTGTTTTGAACTTAAAATAATACAGGGATGGAGAATCACTTTTTAGTTTGCTTAGTCAGAGTTACTGTTTCACAATAGGATCAAATGAAACCAGTCAGCAGTGTTACAGCTGCCATTGTAATGGCAAAGGACTGGACTAGAGCAAGGAAAATGCTTCCTCTCTTCAAACCATCTACCTTGACAAAAAAAATCCATTCATAGACAATGTACTGATATGGACTGGCTTTAATACTGAAAGCAGAGCAGTCCACAGCCCTGGTGGTTGTTGCCTTGTGTCATGGCAAGGGAAGAAGAAATAATAATTTCTGTTAGTATCCTGTAGCCTGCTCCTTGTCTCTCTCTCTCGAGCCCTGTTTCTCCTGGGGAGGCAAGGTAAGGGAGTGCAATATATTTGTTCATGTTTCCAGAATTCATAAGCTAACTATTGAGGATGTAACACCAGAGGACGAGGCCGATTATTCCTTCATTCCTCAAGGATTTGCTTATAACCTTTCTGCCAAGCTTCAGTTTTTGGGTAAGTTGTTTTAGAACATGTAATGGGAATTCCACAGGGATAAAATGGTGACATTAATCATGGTTATACCAGGAAAGAGAATGCTGATCTCTTTTCTGATACCTCAATGTAGGCACATTGCTGTTCCCTGTTATTTTGCATTACCATTATCACATGAGTTTACAGAGCCTGTTTTTTAATTTATTGTATAAATATGCTGATTAATATGCCTTATGAAGTTTCAATCAGTTTTTAAATTACTTTGTTTGTGCAGATGCTATGTAAATTCTGTTTTCTGATCTATTTCTTCTTCCCTGTCTCCTCTTTTCTTTCCCCCCTGCAGAGGTCAAGATAGATTTTGTACCAAGAGAAGGTAAGAACAGCAGTACTAGTCATATGCAAGTAAAAATATTTTCCATAGCAAAGTAAGCAGAATAATTTTTCATTTTTAATTTAATGCATGAATAGTCTTTTTTTTTTTTCATTTTCCATTAAGATTACTCAAACTATATCTAAAACTTATCTTCTCCATCTTTACTATAGAACCCCCTAAAATCCACCTTGACTGTCTGGGCCAATCCCCTGACACTATTGTTGTGGTGGCTGGGAACAAACTGAGATTGGATGTTCCTGTATCAGGAGATCCAACACCCACTGTCATTTGGCAGAAAGTAAACAAGGTAATGTGCAACCTGACACAGTGTCTGAGGCAAGTCACAACTGCAAATTTATTTTTCCTTCTCAAATATTGCTTTGGTTTACAGTTATTAACAAGTATTTCTATGTTCCTTTCAATTTTACATTTTTAAACCTCAAGAAAAAGAAATAAATACATGGACTGCAGCTGCTTGGGACATAACTGGCTTTGTGATTCATCCCTGAAGTGTTCCTTTTTATGAACTGTTCCCTGGTTTTTTAGTCCAAAAGGAGAGGCTGACTATATATAAGTAGACATATGTAGATGCAGATAGAAGGATACCATAAAAATAAATAGAGAAAAATAAATAAATTATGAGTCATCCCTGTCACCTCCACCTGATAGAACGAACATTTTCTGGAGGCGGCAGCTTCTTTTTTTAGTCTTTATCAAGGATTCTACCATTTGTGAAGTAAATGTCATCTTAGCAGACCAGTGGCATAAAACTGAATTTCATTAAATAAAAATAGAGAAACTTTGCTATTTACCTTATCAAAGCAATTACAAAACATCAGAGAAAGAATTTAGAAGCTAGACTTAAAATGTTAAGTGAGCTTCCTTTCTGGGTATCTCAAAATATCCCCACCCCTCACCATCTGTGGGCTTTTGAGCTATAACTAGCACAAAACAGAAATATTTTGCATAGCATTCTCCAGCATCATTACACATCCATATGTGTAGATACAGAAAAAATAATATTGCCAATTATGTTAATTCCCCCAATCTCCTATTTCTTCATTATTATGCTGCATTCTTGTTCAGGTTAGCATATCTAATAGCACTCAGAACTTTTTTTCCTTCAATGCAGAAATAGTATGGAAACAAATTTTTAAAAAGCCAAGAAACTGACTCATCTCTACAGAAGTTTCTCTGATAAAATGACGATTGGGTATCAAACAACCTCCATACAGTGTTACTTCTGAGGTGTGAGAGCTCAACATATGAGGAAAGGCAGCCAGTCTTGACTGAAAGTTGTGTAAAATATACTTACTAATTTCACCAGAAATTTCAAACAAAGAGTAGTACAGCCTCAAAAGACATTGTTCAATGAGTGTTACAGACCTGACTATTCCTGAGCATTAAAATATTTACATCAATTTATTATCCCATTGTTACAGAGAGAAGTAATCCTTATTTTTCTACTTACACATATAGAGTAACTAGTACCAGAGGACACAGACAGGCTCACAACCAGTTACAATAATACTGCAGGAATGTCATTCTTCTTCCTTTGCTAAGCTGCAAATCTGAGTTTGCTGACTTATCCTTCCCTTAATTCACCACATTCTGATACTTTTTTCCATTTCTGCTTTTTACTTTGGTTTTGGTAGATTTCCTTCCCAGCTCTGCTTGCTGCCTAACTTTGCTTTTCTCCCACCTTCATATTCAACCCCCCTAAGAGACTCTTCTCTGTCTTGCAGAAACAGCTTTACTGCTCTGCTCAGCATCAGCTGACTTTTTGTGGTTTCTTTGCTTATCTAGAGAAATGACCTACTTCGAAACAATGACGATTCCATGACTCCCTCAGAAAACAGCACTGATTTAAATACTGATAATAAGGTAAGTTCCTTATTATTTATGCAGCCACACAAGTGTTCTTAGTGTTTTCCAGATAAAAGGTCATACTCAAAAGGAAATAACATTTAAGTCAGTAGATATTAAAAATCAAACAGCACATCAAGCCCACTATCCTGCCTCACAGTGGTAATTAATTACCAGATACCTGCTGGGCACAAGAGATCTGGTGAACAATTTTAGAGTAGAAGTTGATTGAGAAAGTTTTTCTAATCGCCATCACATGGTGACTGGGTTACAAGGAATCAAAGCAGTTATTTGAAAACTCTTTTAGATTTATTTGTGGTGATTTTTTTTTCCCTCAGTAACCTGTAAGCTTCAATAATAACTAGAACAAAATCTTACAGGACACATGGAAAGGTGAAAGTGGGTCAAGAGAGTGGGTGGACTATAAGGAAGTGCAACCAGACTTACTTTGCAGCAGCTTCCATTTTTCACATAAATGACTTCTCTCGATAGAGTAAAAAACATTTTACAGTTATTATACAGCAATAAACCATTTTCAGGGTTTCAGGATTCTGCTGCACTAATCTCTATTTGGACATGTATTCTTTCTAGTGGTTCCTGTTCTAAATCTAAAGATACATAGGCACATAAGGAAGAAGGGAGTGTATTACATATGTACAAGTAAATTGTTGTCATTTTGTTTAGATTTCAGCAAAAAGTAGAAAGTTTCCCCACATGACATTATGGGGATGAGGGCACACGGATGCCAACAGTTACAAGAATCTTATTTTAATTTATACAGTAACCAACTGTTATCCCTTAAACTCTTCACAGTGATGCTAGCAGGTGTCCCAGGCAGGAATTTCTGGAAGTACTCAGTAACTTCTTTGAAACATAACTGGGTTTGTGTAACCAGTGGTGAATCCCAACAAACTGCAAACTTCCAGAACCGATTCTCCCAAATGTTATTTATGTGAGCCAACCAGTCTATATTTTCTCTCTTCTACATTCAAAAAGAACTTGAAACATTTTATGGCTTTCAATAGTTATTGAAATATTCAATGATTTGTAGTTTTTCACCAGTTTACAGACTCATCAGGCTGTCCCTGGCACAACTTGCAATGATTTTGTCTGTCCATTTCACTGCCCACAGCTCCTGTGTGAATCTGAAGGCAGAGTCCGTGTGGAGATGCATGAAGACCATTGTGTCTTCATCATTGAAGGGGCAGAAAAAGAGGATGAGGGAGTTTACAGAGTTATACTTAAGAATCCAGTTGGAGAAGATAAGGCTGATATCACAGTCAAAGTTATTGGTAAGTGAAGGAAAGAAACAGCCAGAGCATGAAAGAATTTTGAGTCTGCTGAAGCTCACCCTTCTCAAAAAGTCTAAAAGTCTCTCTGATACAAGTTCCGACTTTAGGTTTAGAAAAATGGGAAAGGATCATAAAGAGAAGAACATTATCAATCATAAATTCAGCAGAAGTATTTTTTCAGGGTAAAAAGAGAAGAACTCCCAGTTGTAATCCATATATTTCCCATTTCAGGTGATTCTATCATTTTATGGATGACAATCCATTCTGAAGTACATGCTTCATTCTTGTCAGAAATAAGAAAAGCTTTTAGTCATTTTGTCATGGGTTATGTTTTTAAGCAGAGATTATTTCATTCCATAAGCAGTAAATGGTTAATGGAATAAAGAAACATAATGTATCTGATAGAAGATGAACAGATTGACAGACTCTTCAATGAGTCACAAAAGACCTGGGAGGGATATAATTTTGAGTCAGTCAGTTTTATAAATTTTTCATAATATTTAATTTGCTGATACCCTAACACACATAACAAAAGAACAAGTCATAAGTAAATCAGAAATTATAAAAGAAAATTACTTTCACCTACAGTATTAAAATTTAGAATTGTTTGGTAAATACTAAGTTTTCTTCCATCTTTTATAAATATTAAATCAGGATATTTACTATAAATGTCTCCAAAGTGACATAATATGTGAAACATGCAGTAGTATTTGATAAAATTTATTCTAGAGAACATAGGAAACCCTGGGGCAAGTCTCATTTTGCAGAACAGAATTACCTTACATTTTTGCAAAAATTTTATTATGTCTGGGAAGAAAAATGGAGCTGAATAATCAATAACATTTAAAGGAGATCAACCTAACAAAGAAGCATCAAAGAGCAGGATTCCCTTTAGACTAAGTTAATACATTCTGGTTGTACCTATTGTTGCTATCTGACAAAGCTCAATCACAGAATCAGATAACAAATTTGGCTGGTAAAGATTTCTGATCTCATCAAGTCCAGCCCCACCATGTCAGCTAGATCAGGCACTGATTGCCACATCTAGTCTTTACATAAACACCTCCAGGGCTGGTGACTCCCTGGGTGGCCCATTCCAAAATCTAATCACTCTTTCTGTGAAGAATTTCCTTCTAATGTCTAACCTAAACCTCCTCCCCCGCAACTTAAGCCTGGGTCCTCTCATCCTGTCTCTGGTTTCCTGGGAGAAGAGGCCAAAACCCACCTGGCCACACCCTCCTTGCAAGGAGGTGTAGAGAGCAATAAGGTCACTCCTGAGCCTCCTTTTCTCCAGGCTAAACATCCCCAGCTCCCTCAGCTGCTCCTTACAGGACTTGTGCTCCAGAGCCTTCCCCAGCTCCATTGCCCTTCTCTGGATGTGCTCCAGCACCTCAATGTCCTCTTGTAGTGAGGAGCCTAAAACTGGGCACAGCTCTTGAGGTGTAGCCTCACCAGTGTCAAGTACAGGGTGACAATCACTGTCCTGGTCCTGCTGGCCACACTTGCTGATACAGGCCAGGATGCCATTAGCCTTCTTTGCCACCTGGGCACTGCTGGCTCACATTCAGCCATGGTTCGCCAGCCCCCCAGGTCCTTTTCCACTGGACCACTTTCCAGACACTCTTCCTGCAGCCTGTAGTGCTGGAGGAGGGTATTGTTGCCAAAGTCCAGCACCCAGCACTCGCTGATGTTGAACCTTATGCCATTGGCCCTAGCCCATGACCCAGCCTGTCCTGGTCCCTCTGCAGAGCCCCCCTGCCCTCCAGCAAATGAACACTCTGACCCAGCTTGGTGTCATCCATGAATTTGCTAATGATAGATTCAATACCCTCATCCAGATCATCAATAAAGTTATTAAACAGGGCTGGGCCCAATTCTGATTCCTGGGGTACATCAATACCACACAGGAAAAAAAGCGGTTAAAATATTTAATTTACTTGCATAAAGAAATTGAAACAATAAAACCTCTCATTCATCCTCACCCTTTCTTCAGATGTTCCTGACCCTCCAGAAGCTCCCACAATCAGCAACATTGGAGAAGATTATTGTACTGTGCAGTGGCAACCCCCTAAATACGATGGTGGGCAACCTGTACTTGGTAAGAGTCCAAAGACACGAAGTACCCTGCACTTGGCATATATTTTGTGCTGCTCCTTTGAAATGGAGCAGAAGGATTCTCTGTTTAGACACAAGGAAGGCTGACCCCAGGCAGGAGCTACTGTGATGCACTGAACCGTCAGACCGGCCCAGGGTCTGGCCCTCCAAGTCTGAGCAGAGAGTGCCCCCTGCCTGTGCCATTTGAGTCAGAGAAGTATTTCAGCAAACATTATCGAAGCATGAAAAGGTGAGATGAAAAATAGCTACATCTAACTGTCCTCATTTAAGACTGAAATTTTAAGTCAGTATACAGGATTTTGTGCTTACCTAGGAATATTAAAACAGATCTGTGGCCACCTCAGTCATCAACTCCAGACATCTGCAATCTCAGGCACACATGCAATATAATGTTTTATAGTGGAAAACTACTTCATAATTCTACTTCATATAAAACAATGGGTCATAAAATAGTTTCAATAATTTAGTGACCTTAAAGTCAGTACTCAAAACTAGAGTTCAAAGTTATCATGTGATGCAGGAAATGAGCAGGCACAATCAAGATTATCACAGACACCATTTTAAGTTCTGCACAGAGCATGGTGAGTTTTAGATAGAAATCTCTGTGATCCTCAGAAGAAAAAAAATGCAGGGTCTTGACCAATTTTAGGGGCAAAAATTCCTCTGGAGTCCATATCTAGCAATTTGTTTAATAAAAATCTCTGGAGCTTGAGTTTCTTTGAAAAAAATGTACATTGAAAGCTATATGGACTCCCAGGTGATGCCAGAGCTAGAAATGTCTAAAATTATTTTAATCCCCTGAATAGTATCTGGAAGAGACGAGTTTGTATTTGCATTTGGATGTTTGGACTTCATTCATTTCCACAAGATCTGTCTCATTTAAACCAAAGACTCTACCTGTGCAGGAATGGTTTGTATTTGCATTTGGATGTTTGGACTTCATTCATTTCCAAGATCTCATTTAAATCAAAGACTCTACCTGTGCAGGAATAAACAAGGTGCTGCTGGGCCAGTGCTTTGTGGTTTCATCTGTTCTGACAGGAGGCAAGCAAGAAGTCAAATTATTATGTGCAAAGACCTTTACCAGTAGTTGTGCCATTACCACAGGCAACCCCCACCTCACTGACTATACAAAGCCTATGATTTTGTTTTGTAGGGTTTTTAGAGCACATATTTTGAAAAGTTCTTTGCTTTGTTTTCACTGTCAAAGGAAGGATTTTGTTGATGTTCCAGTAACAGCCTTTGGCACTACCTGAGGAGGTTCCTTCAGGTAGCACAGGGCTGCACTACTGCTAGAGCTCCAATAAAACACCTGCAGCAGGGAGAGAGGAAAAACCAAAATGCAGCACTACCATTCAAACAGAGCGTTAAAAGCAAGTTAAGGAGGCGGGGGGAAAAGGCACATTCATTCTCATCTGTCTTCATATTGTTACAGATGGCTTTGTAGGCAGTCAGATAGAGTCTTTATTAGCTGTATCCAACAGATATAAAAAAGAAATTCACACCCCATCTTCACCTTTCCTGGGGTTTTTTGTGCTTTTTGTATTACTAAAACAGTGTCTTTAACTCTCACGCATTTGTTGCATTTGGGGAAATAATCTGCTTTACCAAATGTCACCAATACAACCAGCATTGTCATTTTACCACCTTTCTGCTTTTTTTTTTAATTGCAAATCTCTTCATTTTGACACTTATGTGCTTAACACTGGTTATCCATAACAGCAAAACACCCCAGAAACTGAGTTTATGAAACTTCTCTCAGTCTCACAGACCCTGCTGAAGTGAGAAAAAATCAGAAACATGCCAAAAGAACCATAGGTTCATCACTTTCAGCATTTAACTCTGAAAGCTACTGAAAACAAGTGTGCTAGGAGTACATCTTAATGCATTTAAAGTGATGATACAACCTGTCAGCTTAAAGATACTTCCACTGTTCTTTTCCCAGAACATTCTGTAGACTCCCATGCTCTTCTTGCATTTCAGCATTGACAGCAAAGGCTGCATGGTGTCTGTGCCCACAGCATGCCAGCAAATCAAATGTGCCTGTCATTCTCCTTATCCCTGGAGACACCTTAAGTGTGAATCATCCTTCCCAGGTGAACCAAAGGGATCTCTGCAAGTTTGACAGCCATGACCTTGGGGAGCAGCAGGGACTGAATCACTCTCCTGCATGCTCAATTATAAGTCCTTGCTACGGACTTACACTATTGCAGCTGCCCCCTGTTACAGACATCTGTACAGATCTGCAGTCCATGGGCAGGAGCACACCCACAAAACACACCCAGATACATGGCACGTGTACATGACTGTTCTCTGATAGTCTTTCTGTAGTTAAAAATGAACAGTTTCATAGCAAAGTTTGTTTGAAAGAAGCCTGTGTGGATCACATCCAGCCACTCTATCTGCAACACAGAGAAGCAGCACAAATTTAATATAGCTACATGGAAAGAAACAGTTCAGTAGTCCTTTGTAGCAGGTCAGCTGGAAAATATCTGACATCTATGTTTCCAATGTGATACACAACCATCCTCCATATTAAGCATTAAAAATCACAGATTCCATTCCCAGTTTTGGAAAATGAGAAATTTATCTTTTATAGTGATAATCCAGCCTCACTTAGTCATTCTGGAAAACAGCATGGTAGTGTAGTAAAGGCTATGGATGTTCTGGAGAAGTGCTAAGACATGGATTCCAGTACAGAGATGACACCTTAAGCTGTACTGGAGATTTGGTCTGCAGTGCACCCAGCTCTCTTTGTTCTGTTATCATACAGGCTCTCTTTCCTTCCCAAGGAAATCAGAGCAAGAAAAATGGTCAGTGCCACTCTCTCACTCACTGCAGGGCTGAAGCAAGCTCAGAGCTGCATTGTCTGGGAAGCAATCTGAATTCCCACGACTTTGCAAAGAACACAGAGATCTAGCATCAGTTCTTTGATAAAACATTAATGTTTAAAAAAGGGAATTTTCAAACTGTTTATCCAATTAATTCTATGTGGGGGATTTAGGCTGTTAGTCAAGATTAGTGAATTGAAACTGAATAAAAGAAATAATTTTTTAACTCTATACCACATCTTAGACATTCAAGAAAATTTCTCCTTCGCTTAAAAGGATGTTTTTTTCCTGCACGTGAGAAAACAATTTCCAGTTCTTTTACATCATAACAGCTGTCCTTTCCAGGCTATATTTTAGAGAGAAAGAAGAAGAAGAGCTACCGATGGATGCGGCTGAACTTTGACCTTTTAAAAGAGCTAACCTACGAGGCCAAGCGGATGATTGAAGGAGTGGTTTATGAGATGCGGATTTATGCTGTCAATTCTATTGGCATGTCCCGGCCAAGCCCTGCCTCACAACCCTTCATGCCCATCGGTGAGTTTGGAAACTCCGTGGTATTTCTAGGATAAAACCAAGACAGGACAATTTTGATCTCTTCTCTTCAATTCCTTTTACAGCTAAAAAGAATGTGTCAGGAAAGAAGCTATCAACCACTTCTATATTCTATATTTAATCAACCTTTTCCTTTGTAATATCCCTCTATCTCTCATTCCTCTTCCTGAAGAGCACAGAGGTTCCAGTTTCATGAAATTGCTGATGAATTTTTAGTTGTTATAATTAGAAGTGTGAGAGTCAAGCTGGATCTGGAAAGGAGGAGAACTAATTGACAGAGATTTCCCTGTCCCTCTCAGCTTCTCCCATTCCCTTATGGGTGCAAATATCACAGTATCCCGTCCAGTGCTCCCTTAATCCCAGCCCTCTCCACAGCTAAAAGGATAGATGATTAAGAAAATATTTGAGGAATGATTTTCTATAAATAATCCTTCCCAATACAGCAGTGCAGTGTCTCCTGCAGTCCCTGAGCAAGGAGCAAGCTAAAGGAGTCCTCAGGAAGCCTGCCTGCTAAGACTTTTAGGGAGAAGACCCACAAAAATACAAACAGCTGGAGATTAAAATGACTAGAGTTTCTAAATCTACAAATAACAGTGAAGGGGGACAGCCTGCTGACGGAGATAATGTAAAAGCAGATGATGTAGTGAAGGAGTCAGAAGGGAAGGCTGAACTGCAAGAAGAGTCTCTTAATTCTGGATTTCAAACTCACAACAGCTGGTCTGCAACAAAAGAGGTCAAACAAGAACCATCAAGTGGAGCTACTGAAAAAAAAGGTCCAATGTTTTCATGGGATAGGCAGAGTTTTACTTGATTAAGGATAAAGTTCACACTTACTTCTTCAGAGAAGAGGTTTGGGGTTTTGATCGTGCACTGTGTTGTTTATGCCCCCAATTGCATTTCCTCCTGTGTGCTGTCCTTGCTACCATGTGAATACAAAAATTTTTGACAGTTACAGAAATGAAATTAGGTGATATTTTTTGGATTGTTTTTCTTTTGCAATAACTTTGGGAACTAAGACTGATTTCAATTAGTTTCACGATTCGTGAATGTGTATTTAACTTGTAAAATCTATTATGTATATTTAGTAGATATTCAATTTATAATATACATATGCCAAACATACATGATTGCTCTTATGTATGTATACTAAATTTTATGGTCCTGCACCCTAAATGTTATTTTGAAAAAGTTGTTTTCTGTTTGCTTTTTGGTATCAATTATTTCACAGTAACATTTATGTGTATTTTGGATCCTCTAGTAAGGGCTTTTCTTGATTATTTTTAAGTTAGAGGAAAATAGTCATGCTGCAGAAGACTGAATCTAGCTAGTGGTCTTTCTGAACTGTGGGTTTATAAAAAGCCATGACATCTGTTCTGAAGAGATATGAAAAAGTTATATCTAAACCAAAATTTTTTATCCCCAAAATATTTTTCTCAAGTATGCCTCTGTTACAAATGCACAAATCAGAAGCAGTGGTTTTGTAAACATGCAGTCATAACTTTTGGTAATTTTCTTCACTGTGTGAGTGAAGAGAAATTTAACCACTGTCAGTTTGAAAATTTTGTCCAGTTACAATCAGGGTGTAAGTACAGAATATAAAAGGTATGTATTTAATTTCTAAACTTCTCTGCAGACTTATGATGACAATTGGACTCCCTTCTGCAAGTCTTCTTTTCTTTAGTGGGTCTTCATCAGTGAGCATCTGTAAATAGGAACTGCTATCTCAACCTCTTTTTCCCCTTCCTATTAGAGAAATCTTATGCTGTGTCTTTATTAAATGATGTAATAGGTGTTACACTTACAAGTGAGCTTCAGATAGATTTATTTTATTAATACAGACAGTGGTACATAAATCAGTGGTTAATCACTCCTTGTATAACCTTTGAATTCTCACAGTTGTATTGCTGTTTCTCAGAATCTACTGTCTGTATTTCCTTACAGCTCCTCCGAGTGAACCAACCCACTTCACAGTGGAGGATGTTTCTGACAGCACTGTTTCCTTGAAGTGGAGGCCCCCTGAGCGCATTGGAGCCGGGGGTTTGGATGGTTACATGGTGGAATACTGCAAAGATGGATGTAAGTAAAGATGAGTACTAGGCGGCAGCAATAGAGCATTTTAAAAATGCTACAATTGCAATAACTTCACCTCAATACACTACCAACAACCTAACCATGTCCAGCATGACCAAATTTTAACTCTAATCTATGTCTACCATCCTTCCAACCATCACCATACTCACTACGATGTGACTGTAAAATCATGGAAGTCACATCCATAATGTCATCTTCACAATCATCATAAGTCTTAATAAACGTTAGTAACACAAAAATATCATTACTGTTCTATAGTCACTCCTATACTTCTGCATCATTCATGAATTGCATATTCCTTAAAACACAGAAAATAACATTATTGTGACATCAGTCAAACTTTAAAGATACTTTACCTCATTTAATACTATTACTGGAAATAGAGAGTGTAACAGCACCATATCTACAAAATTCAATGTTCTGTGCTGCTACAATATAATACTGACATCATAAAAATCCAGCAACAAATTTATAGTCACTTCAATATTGACATTTTCCCTGACACTAGGCTCAATTGCCAAATAATCTAAACTAGGGGGTTTACAGGGCATAATTTATGCAGAAATAATTTACAGTCCTTAATGAGACATCACTATAGAATTACCAGAATCTCTATGTCATTGTCAGAGCAGAATGATTTTATCAGTCATATTTCTGTGCTTTATAACAAGGAAGCACTAAGAATTCTGTTCTACTGTGTCAATCGAGAATTAAACAATAAATTCCAACAGTTATGTGCTCTATTATTGTTTTCAGCATATGTGGCTCTCAATCTCTTTGGACAGTCACAAAAGGTATATTTACTCCAAGAAAAAAAATTAAATTAAGCCTTCACTTTCTTGCTAAATCTACTTCCAAAATTCTGCCCATTCCCATGTAGTAAAATAAATGCCAAGAAGTCCCACAGCTCTAAGCTCCATAAAACAAAATGCCAAGAAACTACCCAAAGATGATTCCCTTATCCTTAGCAATTTTGAGTAACGAAGTGTAGAGATTGCTTAACTCCACATGTAAACACATTTCCTTGATCCAGAGTTCTTCTCCCAACTTATTTTATTCCCTTTTAAGGATGGTGTTGCAGCTTGAGTTCACTTTACCCTAATAGAAATTTGCTTTCAATTGCAAACAAGGCCTCAGTTTGGAAAAATAATCTATTATTGCAATATGCAAATACTGTACTTGTAGCTACAGAGTGGATTCCTGCTCTTCCCGGCCTAACTGAGCGCACATCTGCACTGATTAAAGATCTGGTCACGGGGGACAAGCTTTATTTCCGTATCAAGGCTGTAAACCTGGCTGGTGAGAGTGCAGCAGCAACAATAAAAGAGCCAGTTACTGTTCAAGAGATCCTGCGTGAGTATCTATACTGAATAAATTCTGCCTTTATCTGAGAATAACACACAAACTGCTCTTCCACTTGGATTAGGTGCCCAGTGTCTTCTGACTCTGAGAACATCTCTACAGCACCCTGGTCTTATATTTGTAAAGCATAGCTCTTAAAATAAAATTCTACTTCTTACGTTCAAAATATGGACATTTCACCTCTTGCAATGGCACTGTCAGCATTTAAGAAACATTTATGTAATATTTACCTCGCTGCTTGGAAAGCTGCTATATTACTGCTAAATGACTGTGTTGGCTATGGCAAGAGATCTATTTCCTTCATTGTCGCAGATTATTAATTACCACCCTGTGTATCACCCAACAGCAATAGATTAAAATTCATTTGACTGGAGTCCAAAAGACATCAAGAGCTGCTAATAGTGGATTCCTCAACCTTGGCTCACACGAAGTGTCTGCCAGAGTCTCACTGGCAGTAAATTGAGCCAATGTAAATAAAACAAAGTTTAATGCGTCTCAATACCAAATGGTCATGAAGACAGATACTCCAACTGTATGTTAAGAAATTCCTTCCGTAAATAATAGGGAAAACTAAGGATAAAAGGAGAGCATAGAAAGCTTTCCAGTGAAGTAGAGGAAAGCAGAGGCAAGTGAAATAAAACATGCAGTAAGGTCCTTATTTGTTAGTGAAAGTAAGATGCTACAAAGAGATTCCACTACATCCATCTCAAAGAAAGAACTGTAACTGAATGACTGTAGCAAGATAAAGGAACCCATCAGTTGCTGCGTTTTCTGAGTGTGTCCATAAATACCTCCCAGTGGCAATTTACAAGGTGCTGCAATATCAATGTAGCAACAGATAATCATAATCTGTCATCACTCCTTTACTCCAATACCTTCCTCGTCCATCCTTTCTACTGAACTGAACAATTTTTCCAAAGAAATAAAGTCCATATAGAAGACTCACATCCAACAGAAGCCACCCAAATTTGGCATTTCAGATGTGACACATTTTCATAATGCTGCTGTCACTGACAACAAGCTCAGATGTAAATATATGAGACTTAATATTAACTTGTTATCCAGTAAACAAATACATTTGAAACTACTGAGAGACTGAGCTAGTCCCTAAAAGTACAAACAGTGTTTCCACAATTTTCTTATGCTTAAAGTTATCCATTGCCTTATTTTTGCTATAAATAATGTTGCATATTATCAAAAGTTTTGTATTTAGTGTGCTAATGCTTAACTGCAGAGCGTCCCAAATTCTGGCTGCCACGCCACCTCAGACAGACTCTGGTGAAGAAAGTGGGTGAAACAATCAATATTGTGATCCCTTTTCAGGTATGTATCAGCTTCCATTTTGTCATGGTTATTTATGATTGCTTACCTAAAGCAGTTTCCCTAATGCGAGTTCCCATTACTTCACTGCCTAAGCAGACTTACACAAGTATGGCTGATGATTCATGAAACCCTCTCAAAAATTTGAGAAGTGGAGGGAATCACTCTTTTTTTCAGTAATTTTTTTTTTTACAGTCAGAGTTTCTTCCTTAATCCCACCTTTTGGGGAAGAAGAAAAAAGTGCTCTAAGTAAGTGCAAGCCCATTCCTGCTTACTGAGTGAGCACAGGAGGCACCTTAGGGAGAAGTAGACAAAAGTGTAAGAATCCAACTAATTACTCTTCTGGAACCAAGGCACTTGATGCCACTGGGCAACTTCCTTGGCAAAAGCATGTATGTTAAATTCTGAAAGGCTGACTGCAAAAATCAGAGTTTGCAAATAAAGGCAGGACCCCAGTTGGCCCTGGGATGCAGAACCCCAGTGTGTGTACAAAGATCTGCTTGGGCATTACTGTGCATGAGGGTATAAAAACCAGAGCATGCTGAGGGTTATCAAGGGTGCATGTATGCAACTACACTTCACTAAGGCATGCACAAAATTGCTAAAATATACACCAGACTGACCTGACCAATTACCTCATCTTGGCATTTTCTAGCTGTATAGACCTGACCATTTCTACACATGCCTTTTTTCAGATGCAAGACTAGAACAATAGAGTGCAAGAATTAGTGTGTGCAAGGAAATGGTTTCCTAAGGGAGAAATAGCAAAAGAAATTGTAAATTACAGACTCTGGCTCTGATACAGATATCCTCAGTAATAACAGATATATCACTTAATCAAGTCTTCAGTTAAAATTTTAAGACACTGAAATTTCCCTACAGTCCAGAATTGACATTTCTAGAAATCTAATCCTATTACTAGTGATGAGCTTTGAAATTCTCATATAAAAGATACTGGACATATGCAAAACATTTTTTTTCCACAAGGGAGACAAATATGCACACATCACCTGTATTCTTTTGTTTGAGCAGCACTGGCAGGAAAAATATTGTTAGAGCAAAATTTATGTAAACTTAAAGGTACATGTCTTTTTGCACTATGGTTACTGGGTCAGATGAAAAGTTGCTTTTTTTCAGAGATATCTCATTAGTACACATTTGCATCGCCTTCTTGAATTGCATGCTTGAATTATTTCAGCATAATCATAAGGCATTTTTTTCTTTCACATTTCTTATCTCCAAAATTGTTAAAATTACTTTTTTACTGATGTCTAGCCACACACAAAATTCAAGATTTGTACGTCTGCTATTTCTGAGTTATGTAATTATTTTTTAAAACCCCTAAAATAGATATTTTTCTTGCTTTGATGTCCAAGTTGAAGAAAAATTGCACAAATTTGACAAGCTGTCCTATAAGCAGGGGAATAAAGTTTAGCATCTTAGAGATTTGTGTCTTGTGTCCCCTTGTGCTGGTTTTGACTGGGCCATTAATTTTCTTCATGGAAGTTGCTATGGGGTCATGTTCTGAATTAGTGCTGGAGAGAGTATTGATAATTTTGGGGTATTTTAGCCATTGCTGAGGGCAGTGCATACACAGAGTCAAGGCTGCCTCTGCTCCCCAGAAGCCTCTGCCAGGAAGGGAGGTGCTACACCATGACAGCCCCATATCAGCACTGTCCCACACATGCAGCACCTCCTCTGCTGAGAGCAGCCTCCCTGCAACATTCCCAGAGATTTGCCAGTTCTGGGCCCTCCTTCCCTCACTGACACGTCCTCAGCTCCCTGGCCAGGATAAGTGCATGTGGCAACTAATCCAGAGCTTCACTTAACCCTGCCTCACCATTCAGCTGCTGCCAAACAAAAGAGTTAAAAGACTGAGCTTTGCCTGACTTTTCTCAGGGGGGACACTAACTGAGGTTTTGGCATTTCAACCAGTGATCAATTTTTCACAGAACTGTACTAAGCTAATCTTAGAGATTTTGAGTGCTCTGGCAAATTTGGCCAAATTGAACCAACTGATTGAAAAGTGATTTGAGTAGCTGACTGACAAATCATGTGTTGGTACAAGCTCCTGTCTCCTTAAGGGTAGTGCTAACAAAAATGCCAAAATCTATCCAGCAACACCAGATTTTACTCTGAGAACAAAGCCTGAATTTAATTCAATAAGTATTTTTTGAGTGAATTAAATTTGTCGTAGTGTTGAACTGCAGCTCTCACAGTATTAAGAACTGTGGCTACAGCTATTTAGAATATGTAATACTGATGACCTTTCAAAAAAAGCAAATCAAAAGGAACTTTTCCCTTCACATTTTGAAAAATTTTAAGTCACTGGCCATTTCTATTGCAGAAGACTCTAAGTAGATACAGAATCTAGAATCTAGTGAACGTGGAAGCCAGTGTCTTCTACTATTTACAGCCTCTGCAACCTTTCCAGTGACCTCTGTGGTCATTACAGTAAAATTCTGTGAAATACATTGTCAAGGTATCCTGGGTTTAATGCTACTGGCAGATCTATTTAAGCCTTTAGATCAAAATGTCCCAAAAAGAAAGTAAAATATTGTTACTAACGGTTTGTTTTTTTTTTGGTTGAGTGCATTAAGCAGGTGGAACATTCTGGTGAAAGGAAGACAATCAACAAATTCTTGCCTCAAAATTAACTACATGGCATGTGATTGGAGGGGTATTACGTGCTATTAGTGGTTAAAATTCACAGTAGTACTGAGCAGTCTTTTTGTCCATCATAAATGTGTGAATATAAATATCTAAGAGCATTTAAATTCATTCTTCCCTGGCTGTGAACTCCCTAAGTTTCTCTGGTGCTATTTAGCTACTCTGTCACTCACTGTTCTCTCTCAGATTATCTATTACACATTGCAGAAATCCAATCCTCTGACATATGTATTAGGAACATGCTTTCTCTCTGATTATGCTTTTCACAGTCTATAAATATAAGAGTATATGAAAACCAACACTTTGAACACTTGCAATCTTTCACTGGCTCTCACAGCTCCTCAGAAAAGGAGGAGCTGTGAGTGAACATATCTGATCAACCACACTAGAACACCAGCAGCAACAACCTTGTAATCAGTCTGAAAACCTGCCAAGTATTTGTCTTGACAAAGTAGAAATTTAAATAAATGCCCATAGAACTATACTATTTAGGTAGATTATTTTCAAAGCATTTCCTAGCCAAATTTTTCAAGGAGGATCTTCATATCACTTTAAAATACAGGCATATGTGGGAAGTAAAATAGAGTGAGTTCTTGGCCTGTTCACCAATAACAAGACACAACTATGGAACATAAAACACAAAACAACCCAAACCCTTTCACTTATTCCAGAATTTCTACTATACATTCCAGCTGAAGAGAGAAAGCCATTTCTTGCTCTAACAGGTTTTTGTGAGGGTTCAGTGAAATGAGACCAGGGTACAGGTACACTAGAACAGGACAAAACTCTCTTGTATCTATTATTTCAATGCTGCAGGCCTGAGGTGCTCTTAACTATGCTCCTTGGCAGAAAGCTGTATGAAAACAATTTACCAGAGAGAGAGAATGCAAAACCATTGCTCATTCAAGGTCTATACATCAGCCCTGATGTAAAATAAACTACAATACATCAGATGAGTTAGCGAAAAAGAGCATCAATGAACAAGTAGCAATTTCTAGGTGTTCTAGACATCCTTTAGTATAATTTTGGACAGATCTTGGTCTGACTCTTATAAAAGGTGAAGTTTTTTTCCTAATAACACTGGGAAAAAAAAAGACTGCACAGACCTTCTGCTACACCTGAAATAAAGGTGTAGCAATGCACAAAGATTCATTATTATTCTGTGTACAGTTAGGCACCAAAACCAAGGCTCTGAGTATCTTAATCTCCCTCTGTAGGCTAAAGGAGTGTTTCAGACAGAGAAAGAGTCTTTCCGGTGGATTGAGGAACCTTGCAGAGCTGCTTTCTGTGCTCCTTACCTGAGGCAGAGTCCCCATTTCAGTGCCTTAGGCAGCCTGAGCAGAGCTGACTGCTGCCCTGCAAGGTCCCACCTTCCCTCCCCACCCACCTGAATGAACCACTCCAGGCCTGTGCTGCTCTCTTTCACCTTGCTAATCTGGCAGAAACTTAAAAACCCCCACTGAGTTATTTTCTGTTGGATTAACTATTAATACACTTAATAAATATGTTATGGCCATTTTCTGGGGGTTTTTTTGGGATTCCTTGGTTGGAGTTGTACTGTGGAAGTATCCCCCCAATAACTTTTGAAGAACTAAATAGCACTTACCATTTTTCCTGGAAATGGCTGGATGAGAGTGATGCACACCGCTGGTATCTCACCGATTCCACAATGCCATCTTCCATGGGTGTAGCAACCCTGACTGCTTAGGTTGACAGTCACCAAAACAATTTTGCAGTGCAGAAAGAATTATACAGTAAATTTCACATCCCCAATATTACATCCCATCCACAAGATTACAATAATTGTTTTTAAAAAATCTTCAAAAGGCTGGAGGACAGAGCAGCAAACATTTTAAGAAAGAGAGGAGAAGGGGAGCAGAGCTAATAAAGTCCTCAGGTGTGTAAGGGTTCTGCTCATAACAATCAGAATAAGTCAGATCACCTGTTGGCCACTCTGATGCCTGGGAAAGAGCCCAGTACACTATAGTATTTCTGCATTTGTTCTCACTATCAGTTCAGTTTCTAACTAAATGGCATCCTCAGAGCATGGTGCCACTAAACCACACAGGTGGTAGCAAATATTTGTCTGGAAAAAAACCAAAAATTGTCAAGTATTTATGGAGTTTACTATCTCAACTCTGTGTATTATATTAAGCCTTCTAAATTTATTGCTAAGAGAAGAATGGAAATACTAAAACCTTAAAACAAGTTTTTTGTCTCTATTTAGGGTAAACCAAGACCCAAAATCACTTGGCTGAAAGATGGTCAAGCTCTAGACTCCAAAGATGTGGGAATTCGGAACAGCAGCACAGACACCATCCTTTTCATCAGAAAAGCAGAGCTTCATCACTCAGGAGCATATGAAGTCACTCTTCAGATAGAAAACATGTCTGATAAAGTTGCAATAACAATACAAATCATAGGTAAGACCCTGACAACATCAGAATTAAGCAGATCATGCAAATCAAAATAATGGCCAGGCTGAGGTAACCCAAAGGTCCAACTATCTCAGAATCCATTCTCTTTCAATGGTTGGCTGCAGATGGTAGGACAAAGAGCAGGGCTATTGTGTGATCTTATTTTCCTACTACATTTTCCCACCTAGAAATTATCTGTGTCCTAGAGACCTTAAGAAGGTGAGGGATATTCTTTGCATTCCATAGTTCTTTAGTAATCTTCAGTGATCTTTTTCTTGCCTAATTTTATCCAGTCTGTATTTTAATCCAGGTCTAGTTTGAGAATCCAAACATCCTTTTATAAGGAATTTCATTTTAAGTACATATACCTATTTGTTTTGATTTGAGTCTGTCTCCTGACAATCTCATTTGACATCAAGTTTTGTATCAGAAAAAATCATCAATAATCATTCAGCTTTTCCATGTTACTCATGACTTTACAGACTTCAGTCCCACTTGCCTCAGTTAATTTTCTCAAGTTTTACTCTCTTCATTTTGACTATTTTCAAACAGATGCCATTCCATATCTTTGATCATCCTTATCAATCTCCTTTCTATTACTCTGAGAAAGATAGAATTTCAGAGTTCTGGTGTTCTTAGGCATAGCCATATTGTACTCGAGGAAGGAAATAAGAATCTTGGAATGGATGTATTCTTACATGGGGTTTTTTTATTAGATAAGGATAGGAAGATAAAATCATTACCATAATATACCTCTACAGTTCCAAAAATTAGTAGGCACAGTCCTGTGAATTTGAAAAATTCACATGTTATGCCTTACCCTGTTAAGATTGTCTAGTTATTCTGGGGCTTATTCACTATTATACAATTTCCAGTCTCTTTTCTAATGTCATTTTAAAGGAATGCATTGCCAAAATTTCTATAACTTCTGTTGGGATTTTGTGAGAGATACTCTGAGATCTTGCCTATTCAGATTTCATTAATGTTTAGCCAGGGTTTTTCTATTTCTCCTTATTACCACTCCTTTTAACATTCTTGGTAACTGTTTTTATTTCTCTTTCCCCACATTTTCACAATGTTATCCCAAATTTCTTCCAGTGTATCAATACATTTTTAGAATATTTGTTTTGGCTCAACTCCTCATGTTTTGGAATTAAAATGCTGACTTTGCTCTGCTTAAAGTTTTATTAATTATGTTGGCAGAATGGGTATGCAATGGTGCCAACAGCAAACAAGAACTGCATAAAAAATTGGAGCAAATATGTCTTAATACCAGCAGCTGCTGCTGCTCAAGAGGATGACTGCAGTTCTGCAAGAGCAAAATAAGTAAATGGCAGCTAAACCAAAATAATCGCGAGTGCCCAGGGAAGGTGTGGATGCCCCGTGCCTGGTGGTGTTCAGGGCCAGGCTGGATGGGGCTCTGAGCAATCTGCTCTGCTGGAAGGTGTCCCTGCCCGGGGCACAGGGATGGAACTGAAAGAGCTTTGAGCCATTCTCTGACTCAGGTAAAGGGGAGTAGTGCACCCTACACTCTAAATTATCTTTCCAAAACTGGTTAGTGACTCTTGATTCTGGCCATTGCTTTTAGGCCATAGCACCAAGTATCTTCTGCCTATTGTTTGTGTACAAAGTCACAAAAACACATCCATCTACCATTGCTACAGAGTTATACCATACAGGAAATGAATGATTCAAAAAAAGAACTAATCTTATCACACAGGTAAGAGTTGGAGGACAGGCATTAATTTTGTACTTCTTGGGCAGGTTGGTCAAATGAATGGGAAGACATATATTTCATTAATTTATGACCAAGAAGAGAAAGGGCTTGTAACATATATTGCAGATACTTCTGCAAATGGGAAGACATATATTTCATTAATTTATGACCAAGAAGAGAAAAGGCTTTTGCAGATACTTCTGCAGTCAGGGCATCTACTCTGATTTTTTATTCTGTTATTCTGTCATCAGAACTACATTTTCTCAATTCTGTTAACTGCACTTTTTGTTCCTCAGATTTTCTATTCTCTTGGCAAAAATATGGGTGATTCAGGCACTCTTTCTACACTCCTTGTGGTGCTTTAGAACAGCAGGCTGAAAAGCCAGCCTGGCTTTCAGAGCCACAACAAGTCAATCAGTTATCTTTTGAGGTGTCTTTTCATCAGCTAACTTCCCTTGGCAAAAGTCTCCTTGATGAAGAAGTAATGCTTGTGGCTTCAGCACCTATCATTTATTGGGGTAAGGCAAGAGCGCAGGTAGCCAAAAGCTCTGCTTGGTGATGAGTCAGGTCAGCTCCAAACTAGAGGAAACAACTCTGTTACTGCCATCACCTTCCCTCGTTGCCAAAACAGTTGTTGCCATTTAGTCTATAGATGAAAAAAAATGCACTTTTTCTATGGGAATAGAATATTCAGAAATAGATTAGACTTTTAGAAATTAGACTTTTAGAAAGTTCTAAGATAATGAAAGTATCTCCAATCTCTGGAGAATACAGTTCCCTCAACTTCTTTCACCCTCTACATGAATCAACAAATTATGTTTTTCATCATGACTTCTATTGACTGAAGCAAACCTCAGTTATATATTTTTTAAACTGAAATTAATTCTTTTTCTCATTAGGTATTATTTGAAGATATAAATTATAATTTATCTTTGAAAGATAATTCACACTTTATCTCTTCTTCCCACTGTATAAATTTCATTAGTTTTCAAAACTCCTCAGCTGAGCTTGTGCTGAGAGTAAGACAGAATACTTCCTCAGAATATAAATCCCCACTCTGACACAGTGCCCTACAGAAAAAAATAATTTGGGTAAGAAGCATCAGTAAATTTAACTTTTCCCATCCTCTATCCACAAGCTAGAGATGTACTGGTTATTACTGAGAAAAAAATATTCTACCATTCTACGAAGAAATTTTGGATAGATCTTGCAGATTGCATTATCCCATTGAACCACAAAAATCAAGATAATAAAAATCCATGTAGCAAATTTATCCATCTCTGCCTTTTTTAAGGTTGTTCTTCATACATATGCAGACAGGTATGTAATATGAAAAGTTCTTCTCTTAAATCAGAATAGATTAATTGATTTCTATAATGAAATACATATCTAACAAAACAACTATGTGGTTTTTTCTTCTAAAAAGATGTGATTAACATGTGATTCATGTTAACAACAAATGCATTTCCACATCCCTATAAGCAATGTTGTTCGTTGGACAATATATTGTCATTCCCTACTTCCGAAACAGAGAAGGAAATGTAAGAAGGCTTTACCTGGTTGGTGGCTGCTGAGAAACACAGAGGATGGCAGGTTTTTCTCTGAAATGCTAGTTAAGATAGGCAGAAAGAGGGTGATAAATGCAATGAGAGTCATGCATTCCACATCCCTTATCAGACATCATGCAGTGTTCTAGCAGGCACCACTTTGAAGGAGGACAGTAGGGGTCAAACCTAATTATAAAGCAGTTTTCAATTCCAAAGTTTGTCAGTGAAAAGAGAATGAGCACATTGTACTTTGATGTAGAAAGTCACAGTTCCCCTAATAACAAACACTGATTCATTACTGGTTTGCATATCCTTCTTTAAGGAATTAAATTACATGCCACCTATAATTACATTCCTCTGTGCTTTGCTCATCTCAAACCTACATCCATCAGATTCGTACCATTTTCTTAATTTTTCCAGTTTAGCTACACAATGGGGAGACAGTTTCCCTTCAGCTGTCTAGAATGATCTTGAACTATTTTTCACTCAGTAACAAGATGAACTATCTAGCTGTCCCCAGCAGTCCCCATAACTGGGTGCAACAATCTAACATCAAAAAGGTGAACTGCTGTACTCAAAAAAGACAGAAATACTATTTAATAAATCTAATCTAAACCTTATAGTATTTGATTAAACAACATGGTATAAATACGAATGATCCTCAAAAAGAAAAAATTAAAATTATTATAATTTCATACTATGTTGTTTTTCTCTATATTTCCATGTATTATAAAAAGAACACGGATTTCTCTATCTCTTTGAGAGTTTGTTCATTTTCTAGTTATTACAGAGCAATCACCTAGTGGGCAAGTCAAGCACTGAGCCAAGAGGGAAAAGGTGTGTTCCCAAATGGCTGGCCTTCCTCAGCTGGAAGGCACATACCACTGCCCTGGTTGGTGCAGCAATGTAGATAAATGTCCAAGAAATTGCACTGAGGTAACAAAGTAAGTAATAAAACTGCAGTTAAAGAGTTAATCACATCCATCCAAAGAACACAAACTTCTTATTCCATTTTGAAGATGTTACTAATTCTAGTGTGTTTTCTATTTCTCTGTAGGATTCAGGCCTCTCTAAAGAATATTCAAAGGGTATTTGAAAATTTCCCAGTGTTCTTGTTTACAGTTTTAACATAAATGAAGTGTGTTGCTATGGAATGTTACAGATTGCTATCAGGTTCTATTTTTTTTTCCCTGCATGGGGAAATGACAAAGCTCTTGGATCTTGAACTAAAAGCTAAGGTTTTTTCTCATGTCTCCTCTGCAGACAAGCCCGGTCCTCCTCAGAATATAAAGCTTGTAGATGTTTGGGGATTTAACGCAGCCCTGGAGTGGACACCTCCCCAGGACGATGGCAATGCTCAGATCTTGGGCTACACCGTTCAGAAAGCTGACAAAAAAACCATGGTAAGAACTTGGCTGGGTTTGTGGCTCTGAAGGGAGTTAAACCAGCACCTGCTCTGGGAACACAGAGACTCGAGGGAAATGACCGAGTTCATAACACTCATTTGTGTGTCCAAGGTGTCTTGTGGCACCTCAGAGGCAATTAAACATTAAAAAATAGAATCTAAAAACCCCCAAAAGGTGAAAGATTAAATGCTCTCTATAAAATGGAAGAGACCAAGCCTGTGCTGTCTCAGGTGATGACTGCATAGACAGCTCTCCTTAGAAGGTGGAATTATACTTTCTATTTGCAATTATATTTTTCATAAATGCAGCAAAAAATTGAAGGGAAGGGAGGAAGAGTTAGACTTGAAGTGTGATGCCAGGCATACCAGGGTATGTACTGGGAGACGTATGAATGCCTGTCAAACTGAAAAAATATCTTTCTCATGGAAGACCCCATTAAGCAGTCACATTCTGAGTACACATTTTGTATCAGACTCCCCAGATATGAGTATGGCTAAAATACGGTAGAGAGTTGAGGGAATTTTTTGCTCTAAATAGAAACATTCGTACGCCTATCATACTGCCAGAATATAAAAGTAAGAAAATAGATCAGCTGATCTTTACAGAGAGCAACAAAATATCACAGGTTAGTGTTAAATACCTGTCAGCCTGTCTTTTCCTTGGAGCAAAAAATATTCTCTCCATTCCAAAAGCAGCACCAGTCTGACCTTCCATACCATCTTCCTAAACAGTGCAGTTTTGTTACAGGAATGGTACACAGTTTTTGATCACTATCGTCGCACAAACTGTATAGTGTCAGACCTGATTATGGGAAATGAGTATTTTTTTCGAATCTTCAGTGAAAATTTGTGTGGATTGAGTGAAACTGCTGCAACCACCAAAAATCCTGCCTACATCCAAAAAACAGGTAACATATTCTTCAAACCAAAGATCACAAAACCCACTAAGTACCAGAAGTAATACACTGGCAAAATGGAAAATAGAGTTTTACTAGCTGCACCCCTAAAGATATTTTCATTATTTAATAACTAGCATTTATAAAGAATTTTAGCATCAAGAGCCTTTATCTAGGAAGATCTCATGTACTAATACAAAAGTTAGTTTAAAAATATTTAATAAAAGTTAAAATATTTAATAAAAGTTAGTTTAAAAATATTTAATCACACAGTCTTCCTAAACTGTCTGAAGTAAATAATACAATAGAGGGCTTATATTTATATTTTGGGGTTAAAAGTGGAAGATGTCTGTGGTGAAGACTTTTCCTGCATACATATGGCTATCATATTTTTAACAGAAGCTGAAAACCCATGATTGCCAGGACCTTTTACCTTAACTAACACATTAAAGATGAGATGTGTTTTAGAATTAAATGTCTAATATCTAAAGACTTTTTATATCACAAACGCCAAAAGCTTTGAAGCTTCTTAAAATCATACAGACAAAATAAATGACAGATAGATTGTACACAAATCAGCAGAACTGCCGCCAACACGGTTCTTACTGTTTTGTCTCTTTGAACTGCAGGCACCACTTACAAACCCCCTTGTTACAAAGAACACGACTTCTCCGAAGCTCCCAAATTCACCCACCCTTTGGTGAACCGCTCTGTGATCGCAGGATACAACACCACGCTCAGCTGTGCTGTCAGAGGAATCCCCAAGGTACTGTCACCCCTGTCACTGAGATTGTTGCACCAAGGCAAGAATTGCTGCCGGTTCAGGGTGGCTGAGCGCGGCGTGGCTCACGGAGCAGCAGCAGAGGCCACCCGCTCATGCCCACCTCGCTCACACCTCAGGCTGCACAGAGGGGGACAGCGCACAGCCGGGGGGCAACACGGTCAAGGGGACAGAGGGAAGGGCACTCACTGCCTGTGGTGGCACCGCACCCCTGGAAATGCAGCACCTCTGCACAAAGCCTGCTCCTGGAGAAGGCAAACAACGACAAAATGGTCTGGTCACAATCTATACTCTGCTCTCTCCAGACTTTGAAGAAAACAGCTGCTGAATGTCATCTTCTGTTCCACTAAGAAAATGACACAGAGGAACAGCAGGTTTTTTTTCTGTCACACCAATACATCCACATAAGTTTTTGACAGTCTGAGCTATTTTGCAGAACTACATAGTGTAAGGCCTGGTCTCGTGTGAAGTTTTTTTCTGGGGGTTTTGTTGGTTTGGGTTTTTAATCTCACAGGAATATTTTCTCATTCTAAATATATTTATGAAAGTCCCATCAAAGAGTACATAGAGATGTACTATGTTGTTAATCAGGAACAAACAGTAAAAAACTGTATCAGCTAGGAGCTAAATTTAGATTTCTCAGAAAAGGGAAATAAGATTTTTGTCGGCAGTAAAGAATTTACCATATTATGACATAATCTTGTCCTAAATTTAAATTAGCACAATCCCTTCATGTCTGGCTGCTTATTTTAAGCTTCTTTCACTACCTCATACCTGTGAAAGGATCTGATTGCTACAGAGCAAAACATGTAACAATCAGTCCATCCAAATTTTTAAAAAATCATTTGCTGAAGTTCATTGGATGAAGAAGGAGCTGCAGAAAAAACTCAAAAGCAAAAAGGAGGCATATCTATGTAAACAGCTCCAAAAAAACAAGAACATTACAGAATAAACACCAGCAACCATAGGCAAAATCCATCTTTCAGTAGCTGCCTCAGCTTAGAAATGACAGTGTTATTGACAATATTCCCTCTTGGTTAACTGACATTTTTGTGCATCTGCATCCACTTCATTCTGTTTCCATGGTTTTAAGAAGATTCTTAAAAAACCTTCTCAGTTTTGCAGCTGTTCTTGTGCAGTAAATGAAGGCTTTGGAATGCAGGCATGCTAGCTCCTCCTTCGCGTTATCCTGAAGGATCCAAGTAGTCCTCAACCTTCAGTACACCTAATGCTCTTAAAGCAGCTTTTCCAGATATGCCTTTGTACTTCCATTGCCCAAATTAACCTTGTTAAAATGTTTCAGTACCTGCAGCAATACTCTGCAAAAGCTCTCATTACCTTATGTGGATGAAAATTTCCCACTTATTAATAATTGTGGATTCTCAAGCACACCTCAGGACGATCTGTATGGCATGGAAAAGTTACCACTGCAAGCACAGACAGTACTCATGCCCTGCCAGTAATGAAGTATAATAAGAGAAATATACCCAGAAAGATAAAGAAGCTATAGAGAAACAAGGAAAAATGTTAAGGCAGGAAAAATTCCAGCAGAGACCTGTTGAGAAAATTAAGCAAGTGGCAGGTGGGATGCACTGGATGTATATACCACACGTCAAAGACAAAAGTGATTCCACAGATTTGAGTGCACTCTGTAAAAACAGTGTAGTAGTTTTGGGGTTTATGGATGAAGAAACAGAAGACATTAATGTCTGAAAGAAAAACAGATAAATGTAAAGCTTGGTTTTCTATTCTTTAAAGACTGTTTCTTCATTGTATGTACTAATGAGCTCGAAATAAACAAAAACAGAATACCTGATTTTTCATTTTCAAAATCTCCTTTATAAAAATTAAAGGCACATTTTCAGGGACTTGAAACAAAACATAGAAGCATGAACTGGTATAGAAGCAACCACTTCATTCCACAGCAGAAGCCAACAGGAACTTCATTTTTAAATTCCTGAAGTTTCTGAAGACACGCTAGAGAGTTTGGAAAATCCTTTGCTGGACCAAACTTTGGCATACTAATTTGGCCACCCAGCACCTGCAGACTTTTATGACACTTCTGTTGTAATAATCTGTGACATTTAATTCCCCTTCTGTAAGACACTTGTAGCATTCAAATACATTTTAATAAGCACAACTAAATAACTCCTAAATGAATGAATTTGTAGACAGTTAATAGGGGTTGGGTTGTTTTTTTTAATTGCAATAAAACAGGGCAAAACCCTACATTGTCTATATGCTATTTTTGAGTTAACAAAAATACTGAACTTTTGAATTATTGGTTTCATGAATTTGTACAGAATGAGATGTTCCTTGAAAAATTATTAACAGTGCTTTGTAAATAGTCCTCATAATATTGTTTAGCCTTTGATGGCTACATTGAGGCTGCAAGATCAGGTGTAAATCTTCCATTCTCTACCTTCTATTTTAAAAAAAATCTTCTTTTTTGTTCTTCAGCCAAAGATATTCTGGTTCAAAAACAAAATGGATCTCTCTGGGGATGCCAAGTACCGCATGTTCAGTAAGCAGGGGGTGCTGACCCTGGAGATCCGAAAACCCACTCCCTTTGACGGAGGCATTTACACCTGCAAAGCTGTGAATGAGTGTGGTGAAGCTGAAATAGAGTGCAGGCTGGATGTCAGAGGTAATCAGAGGAACCCTGTGGACAACCCCAACACTGCAATGAAGGGAGAGTAATGGGTAGTTAAAAGGAAATAAAATCATAGCTCCCCTTTATCTGATTTTTGGGTGGTCTATAAAAATTTTGTTAATTACGTGCATCAGTAATATTGTTTTTTTCATTCTGAAGCATTATGACAGAATTAGGTTACTTGCTAGGTAATACAGGTCTGATGGTGTACAATTATTGCACTTAGATAGACTCCCTTCCACTGCTAAGTATCTGCTCTAGAAAGAGGAAGTCAGAAGTGCAATAATTGCATTGAGCATAACTTCATTAGACTTTGTGCTTATTCCATAACTGAAGGTTTTAAATCAAGTCATTGGCTATTAAACATATGTAAAAGATAGTGCATGCTACATCATAAATATTTTTTGTAATGTAACAAAACAGTAACAAATTATTTTGTTTGTCAAAAGGACCAGGAACAAAAATAACACAAATTTTAAAAATCAAGTATTAAATATTTTTGTAAAGCTGCCAGGAAAATATCTATTTATCAATATAAATGTATGTAGCATTACTTTAAGTGCTCAAACCCAGCAAGAGCTGCAAAAGTGACCTACATAGCAGTAATTGATGGAAATCCATTTTCAGCACAGCAAGCCTGAAGGTATTTCTACACAGCACCAAGCTGAATATTTGACTCAGTGCTAAATCAGGAATGTGTATACAGTACACCTTGCAGTGCTGGCTGCCAATACCCTCAGGGCTCACAGATTAATTTTATCATCATTTGAAGCTTGCTTTAGGAACATTAAATCTTCTTAGAATCATCAGATAAAAGCAACTAGTAGAGCGTCCATATTTCACTTTCATTACCAAGTCTCAATTTAAAATGAGCATTATTTAATGTCTGCTAATATGTTAAACTTTTTTTCATTCTCCAGCACCTCAGTAAAACTCTGAATCTCAGTTGATCTGCAAGTCAAGGTAAGAATAAAAATAATTCAGCTGGATAAATGAGTAATGGCTATTTGGTCAGATACATGAATAAACAATCATTATATATTCATGGCAGAGACTTTTTAGAATGTTTATAATGTTGGTGGAATATGTGTGCTTGTTTTGATTTCTGTTTGTTTTATCAGTAATCACTATTTCATGGGTCTCCACCTTTAATACACTGTGCCAGTGTAAAAATCTGTAAGAATAACAGAATACTTTGTTGATAATTTTTTCTTAATTCTCTACAAGCACTTCCTCTAAGAGACTGTTATTCATTAAAGTAGGGATACCTAATATCAATAACATTGCTTGAACAAAGAAAGTATAGTTAACATTTAAATGCATCTAGATATGTAATGTACATTTTAGACTTTAAAAGAATGAAGCAGTATAACAGCAGTCAGGTAATGTATTTGACAATAAATCCTTCTCTCCATTTTCTGTCTCAGCATTAGAGTGGAACTTGAAAAGAAGAAAAGTGAAGAGGTTAATGAAACAAAAATTCTGCTCATTTAGGAGTCCTGTTCATCTCAGCAATTACTTAATACACATGTACAAGGAGGCAGCAGTGTCTTGTAATGTCCTGCTTACTCGGTGTGTTTTCAGACAATATTTTCTCTTTTCATATATCTGTTGTAGTTAGATTGCCCTTGTCTCCATATGAAGAAATCAAAAGAAATCAAGATAAAATTTTTCCCCCATTACATATAAAAAAGATGTTTTTAAAAATAGTAAAATCATGTAGAACTGAAAAAACCCTAGTTGTTTCCTAATGTCTGAAAAAAGCATAAATCCCGCAATTCTACAATTCACTCCATCTTCTCTTTGCAGAGCTCTGATATTCTTCATAAGAAACAAGTAGCTCAGAATAATGAAGCAGTAAGATATTATTTACAGTATATAATCATTATACTTGTCTCTGTACAACAGAATGTAACTTTCATTCCTACTGTTTTCACTGTCAGTTAGTGCTTGAAATATCCACTGCTGTGCTCTCGAGCAGAACTGTGTCCAAACCACACCATTTGGGAACCACTGGCCATAGCTACTCTTCTGCTTTTTATAGAAAATAATTCCTTTCATAATTACTCACTACTTGTTTTCTAGCTTTTAAAAAGACACCAGCATAGAATTCCAGTTATTAGATGTTTTTTTCTACCAATCAGAGACATCATATGAATCTACAAGGATAATTTTGCACATCAGATGAAATAGTGAAAATTCTAGCAAGGGAGACTATTTGCACGTAAATAAAAAACTTTAAAGCAGAAGCTTGGAATCAATGTGATAAATTCACTGTCATAACTCTTCCTGAGGGTTTGTGAAAGGCTATGAGTGATATGTAGGCATTTTTGCAGATGATTTTGTCTTAAGCAAATGACACAATAGCATTTCTAGCTTCTCACCTGCAAGTTTGAAGAGTATTTGGGGTAGGTTTTTTCCTGAGGTAGTTGATAGTTTCTGGCTGGGAAGTACATTTCAATTACAGGAGATGGCAGGAAGATGATATTAATCAAGGCAGCACTGCCTTTTGGAAGAAGCTACACAAAGGAGCTGAAGGAACACTCCTCTGCTGCCTCCAACATGCCACTTGGGATGGCAAAGCATATCTGACACAGCATGTTAGTTGTATTAACCAAGCAAATGCATCTTCATAATAAAAGCACTGATGGTCATGAGATGTGTATTTTAGTTATTTCATTATGATATCAGAACAAAAATGGATACCCTCTAAAACCAAAGCAAACTTATTCCAGTTAACACTTGTCTGTTACACATTGTTGTTTTTCAACAAATAAATAAAATTTTAAAAGGAAAATATGCAGCCAGGTTTACATTGTTTTGTGCTTACATTTTCTGAGCAATACTATTATTTTTTCAAAAAAGGCACATACCACAAATAAAAGACAGAGATGATCCATATTCTAAAGAACCTGTGACCATAAGGCAGTGGACCAAGAGGACCATCCCAGCATCTGTGGGACAATGCATATTGCAAAGCAGTCACTGAATTGCAAGAGTTGGAACCTAATTTCATAGGGCCTTATAAGAATGGTGCACTTGAAAAACACAAATTAGCTTTGATTTCCAAAACTTCTAATGACAATGAGTCAAATGCAAATCCAAAGCATTACAAAAGAGAAGCACTAACTCTAGCTACATTTTTTAAAAGTCTTCATAAAATTAAGAATTCTGAGTTCCAAACACTAACCACTCCTCACACTGAGAGGAGGAAAAGGGAGGGGGAAGTTGCACCTGCAAAGTCTCAATTTCCTGTCATTATTTCAGGGAAAGGTCTTCAGAAAATGGTAGGTGTTTATTGATGTTTTGCCAGCATATACCATTGTCATTTATCTGTTCAGTGGCTGACACAGATCCTAAAAGTAGAGTCACTAATTGCCCACTAATTCCATGCTGTCAATAAAAAAATTATTAAGTAAATAACCTTCATCCCAATTTGATTAAAACCATATACACTGAGAAGCTTCTCCCAAACCCACCTGGTTAAGAACAACAAAGTATCTCCAATTTTTCCCCCATCACACCAGAAAGACTATTTGGTGAAAGACAGTCTACACTATCATTTCCTGGGTGAGATCTCCTCTGAAATAAAATCTGCCTTATCTCTAAATGTCATGGTAAATGTTCTTACCTTGTAGCTGTTTAGTACTAGAAGTGTGCAAGGTTTGTTCAACAGTAAAAGAATTAACATCGGTCATAAAATCTAAAATTTCCTACCTAGCAGCATTCTCTTTTAGCACATTAAGCGCCTTTTACTTTCAAAAACAGCAGTCCTACTGAAGTTCTTCCAGTAGTTTTCTCCATCAAGACAAAAAAAATCTGTAATTGCTCCAGTAAAAGACCCTTCCATGTGAAAAATATATGTAACTTAGACAGACATAACCTCTTTAGGCTGATTATTTCTATCCAGTTGGATGTGAAAGTGACTGTAAGTTTTGATGTTCCCACAATTTCCATTTAAATCCTATCAACTGAGGCTGCTGGCTGCCTGTTTAGTGTACATGCCTTTCCTTCAGACTATGAACAATATACTTGATGGAGATACTTGGATGCTTTGAATTAACATATGTAAGACTCATTTGAAGCACAGAGGTGTTGCAGAGCATTACTAAAGCCCAGTGCTTCATTTCAGGTAAGAAACATCAACTCTAAAATATTATGACAAGAAGAAGCACTTGCAGTACTCCTACCAGCCCAGTTGTCTCAGGGTGGCATTACCTGCCAAACAAACCCTCTGCTGACACTTTAGCCTAGGACAACACACATTTCACACGACAGCATCAATTCTTTTGTTTCATTCGTGTTTTCAGCACTGCTGTGTAAATACTCTAAGCAAACAATATTACTTACTCCTAGCAATGGGAAGCTTCATGTAAAAGCTTCGTGTAAAAGCTTGGGAAGCTTCATAAAAGCCACCAGCTGGAATTAAACTGTCAAATGCAAACAAACTTTATCCTGAGTATCTTGTTTCCTTGAGATTCCCTTAGTCCTTAAATCCTGACCATTATTCTGTGAGCAAATAATAACAGCAAAATGAGTTAACGATTGACATTACTTCTAAAATAACAAAGAAAAGGGCCAAAGAGCTCTCTCATGTTGCAGCACCAGCTTTCCCCTTCAGTGCCAGGAGCTCCCTCACTCACTTGTCAACTCTTGCTCTGAGAAATTATTGCTCAGGGCTGCAAGGCCTGAAGAAAATCTCTTCAAATTGTGGTGTGAGCATAGCAGATTAAGGTAAAGCTGCTGGGTTTCCTCCTTTTCCTCTTCAGCAGGCTTATACAGAAGCTGTCAAACGCTGTGTGGGAGTTAACGGATGGTCCCCCATGGAGATAATTCTTTTTTCCTATTAACAAATAACAAGTGGATCAGTTGAAGCTAAAGAAGGAAATTACAGTTATGTCCACACAGCAGTCATGACAGTGACTGTTTGGCAGAGCTTCTCAGGTTGCAGCCTGTTCTGTATTCTGCTATCATAGATCCACAACTATTACTTTAAAACCAGCAGGCTTATCTGTGGTGACACCTGCAGAATAAAAGTGACTGTTTTTTCATTCCTGAGCCTTAGTTTTCTGACTGGTTAATAAAAATCTCAGGAGTATTTCATTCCCAAGTCACTGTAAATCCAAGTATATGCTCTAGTACTAAAGCTATTCCTGCAGAAGGATGCCAACTCCTAATATATATTTTATACCAACCACAGTGCAGATGAATGCCTGTGTGTCCAAGGAAGGGTAACCTGTGCAATAAGAAGCTATGTTTCCATCAGTTGTCACCAATGTTTCCATGACCTAGGTGATCTAGATGAACTTCAAAGGTCCCTTTCAACCCAAAACATTCTATTATTCTATTATTCTTAAAGCAGCTTTGCTACCTAAGCTACAATACTTATGTGATATAGTGGGGTAAAATGCAAATTAAATTGAGTTCAAATTGTCCCAACAAAACGTTTATGAAAAGTGCCTCATCTGTCTTGATATTATCTTCCTCTTCCTCTCTGTAAGATGGAACAGTTATCTTTACCAACTCTTTCAGATTTTTCTAGGCTTACTATGTCAAATTATATACAAAAATTCAGTTCTACTTGTTGAAAATTACAGTGCGAGATCAAGACATTCCTATATATTATTTTAACAAATTTTTCAATGCAGGACATGCCAGACATTTAAAGATATCCTCAGTACATCTCACCTGCAGGTTTCATTCCTTATGAGAAAGAACTATTGTTCTAGCTATTTCAAGAGAGATCTACAATTGAGTTGAATGAATCAAAACACAAGAAAATCTTATTTGGTAGAACTTTTTCCTTAATGGAATCATACAATGGCCATTCAAAGGACAGTAGCAAGAGAAAATAATTTTCTGGAAGTCTAAACAGATCATTTATGTCGCTTTGATCACAGAATTCCTTTGAAACAAAATCCTTGTATGTATTTAGGAGGGAAGTTTGTCACTAACATGTCATCCCATAGCAGGTTTAGAACTACAAGCTGTTCCTGTCTCCTTACAAATGAATTTTATAAGAACAGTCTGCTGAGATTAAAAATAGCCCCACTGATACCTTTCAAGTGCTTACCAAGAAGAGAACTCTATTTTAGGGAAACAAAAGCTGTCATAGAGATATCCTTTATTTGTCATTGGGCAGAGTCCCCAGAAGTCTGCATAAGCAACACATCCTAAACAGCATGAACTGGTGAAAGTTTAAAAGAAACAGATAAGAACAGCCTCACTTATTAGGTCCAGATATGGAAAAAATAGTCAAGCATCTGCTTTCTGTGCCAGACAGAAACATTGACAATAACCAGCCCTGATATTCCAGATAAGTGTCATAGTTATGAACACATTTCAGTCAATAAGTGTGTATTAGCACAGCTGTACCAAAGACAAATAATCTAAAAAAGTGGCTAATCTAAAATATATAAAACATCAGTGGATATTCAAAGGTAAAACAAAAATAAGTGTTAAGTGAACTCCCTTTTTCTGTTTATCCATGGATAATAGTTTGAACGTGATTTTGTGTTCTATGCGATGTATTTAGCAAACATAAACAATATACATAGTTTCCACTGTTTTGCTTGGAAGTATAAATTGTTGGACCCAAATACATGAACCCAAATTGTGGATGGATACACTTTAACCTCCAATAAGGTTGCATTTCCTTGGTACCTGTCATAATGCTAACAATTACCCCAGAAATCCAGATATATTCTGGGAAATTATGATCACAAAAAGACTAAGTATCACTATAACTCTCAAATACACTTTTGTTACTTACTTATAGTTTCATGTAACCAGGAAAAAAATGGCCCAAAAATCCAAGCTTCTCTTCATTGTAGATGAGCTCATTGCATGTGATGCCTGAAAAGAAAACCCCAAGTATAGCAGATTTTGATCATAGGAAAGTCCTCAAAAATTTCTACCTGAAAATGGGACTTGTTCTTCCTCACTAGTATAAGGGGGGATAACTGGACTGTGTATTTACAAAGCATAGTATTTGCTTTTATGATTTTTGTTTCCTACAGTACTGAAAAACATTAACAATTTATTAAACTTTTTAGGCTACAAATCTGGTTTTCACAAATTTATTTCTTTTTAATATCAGATTAAATGGCTGAGCCATTTCCAACAAGCAGTGTAGGGAAGAGCTGCTACTGGAAGCTATCACAGAACAGCAGCACTAAGACTGGAAACGTTTTCCCTTCCCTCTATAGCACTCTTCAGCGCTCCACCAAAAATAACTTGATTTAAATGCAAGACGAGTAAGCATGGAATAAGGCTGAGAATGAAAGATGATGACAGAGCACTTGGTAAGACAGGAGAGAGGGATGAGAGACTGTGACAGGATGCTGGAAAGGGGCAGGGACTGGTCGAGCAGGTGACTGGGAAGAATATAAGTCTGAAGTGCCTGGGTGAAGAGGCTGGCAGGTGATGGTGGCCACAGAGGCAAGAAGAATGTATGGAAAAGCTACAAAGGAAAACAGATAGAGATGATCTGATAGCAAATTGAGGTGCAGAGTTGAGCTTGACTGGCTGAAGAGAGTGTAGGCCAAGGATGTGTGAAGAAACAGCGAGGAATCCAAGCAGGGCAATGTGTAAAAAGAGAAGAAGGAGAGTTCTTTGATACCCAGAGCACTATGGATAGAATTGTACTCACTGGACTTAGTATGAGAAACTGAAAAGGCAAAAATAAGAGCAAGGAATGAGAATACAGAACCAGAGTTTTCACATACTTGAAGGAAGCAACAATTTAGAGTTTTACCGGTGTTTTTCCTGACACTGTTTGTTCCTTTTTATATAAAGTTATTTTGGGAGATGGGGATTTCTATTTCTCTGTAGGTTCCTAAACCACATTGATTACTATAGTAACTGGCGCAAATAGAAGTAGGACTGTTTGCCCTTGGCTGACATATACATGCTTCTTTGTTGGACTCAAGCTTTAAAACAAAATCAATCAGTGCTAGAACTACTATGCTGCAGAAGTTTCAAAACACTGTACACCTGTAAACAGAAAGTTAACTTACAATTTTACTAACCTTGGTATACATGAGATCATTTTTATCATGTCTGAGTACAGTACCTGCCTGAGCACAGTACCTCCAAGCCTGTCATGTACTCAACTGCACTCCAACCTCCCTTGTCACCAACATCAAATTTTTAAACCTTCAACCACAATGCTAGAAAGGGGGACCACATACCTACTATTTAAAACTTCATCACATTTCCACTATTTTAGTGAAACAGACACTGGGAATGGCTTTAGAATCTCAAAGCTGTTTTTCACACTGAACATCTTCCAAGGGTAGGGCTCTGTGTGAAGCCTTTACCACCAGCACAATCAAAGTCACCACTCAGCTGCCTGGGAGTGTCCTGCCCTTGTGACAAGATGTCTCTGGCTGAATTGTGACTTCTGGAACAGCAAGAAGCTCTTTGGCACTGCCTTTTGTATGACAAGATCCTTTGCACAAAGCTGCTGCTTCTTGGTCCCAATTCCCACTTCTTCTGGAGCTCTGAGATGTTTTGTTTCAACACCTGGTTTGTCTAAGAGCAAAGAGTTTGAGTTTTTAAGTATCACTGGAGTCAGAGTTAAGCAGAAACCACTTTTTTTTCAGAAGGAAGATCTTGCCTTAGAGGCATCAAGGCATCATCATCTGACTTTCATCCCTTTGGCAATTGAGGGGAACTGGGATGTAAATATTGCTCTTTGTGAGAAGCTTAGCTTCTATTTCCTGCCTAGTTCTGAATTCAGTGATAACAGGAGCCAATGCCTGACACTGGGGTAAGAGCTAATTTTTTACCATTGCAGACAACTGCATCCTTATTAGAAACACACTCTGTGAGCCAAAAGCCCTCTTCTGGCATAAGCAGCATCATTCTAGAAATATTTTCAATATTTTTGCTAAATATTGAAAGGTTCCTAAAGGTTCCTAAAGCTTATAATCACAGCCAGTTTTCACATCCACTTTGATTATTAAGCTAGAACTTGAGTTGGAATTGCAAATCTTAATGACATATTTACTAGCAATTTCCCTTCTTAATATCCAGATGAACATTTCATCTTACTCTGCTACCCTGAAAGTGTTAAAGTAGGATGGTAGGGATTATCCAAAGTTAGGAATCAGGGTGTTGGAAATTTTTACAACAGGTTTCTTAAAGTAATGAGCTCTTTCCCTCAACAGACCTTCAAAATGCTTTTTCCATACATACCTTTAACAAATATCACTCAATAAGTTCCAGTGTCATGACACTCATTGATGCTTAAACTTTTAACCCTTAAAATGTGGACCCACTCATATTAGAAGTGGACAATGCATTCACAAATAAACCAAGAGCATTTTTGGAGCATCACGATGAAGATCTGATAAGCAGAATACAGATAAATTAGTAACTTAAGTTCCAATTTGAAAACTGCCAGGAATCATTTTTGGAGCATCACGATGAAGATCTGAATTTGAAAACTGCCAGGAAGACTACTCACAAATTCCAGCATTTCCAGAGAACACTTTATAACCATCACTTTGAAAACCAACTTCCTCGAACAAGAAATTGTAGCAGGAAAAGAAACCTGCTCAGCCATAAGGAAGTTCTAAGGCAAGTTTATGTTCTTTGTCACATTTGTGTAAGAGCCTTGGAAATAAGCGTTAAAATAAAAAGACTGCAATTTTGAAATTCTTAAAAACTAAGACACAGGCTCCTCCTAGTGGTAAAAACGTAGGAATTATTCTTTTTGTGTCAGGAAATTTCTAGAATGATTTATAGTTATTCTGTTAGCCTAATTAGTCTGTTAGCCTTCCATTTGGTTCTGGAAGGTTTAGGGGCCTCTAAGTTCTTACCTATTGCCAAAGAAATGTTACCTAAATGTCAAAATGAGTGGGACATAACTAAAAACAATCGCAAATCACTGTAACAAATTTTTTCCTCCAAAATAAAGTTTATCTACTTCTAAGTGCTTCAGAGTGATAGAGTGGAAAGGATGGAAGACTGTATCCCAAAGATTTACGCTTTTGTAACAATTTAAAATCCAGCTTGCATTTGCATTTGGTATCCAGAGAGCAGCACTGGGTATTTAGTGGTGGAAACTGCACAGCACGTTTTTGGCTCAGATGCTACACCAAAAACATCAAGTATGCAAAACATTTCATGTATTTCAAAAATGCCCTCAGTTTTGAAGCCAAGTCTCACCTAAAGAGCAGAAGCCCAATGTCAGAGCAGTTGCTGAGCTTGTTACTGCTCATCCCAGCCATGGAACAGTGAGCTCTATATTTAGCCACACTTGCTCATCAAAACAAATTCTGTCAAAAGGGACAGAGGGCCATTTTTATTATCAGGTCCTTTAAAAGTCTTATTCTGCACTGATGTTTCTCATCAGCCTAAATCAGACAGCAGCTTATGTAATTTAAAAAGGAGCTGTATATAGTAAATTATGTTGTGCATTTAATAATCTTCCCCCTGTAATCTTAAGTTGATTATGTTAATAGGCCTACTAACATAATGACAACCTAAAAACTGAAATTGCCTACCTCAGTGGGACCCAGCATTGCATAAATGGAACCTCTATTGTAGACCAAAGTGCTTTCAGTCTTAACTGTACTTGAAATACAGTAGTATGCAGAAAACAACAAACACTAAAAATTTAGATATTGCTGTAAGAAAATTTACGGTCTCAAAAGACAAAAGAAAAAAAATTAATTCAAACCAGGTTAATTTCATTATTTGCCAATTTCAGTTTTGCTTTTGTGTTAGGAAAGGATGAAAGATCGTTTATGTACTACTTCTACTTGCAAGCTTACAAAAGAAATTTCCATATTTCAGATGTGTCTGTTTTCCCTGTTCATGTTTTTCAAACACTTTTGTTTTAAAGACAAATGACACAAATGTCGTTTTAGAAGAAAAAAACCCCACATCATTTAAAGCTGCTTATGTGGAAAGAAATTTAGATTGTCCATTCAGAGTCTTTTTCACTATTTCATGTATGTGTGTGATGTATTTTGTATATAATTATATTTGTTTCAGAATAACAAATGATAGAAAAGCACAGGAGGATGAAAACTAGTTGCTGGTTGAATGACATTTTATTTTCACATTCAGAGAGCTGTACAGTTTCTATAAATAGATGTGATACTATAATATTTACATCATCCTCACCCATAGTAGTATATTCCATTTTAAATGGTAGATACCCTGACCAAGCCAAAAGAGGGTTATTTCTGGGTGCATTTAGTCAGGATTCTATGTCAAAACATACAATACATCAGTGTCAGAGCAATTTTTCCTGGTATTTTACATGTAACATTATTTTCTCTAGACAGTCTCACCTTCCAGCATCCTAAGAGCTTTCCAGACAAGTGCAGTACAGTTCAAACAAAAACAGGATGCAAAAAACCCATTCATATCCAGCCTATTTAAAATAAGGAATGTGATGGATAGTTTTAACTACATGAGTTTCATTATACATAAACACAATATTTTCAAGATCACTTCATATACAGGTACAGATTGAAAACAAAATAAAAAGCAATAGTTTAAAAAATTTGGAGACAGCAAAATCCTCTGGGCTTCTGAACATGTTCTGCAGATTTCTGTACTGTGCTTCGGCCAATAATGTTTCCAAGTTTTACACTGCCTTGTTCATTTTCTAATCCCAGTGATTAACTGCTTTAGGGAGTGCTTATTTGCATCTGTGAACTCTACTGCTGGGGTAGCTACAAATGTTACCTAAAATCCCATTTGAAAATCCACAGAATCCATGAAGTGTTGAGGTTTTTTACATTATACTACCTTCAAAGTTTCTCTCTCCACTTGAGAAGAGCCATCTCCACAGATGGACCAATTAAATAACCAAACTTCAACTGTCACATGATATTTTAAGACGATGACAGCTAAATTGCTCACCTCTACCAAAAGGGACTGTAGAACTATGTGACAGGAACGCCGTGTTGGTAATTTAAAATGAACAACACAGAAGGAAAACAACAAAAACACAACACTGAAACAACATACAGGGCCAGGCTGCTTCCACTGTGCACATACCAGAGAATCTGAAAGCAGAAGCCTGCAGTTGTGAAGTGATCAAACTGTAACAAGTACCACTAGAACAAAAAACAACCAAACTCAACCAAAAGAGAATTTCAAAGGAATAACCAGAGTAAGTCACTCACAGCTGGATGCAGATGCTCAAAACTGTCTGATTAAAAGCTCATTTAAAAACTCCATTAAGGATGAATTCAGAAGGAGACTGAACAGGGAAGGCTTAGGTTTTTCTATGGGGAAAGACTTGCAGGGTCATACATAAATAATCAAGTTCTCAGAAAAGACAGAAAGTGAGCTCCAGTAACTGCAGTAAAACTGGGGGTACTGCATATCAGTGTGCCAAAGGGTAGATATTTCCAAGTATCCTGATCAACTGGAAACTGGACGAGGTGGTTTGCTTTTGTTTTCTGCCTCTTTTCCACGAATTGCAGCCACATAAGAGAAGAGACACAGCACGGAGTAGCAGATCTCATGAGCCTACAAGAATTTAGAAGAGACACTGAAATTCAGATTAAGTGTTTTACAAAATCCATTACACACTTGTATTTTCCTGCATGTCTTCCTTCAGGGGACAACTACTCTGGCTACAGACAAAATCAGGAAATATGTCTCCTACCACCTTCTAACTGAGATGGAAAGAGAAGAGCCGTATAACAAACTAAAAAATTCTATTGGGATAAAAACATTATCTGCTTAACAGTATGATTTAATAATTTTTAAGAACAGTATACTAATCTAGAAAGTTGGCCAACTGGCTGTGGAAAAACTATTCTGCATATTTGCTTTTGGTCTGCTGCATGAAATCACATTTTCTGGGAGGGGTTGAAAGAGCTAACTAAAGAGAGGGTTTCACATAGCTCTACTCAGTTTCACAATTATTTAACTGATTAACTGTGCTATTATTTAACCAAAAATCCTCTTTTACCATGTGACTGGCACCACAATTCAGTGAAGGTAAGACCTAGACTTAAATTATATACTAGTTCTAATACCAGCTGTTCTGATGATTTTAAAAATTCTTGTCCTTTAAACTGACACATAAATTTTTTGTAAAGGTAATAAGCATGACAACATGTTTTGCTGTATTACAGTACAAGCTAAAACACTTCAATAAAATACTCTTTTTTCCATTAAACTGCATTTTCTTACTAACAGATACAGCTGTTTGCTTCTTAAACTACATACATTCTGAGCATTTTGTTCTAAAACATTTCCAGCTTCTTCAAATAATTTTGCTCTCTCTCCTCTTGACGGACTGAGTTTCCATGAAATCACCAAATGTGCACACTGCACATCAGACATAAAGTGAAATTTCTCTTCTGATGACAATCATTGGTTCCTATTTCTTCTTAATGAGTTCACATAAGCCTGATCATGTATAAAAGTGCTAAGTATCATTATCAACTGTTGGCGTTCACAAATAATGTTATAAAAACTGAACATTATTCCAGAACATGAACTCATCTATACAGCAGGAATCAATATTTTTACTGTTCTCTCACAAGTCATTGCTCATGAGGAGATGGGAATTTTTTGCAAACTGTTAACAATCACTCTATTCTTAGCAAGTAGTCTCCCTTTCCATCGCTTCTATGGAGTAAGGGTTGTGCTCTGCACTGTCTTAAAATTAACAGTTCCACCAGTTCCTATTGTGCTGAAGTTCAATGCCAAACTGGCAACCTTTCATCTTTATCAGTCTTAAAAAAGGAAACAGTGCTTTCTGCGCTACTGGTGAGTTCCTCTAATTTCACAGATCCAACAATCACTGAGTTTCGCTGTCTCCCCCTGCTGAAAACATCATAAAGAGCAGCTGGTGTTTCACTGCAAATCATGCAGTCTCAATGTAATTCTTTTCTCCACATGAAAATGTAAAGATACATCCTCTAGAGAACCACCAGAGGCATTACAGTAGACTCACCATTGGCGTCTTGTACTTGTGGCTCACCACTTCTTTAGTTTCAGGAACTAAAACCGGACGGGCAAGAGACAAAACAAAAAGTTCAAAAAACGAGAGGCAAATGGGGAAGAAATAGCACAATGTTCCCATGGGAAAGGGAAGGGAGGCAGACAGACAGCGGTGCAGGTAACAGGGCACTTCACTATCCCTCACTTGTACATACTTCTGCTTCTTTTCATTTACATTACAAACATCCTTGGAAGACACTGGTAACGTCATAATAAATTACTGGAGCTAGGAAAAATTTTCACTGCCTCTGTTTGGCACAGCAGATACTTGATGGTTCTTAAGAGACTCTGGCTTTTATCATATTACTTATTCCTGCTAGACAATAAAAATAATGAAAAAATATGCTTAATGACAAACTACACCTAATGCCTACTACACTAAAACATAACTCAAAAATTCCACAGGAATTTGTCACTATATGAGTCCCAAAGATTTTACCCTTGAGATCTTCTCTGCTGAGCAAGAAATTTCAAAAGAACTGTTGGACACTGTATACTGTATAGTAAGCTAGTGAAATCCAAGGGGAAAAAAAGGAGCCGAGGGAGATTTTTTTCTCAACTTGAAGACTGTTTTCCAGCTCTATTTTAAGTTTCTCAAGATACTCTTTCTCCTGTATAGGATGTGTGTGATGGTATTTACTTGACATACTCACTGAAAACATTCATAGTTTTTGAATGAGTTGCCTTAACATAAAATGCTGAGTTCAATGACACATATTCCTAAAATACCAAGGTGGTTGGTTTATAGAAATCTTTACATAAAAAGAAGATTAGGGCATTGATTAAAAAAATCTATTATCCAGAAAATCTGCCCTTGTTCCATTGCACTGCCTCAAACTGATAGAAAGAAAACTGGCACAACATAGGTAAAGGAAATTTGTCTTTTTCTCTCATTGCAGAATGCATAAAAAAGCAAACTGTAACCAGCCTGTTTGTGTGCAATGCATCTGAACTGTGCTTTTGGCCCACACTTGGTCTGCAAATGTTGTGAACAGATACCATGGGAAATCACCAGAAGAGAACAAAGACCACACTAGAACATTCAACTGGCAAATTTAAAACATCCGTATCAGGGGAATACCAAGACCAACTCTGAGTACTTCCCTTCCAGAATAGCTGGAATTTGCCATGAAATTTCTGTGTCACAACAAAAGAATTTAGAAGAAGCAGTACAGAAATTATGCAAAACCAAATCATTCCAGGTTCATAGAGGAAGGATAAATGTTTTATTACACATAGTACTAGTGACAAGAAAAGAAACAAAGGCAGATGAGTTCAGTATGAAGAGCCAGGAAAAGTCCACAACAAAACCTATCCATGCAGATGTCATCTCTTCAACTATGGTATGACACAGCTAAACGCTGGAGAGGGAGACGGATCACACTCTAAGGGCCCAGGAGTAGGCAGTGCAGACTGGGTTTGAGAAAGTTCTCAAAACATAAACCAGTACCTCCTAATTCTCATATGTCATGGTACTGTCATTCTTGAAAATAATCAATTGAAAAGTACAGAATATGATGGTAAAAAGTACTATTTTTGTTTTATTTTTCAACTCTCACTCTCCCTGGATTTGGCAGATGCATGAAGAGCTGAGAAACAAGGGAAGTGCACACCCAGGCTGCACTGCCCCAGTGATACCAGAGACTAAAGCTGGGGAGATAAGGAGGTGCACATCCAAGCTACCTTACCCGTTGGCACCAGATGTTCCAAATTAACTCCATGTCACCAGGGGATAAAGGTGGGAGTGAGGCTGGTGCACAGCCAGATAGGGTAGGACTTTTACAGCTGTGTAAGTCTCACTGCCCACTGGATAACATACAATTGTTCATATACTCTTCAAAAAGCAGGAAGGGAAAGCTGTAAGGACCTTGTGCCACGAGGGAAGGAGAGAAGGGAAGCTGTAAAGTCCTGTATCATAACTGAGAATAGGAAGAGAGGGAAGAGGAGAGCAGCTAGGTAAGGTACTGTCTCTCCACAGTAAGTTGCCTTGTCTTTAAATAAATACTCCTTCACAGTCCTTCCAATGCAGAAAATTCTCCTGAGAGGACTGAGTTAGGAAGATTAAGAAGAGTGGGTTTGCATTTACAAACACAGAAGTCAAAGCACTATTACTGCAGAATACAAAGAAAAAAGGAAGGAAGGAAAACAGAAACTGCCCTCCCACAAAATAAAAAAGACCCCCCACCACCACAACAAGAAAAAAACCCAAAGAAAAGACCCAAGCTTTCAAAGATTCAAGCCTCAAACTGAGAGATTAGTAATTTTCTTCTAACATTAAAGTTATTCCTGATGCTCTTGAACTGAGTGGATGAAGGCAGTAAATTAGGCAACATCCTGCAGCCTTTGGTCCTGAAAATTAAAATATGGTGCTACCATAAAATGAGTTTAGGGGAGATCACTTTACCTGCTGGAGAATGAAGGTTTTCATAGCAGCGGCGGTGAAGGGGCCACAAGAAACTAAAGCACAAGTACACAGCAGTAACTCAAATTCCAGAGGGAAGAACCTTACATTTCCTCACTTAAGTTTACACTTTCACTTGTGGGACACAATTCCTGAACTTCTGCTTGCATCCTGCTCTTAAACCACAAGTCCAGCTGTGATGCTGCCATCTAAACCCAGCATTTACACAAACAGACTTTTCATTTCCTCCTGTGCTATCACTAATTTGGCGCACTCATGATTGGTAAAATCTAAATCTTTCACTGAAGTACTTCCCATCAGACTGGAGTATCCACACTCACCAGACTCTACCTTTCTAAGAGCATCTACTACTTCAATATGCTCCTACTGTAATAAATCTGATGGCAAGGTTTACAATGTTTAACACCAAATAACTTCATTCTTCTGAAGCAAGTTTTTTGTTAATGCTTTTAGTCTACTACTACCAAACATTTTCATTTCTCTTGAACAGGAGAGATTGTCATATCCTCACACCTTTTTAAAAAAACAGCTGTGAGGTAGACTCTAATCTTGGCATAAGAAGAAAAGTTAGCTCTCCTGCAACATCCTCCTTTTTTTTTTCCCTCTGTATTAGCTGGATGGGAAAATTGTCAATCTCATTTGGTACATCTAATTTGGTTCTTTTCTGTGACCTCGATTTTGTGAGAGAGGATATTTTTAACTCAAGTGGTTTAATTTCTCAGTTTTTGCTTGTAGATTTCAACTCCTAGTTTATTTTTAATTACTTGTTAAAATTACCCTTCTATAAGTTCCATATGACAATTTTAGCTTTTGCAATAGGGCCTTGATTACAAAATCTTTTGTAAAAAAATAAGAAGTACTTCTTCTTACATTTATTACAGATATTATTTAGGGGCTAAATGCTCTGCTACAGAGTTACCAATACAAATTAACTACAAATAACCAAGTCAAACACTGTCTTTCTTCTTGTGCAATATAAACAAACTATTAAAATAAGTTCTTTGAATAAAAGCTAAAAAAAAAAATTCCAAAATAATTTCTGATCCAAGTAATTTCTTTTAAGTAAATATTTCAGAAGTTGAAGCCATTCTTTAAGCTAATTTTATGGCTTCTGAATTCTCATCTTGTAAAACCCATCAATAATCTTTTACTGACTTCAGAAATTTCTGTAAGTAATAAAATGAATCATGCCCATCAGCATGAAAACATGCTATCAAAGGAACAGAAATTGAAAAAAACTTATGAACCTCTAAGCTATTAGAAAATGTTCATGGTTTAAATATACAAATCTGATCATATGAACCATGAACAACATTTTCAAAAAATGGAAAAAAATTGTTCACCAATTAAAACACCTGGGAGATTTATGGTAAACAACAAGCAAACTGCAGCAGCCAGAATGGTTTTATCACTTAGAACTTTGTGTCACCCAAAGGAGACAATACATTCTCATGGACAAAGACTTTAATTTCAGAAATCTCATGTTAATGAGATTTCTATAATTACATGTTATGAGTCTTCTATAATTCAAGAGAGAAGCCCTCAGCCAGAACATTCTGTTTACAGTACCAATATGACAGTCTTGGTAATGGGAGCTGCTGATGCAGATTCTGTTTAATGGCCAAAGAATGCATGCTGATCTATATGGAATTAAATTTCAGCTCCTTTCTTTATGTTTCATACATACTCCTAAGACCTAAACAAATGCCTCAAAGATGGCTGGAAGAATAAAGCAATTTGGGCTTCAGGACAAGTACATGGATCACCCTTCCAGAGAGCTGCCTCTGAAGTCACTTTTCAGACCCTAGTTAAGAATATTGTGACTGACACTAACACTGAAGAGTAACCTGAAATTTTACCCAGACTCTGGTGTAGGCAGATATGCAATAGCAATAACTGACCAAAACAGCACAAACTCTCTGTTGCCCTCAACCTTTACTTTTCCACTCATGCTCCAAAATAAGATCACAGGATAAATAAAGCACAACTTGACAAAACAGTTTCTGCTCCATTCAAGAAAAATTAAACTATATTAGAGCAAAGAGAAAGCTTTGCCATTAACAGTAATTATTTGTAATGAAAGCGTGGTGTGTTGAGAAGGATCAACTTTAAATCCTGCTTTAAAAATGTGGTTTCTCGGATGAAAAAGGAACATACCAAGACAATTCTCACACACACCCACAACTGGTTTTTGTTTGTTTCAGAAGACTCAGAACCTTTTCTCTGTCTAATAATAAAAAGCACCTAGATCACAAATCTTAATATGATAAAAATTAATGTGGAAATTTTTATGTAAAGTCACCTATCTCTCAGGCAACTGCTTACAGGCAATCAACATTCTCTTCCATCTTTGAAATTGCAATGCAACTCTGAATCTGAAGACTGGAAATTTGAGTTACTGCCATGTGAGTACAGACCTAATATCAAAATAATGTAATTACCAAATTCCTCCAGGACAAAGACTCCTCGCACTGTATTGCACTTTTTAATGTGATTCAGCTCTATGAAAACCTACAAAAACAGGAGGAAAAGTAACATATAATTAGTTGGGTTTGGAGTTTTTTTAAAACAAAAAATCAAAATTAAACAAAAACATCATCACAACAGGTACAACCTGAAGTTTGATAGCATACACTACCAGTTCATTTACAGTTTAATATATAAATAAAGGGTGAAATAAATATTCAGAAGACAAACTTGCCACAATGCTAGAAATCAACAAAAAACTTAAAAGTGCTAAGAAGCGAAGACAGCAGAAGATGAAGTACCTTCCGCTCCTTGCAGGAGGAGAAAGCATGGAAGAGAAACGAAGGAGTTAGTAACTCTGACATATCCAACATTGCTACCCCTTCAGGCACTCAAATGAGTTATTGCAAAAAGAATACCAACACACCTGAAATACAGCAAAAGATGGGGACGAGAATAAAGCTGGCTCCCAAATTTGGCACTATTTGTAGCCTCTGATCCATCCCAGGTAGTTTCTGCCCCTCCATGCATCCTCCTCCAGCACAGAGGGCAGGTAAGGGGCACTATACTTCCCACCCTGACACTGATCCTCCTAACCTACCAAGTAGTCAAATTGAATCAAGTGAGGAACCACTAACCTTTCTTTCCCTGACAGTTCTGTCATGTAAGATTTTACCAGAGTTTATGACATGTAATCTTCAGAGTTACTCTTGGAACCATCTCCTTTTAACAGTCAGTACCAGTTTTCTGCTTGAAGCAGGATGGGAAAGTTTGGATCCTTCTCTGTTTTGCTCACTTCACATAGGGCTCTGCCAGTTGAGCAAGACATTTATAAAATAAACCTGCCTTGAAGTCATGTTTTACATGCACCCCAAAAGACAAAAGCAGTTGAACTACACAACGAGGTTTTTCAGTCCAGAACGTAGATACCAAGACTGCATGAATAAACAAGTTCTCTTTGCATAATGAGTTTGTTTAACATCCAATCTATCTGAAGATACAAAACAGACCCTTCTTATATGCACATGTCCAGAAGGGTCAAAGTCAGTACACAGACATAAGAAGCTGTAGCAAGTGCTATAAAGACTCTAATCCATATCCCAGTTTCTAATAGACTTGCTTTTCAAGGCAAGAGAAACACTAAGAGTAATACTGCCCTAAAATTCAGAGTGTCTATGCCAAACACCTTAGAGAGGTCCTTTAAAAACTGTATTACAATAGTGTGGTTTGATACTTAGAGTGCCTACACCCTTAGGACCCCATGATCTCAGGACCTTTTTCTTTAAATGATACTGGAGAAACTTCATTGTCTTGGAAAGAAGGGAAAGGAAAACTCTGCAACCCTCTTGAATGCCATATTAGCAGCACCAATGTAGTCATGCATTATAAGCTATGCATGAGAGACAAAGGATGTCAACACTAGAAATTGTGGAGTTTTTTGAAGAGACTTATTGTATCAAGAGAGATCAGTAAATCCACTGTACATCTGAGATAAGACATGCTGATTTTCAAGTCAAAGGAATTTTATTATTATTTTAATTGGCAGAGAACTAACCAACAGAACTCAGATATTTTTTGTTCAACATAAAAACTCAAAAATTCCACTTACTTAACCAAAAATCTTTATTTCTGCTTATGTTTAAGCACTCAAGGGAAAGGAGACTTAATCCCATCTTTTTTTTTGTTTTGTTTGCCTGTTTTCATTCATATTCTATATCAGTTTACTTGGTCAAAAACACTATTTTTTGAGGCATACTTACAGAATAAACAAATCAATAACAGAATATTTTCTTTACTGCACTTAGCTCTGTTTATTCTGTAATCTTTTCTGTGAAAAGTTTTTGCTAATAGTCTGAAGTACAAAAATTCAGAAACTCAACAGAATGGCTAAGGCGAAACACTGCCCATTTTATCTGGGAAGAGTAAAACTGCCTAAGAGACTTGACTGCCCCAGGTGCTCACGATCTGAGTTAATGTTACGGAGTGCTGCATTTCCACAAGACCAATGAGCAAGATGAAAATTTATCAAGTTTGTCACAATTACAATCCATTTTCAGAAGATATGAGTTAAAGGGCAATTTCTTGCTATATTGTTTAAGGGACAGAGATGGTCTCCTCTCACTCCATCAGAAAACACACATAAAGGAAACAGCAGTTACTTACCCTAGGAAAACTGTGGTTCCTCAAGACAGAGCATTCAGTGTGGATCCTACTGTAGATGGGCATGTGCCTTATGCATCTTATTAAGCTTCCATCTATTTTTACACAGACAAATTCGCAACGGGCACAGGCTACTGAGTCCCAATATTACAACAGAGTTTGTAGATGTGAACTCAGAATTATCTGCCAATGCCACAGGTACATTTAATTCCTCCCTATTCTAAAGAACATCCTCTAACCTGCTAGGCACAGACAGACTTTAACACTTTTTATTCTTAAACTTACATGTGCTGCAGCATGGTGAGACAATCTGTGAACACTAAAGACAACTCTCACATGTCAATAACTGGTTGTCCCACCATGCTTGTGAGACATTGCCTAAGGAATTCACAAGACAGTAAGAAAAGTACACACACCACAAATGAAGAGCCTTCAAAAACAGCTTCATAACAGCAAGCTTCACACTGAAGCAGTATATTCAATCTTCTGAACACAGACTCCATGGATATTTTTCTTTTAAAAAGTGGAAACCCCTCTTCCTATGTTGTAAATGAATTCTATGATGTCCAATCAAGCAGAGCAATAGAAATCCCTTATACTAGTAAGCCACAATACTGAAAAGAATACTTGGAAAGATAGCCAAGAATAGAGCCTACATATTAGGTAAGGAGGGGAAGATGAAGAGGAAAGCTGGGCCTGATGAGATCCTGTAGGCTTTTGTTGGTCAGTATCCCCATTCAAACTCAACAGAAATAGAAAATGCCATTTTCACCACCGAAAAACAGCTGTGAGATTCTGGTTTTAATGATGCTTATATAAATATTCTGAAATCAGCCACCTTAGGGAGCAATTCCCACAATGTATACAAGAACTGAAAAAAAAATCATCCAGAATAGCAGACCTTTCATTAAGAAAACAGACTGGTTGATGAGTGTCAGAATAAGAATGCCAACATCCTTTAGCTCCAAAGATTATGAAACTGGAACTGGAGAGAATTCTTTTTTTTTTTTTTGCATAGTGCAACTAGTATGAGTCCTTTATGTAACTGCTACAGTTGTCCATTCTACAGATACCCTCAAATGACACATTTGATATCTGTCTAGACACTTTGCTTTGAGAAGGAAAACAAGGTTATATATCTTGGATCCCCTAAATGGTACCGAATGCCCTGGTAAGATAGTAATATAATCTAACAGACCAATAACTAAACATATTGAATAAATGCAGTGTATTTTCCAGAACTGCACTTGTTTCAAAATTCATCTTAAGTAATGGCAACTCATCTGGCAATAGCTTCATTGGAAAGGTGATGAAGAGAAGGAATAATCCTTCAGGTGAGGGAGATTGCAGGCATATGTCCTGGGTCTGACCTGTACAGACTCTTTTCCAGAAAAAATATAGGAATCTTCATGACAGACAGCAAATTAGAACACCATTCTCTCTAAGGAAGGATATGATAAAGCTGGTATTCTATGAGTTCTGGTAGTAGCACAGGTCTCAGTACCTGCTGTGCAATATTAAAGTAATGCTCCAGACATTCCCATACTAAAAATCAGTACAAGTTTTCCCTAAAGTTCTTTCTGAATATCATTTCAGCCTTTCAAGGAAAAAAAAAAAGGCTTGCATCTGGAGTTTTTCTTTTGCACAAATACATGCATGCTCACTATGTGCTTGATACTGAGTGTCTTTGTCTTGTGAAGGTGCCTGCTACACTTAAGAAACCATGCTGCTGCTGACATGGCTATCTTTTCATACGTCTTTTCTCACTGCAAATGTGAATTTGCCTGCCTTTTCATTTATGAAATGGAGTCATCTCCATAGAGATGCGCAGTTTGAGTAGAACTTTTTTGACTTCTGGGCGAAGGAGCAAACAGAATATTCCTATTTTGTGTCCTTACCTTAGGACAAATTAATTTCTACTATATGCATTTATAAGGATATCAAAGTGTTGCTTTGAGACGAGGGCTTAATTTTCAAAGGCTTTAGACCCATCATTTTCAAGAACTATGAAATTCATTCTGTACAAGCAATAACTTCCTCTTACAGTTCTTTGTATTTCAGCACACCCAGTGAAAAGATAAAATCTGTAACTTAGTCAAGTAGAGTGTTCCATCACAGAGTAGGTCTGAAACTCTACAGCAGGTTGGACATAGTCCAGGTTCTATCCTTGTAAGAGACAGCAAGGAAACTGAGGGAGGTTCACAACTCTGCACTCCTTATACTGGCACATATGAACTCAAAGTGCCACATGGTGCTGCTGTGACCTTGGGAGAAGTATTAAAGATTCTGAGCATGTGTGTTTGAGATGCACGTGCACTTCCAGTGGGATCTACACTGATGTATCCTCAAAGAAAAACAAAGCTTGTGTGGGGAGAAAGGTCTAGGCAGGAGGAAAGGAAAAAACACTCCACAGAGAACTGACAGAAGCTTCTCTTTCTTTCTCTCTCTCTCTCTCACACACACATACACACACCCTCCCTTCTCCCCTGAAAATTGATTCTACTGTCTAGCATAGCATGCATTTAATATATGCAAAACAAAAAAAACATAAAGCAAAATAAAAAACAAGGATCAAAGGAAGCAACAGAAACAATATCCATAGAAAGGAAGAAAATGACAATTCTACTTGTGTTTCCTCTATGCCCACAATATCTGCTATTTCGAAGGAAAAAGGAATAAGTACTTTTTTCTTATTTTTTGGGAATTACATCAAGAGCCAGTTTCCTATTTTATTTTCATACAAACTTCTAGATAATTTCTAAAATTTTAAAATACGATAGATTAAATACAATCCAAAAGGTTGCCTTCTGTACCTGTAATACTCAAACACTGTATCTTTAAGGCTGACTGCTTATGCAATGAGGATTTGTTCACAGTATGATGCATTATAGCAGCTTAGATTATTATTAATCACTTTTTCTGTTCCTTAATCCAGGCTAACGTTTGTTTTCTGCTTAGACAATTCAGACGACACGAAACAAGAAGCTGAAAGATCTATCAACATCTTGCTTTAACAGATTATAGTTTTCCTGAGGATATTAATTTCAGTGTCTATTTACATATATATATTGATACATGTTTGTGGGTTTGAGTGTAAATATATCTAAGTTTTTTTACCCACATCAAGCTATCCCCTATCCTTACTGATACTCTGGGAAGAGGAAACACCTATACAGGCGTGCTGCAGAAAGCTTCATGCTCAGTCTTCTCATAGATTTCCCTCATACCTGACTGTGCATAAATTTCAGGTTAATTCCTTCCAGTGTGACCTGAAGAAGACCTCCTTCACCGGTTTTCATATCCTGCACAGGGAACTCACCACCCAACTCAGGGCCTGTGATGTTAATAAAGAAAAGAAAATCCAAAACAAAATCAAAAGCAAAACAAAACAAAAATTCAGAGAGAGAGAGAGGGAGTGCAGAAACCAGTCAGCCGAGTCATGGTATGTGGAAGGGGAATATAAAATAGCAAAAACATAATTCCTGCTGATGTGAATAGCAAAAGGACACTACTAAGAATAGTAGAGACCATTTCAGTGAGTCCACTCACTAATGACAGCTTTCTGAAAACCACTAGAATTTTACAAATTGTAATACATTTCATTCTGGTAACATCAATATCAGTTCATCCTGTATTTATTGTATGTCATATTGGGGTATTGTTTGTATGCTTTAAATGCCACATTTCATTTCTGCATAGTAAGACCCTGCAATCACATAATATCATAGAGAGCATAGTCTTAAGTACAGATATATAAGCAGCACAAAGGAGGCTTGTATTTGTGAGCTGCATTGCATGGTATTGTTTTAAGCAATTAAAATGTCTAAATATTATTTAAATAATCATTTAATAGAGGTTATTAATAGGTAAATAATGTAGACATTTTCATCTAGTTTCTTTTGCACTATTCAGTTCAGCTAAAAAGTGTGTTCTTCAAATTATTTTTGAAAAATTATCATTTTTTGCAGAACCACTGAGCTCTGGGGAATGGCTTTTAACACAATGCAAACATATTTTAATGCTACATTATTGCCTAATTCTTAAAATACCTTTCAAATACACTTTTGCTAAAGACAACCATCTACTTGTACATGCATGCACAAAGTTACCCCAAGATTTCCAAGTGAAAGGAGATTATGTTCAAAGGAGTTATTAATTTTAAAAATTGCTGATTGTAGATTAAACAACAAATACTCCCAACATTTAGAATCTTGTACCTGGTTTAATGCTTTGCTGCCTTGCTGCTGCTCGCTCCATACTGTCCTTTACACAGTAGTACAGTTCCCGGCACTAACAGACATAAGAAGAGTAATGCAATGTTATTTCTCCAAATCACCAAGGGAAGGAAAGAACAGCAAGATTCTAAGGTTCTATAAAAAGAACAAGCCCCATGTGATGCCAAACAACCAAAAGCCTATACAAGCTCAAGCACACCTAATTACTAGTTAGTATTTATATATTTTTTTACAAGATGATAAAGAAACTATTTCATAGCATTTAACCACAAAAGCTAGTGAAGAGTTCATGCATTGGCACACTCTAACCAAGCCTATGCAGTTTCTTACTGTAGAATAAGCATCAAAATAATCCCTTTCTTTCTTTCAGCATCCAGCAATCAATATTGCTAGTCATGCACATAATTTTGTTATTCATATCAATTTCCTTATGGTATATTCTTCTCTTCATCTTCCTTCAACTCTGAGATTAAGCCATAATCTCAGAGCTAAACTTCAGAAAATTTTCTATTTTTCTATATCTCAAGATACAGAACACAGAGAAGGCTGAGCTACTCTATACTAGAAAGGAACAAATTTGATGGATGGAAAAACTCAAAAGAGTTGAGATCAATGGCTCAGCATCCAAGTGGAAACCAGTGACAAGTGATGTTCCTTGGGTGTCAGTACTGGGTCAGTGACATGGACAGAGGGGACTACTGGAAGGTGTCCCATGGCAGTGGGGGGTTGAAAGTAGGTGATCTTAAAGGCCCCCTCCAACCCAAGCCATTCTATGATTCTAAGATCAAAAATTGCACAATTAACTCCTAGGGCATAGTTTTATTTAGGTTTTGTCCATGAATCCTCTGTAGTATTTTTACTATCTTCACAAGCCTGCAAGCTCACACAGTATTTAGTAATACTGATGCTTTCCTTCTTCCAACAAAAAAGCTACATGTCATTTCTTAAATTACTTTCTGGTGGATAACGTCTTCAAATAAATGACAGGGTAGAATGCCAGCTTGAGATGTCAGTGCTGCTGAACAGCCATTGCAGTCCAGTAACCAGTGCTGGAAAGAGAGTGCTATTTTTAATTAAACATAGAATATGACATGCAAAGAATTATTTTTTTCTGTGCAGTTATCCCTGCAGTATTGTGTATATTAAACAAGATACAAACCTTCTTTGTGTAGAACTTGTTCAGTTGTGTCTCCTGACCATTCCTGCGCCAGAGGCAAAGCACTTTTGTTTTGGGACAGTAAGTCATGTTGATGAGTTTCTCATACCACCAACGTTCATACACAGTTCCAATGTTGCTTCTCAGCACAATACAATCATCACATACCTAGGAGCACAAAATATTATATAAGAGTTTTAATGCTGTTTCTTTTATTTCTTCTGCTACTGGCTGCATTAGTATTATTCTTGTCTCTACCTCCATGAAAAATATGTCTCCTGTTGTGTCTGTCCCAGCATGTACTACAAAAGTCTGCTTCTTGATGTGGCGGCTGCCACTGGGTCTCACAGGGAGTTCCCGTCCATTCTAGAAAAAACCCACATGCAATCATGAATGAACATTGGAAATAAAAAAAAAAAAATCGGTGACACAAATGAAACAAAGAAGAATTTTTAACAGTATTTAATGAGCTCATTGGAGACAATTTTGGACAAAGCTGTAAGCAAGATACTGTAGTAAGTTTAGTTTCAAAAAGTGTGACTGGGAGAGTTATGACAGCATACAATATTCACACGGTACCATACTCAATATGGGAAAGTGAGGTGTCTGAGCTCTGGTATCATGGCAGTAAGCTGGTCTGATTTTTCCCAATTAATTATAAGATAATTTTGTGTCTTTTCTGTGCAGAAAAGTAAATTCCAAAGGTAGAAATTACCTTTAAAAGAGCCTAACTTGTGTCCACCCCAGTGATGGTTGTGTTAAAAACTGGCTAGATTTACTAACTGAAGCTTTAGCTTGTATTCTTATTGACCATTAGAGGACATCAGGCTTTTTCTCTAGGAATACTGCGAACAGTTTTGTACAGAAACTGATTGCTATAAATCTTATAGTCGCCTGGAAACTGATAGAAAACTAAACACTTCTTACAGTCATAGTAATCATAAAGGTTCCTGCCAACACAAGTTATTAAGAAAACATCGATGTTGCACAAAACTGTGGTACATAAGTGTCATGTTAATACATATTTGTATTGCAGCTCTGATAATTGTGTAACATTAAAACATTATAAACAGGGTCATATAGTCACAGTCTTTACTCTGTACTTGTGAAGAGTAGCATTTAAAAATTCAATTAATTGTTTTTAATGTTTAAAAGTAATGTTGCAGAGAATATACATAAATATTTTTCAAGCAATTTATTTCCTCCACTGTAGATCCCAGAGGTATATCACTCATCACTGTTTTACTTACCAGATTGGCAAGTTTGTCTAGAATATCATTTATTTGCTGGCTGTGCACCAATCCAATATGTGATTTTCCCATTAGACGACGCACTTTTTTCCTAATATCATTCTTGTTCACCTAGAAAGCAGATATACAGACAGTTGCATATTCTGTTCACAGGAGGCAACTCCAATCTCCCAAACATATCTTGGTTTCCACTGCTAAGAAGCAAAACAACTTATACCCAATTCACTGATGCTAGGGCCTCTTTAATCAGCAGTACAGGACCACATTGCACATACCCCACTTTTTCCAGCTACTGTGCAAGTGATGCTGTGCACAACAGATTTCCTGCCTGCCCATGCGCACAAGCTGCAGCTCCACTATCCCCCACTTCCAACTACTGACATCAAAAGCCTCAGTCCTCCATGTTACCACTTCTGAGTCTCATTGGCCAGACCAGCTCCTCCTCCACCTCCTCCTCTGCACAGACTCAAGTTATGAAGCTGTGGAGCCCTCAACACAACATGGGCTCATTCAGAGCTCTCCTTCTTTCACCATGTGTTTCCTGGTCACTAGGCTGTGGCTGTAACACACACTCCCAGCCAGCCTTCAAATAGCAAAAGGCTCTTCCTGATGATGAGCTGCAGGCAAACTCAGAAACAAAATATTTCTGCCTTAGGTGCCATTTCAAAAGGTGACTATGAATGCCAGCCATCGATACTAAAGGCTTCAAAGACAGTACACTCATGTTTGAGTGATGATTTCAAGCTGGATCAAACACTGTTTTTTAACACATTTGCATTATGACCTTAATGTTGGGGAGTATATAAAACAAACTCAATCTGTTTCCTTCCTTTGACAAGAATTATTTGTGCTTGAAAGAAAGCATTGTATTTTTAATGTATTTTAAAATTAAAACCTACTAGGCTCTCCTATGCAAAACAAGAAAATAAATTAAAGTATGAATGTGTTGGCTTTGCAGGATTATGCTTCCCTTGATAGCTCAAATAAATTCATCTCTCTGGTAACAGAAAGCCTTCCAACTTTGCAGTTTCTACTAGAAACTGCCCTTATTATCCACAGCTCTGAGTTTCATTAGCAGAGATGTATGGTTTCAACACAAATGAAAATCTGAGTAGCAATCTATTAAAAAGAACAAGAAGTCACCTTAATCATAAGCATATAAGCAATCATATTGTGCAGCAGTGTAGCCAACAAGCGATCCTCATCATCCTCCAAACGCTTTCGATCGTGCTCTCCCAGGGAAAGATACCTGCAAGAAGAGCTACATCTGAAACAGACACACAGGCACTCTTCATCCACTTCACTAAAGCACTGGCAGAGGACACAGCACTGTTTGCAAAGCGTACAGCAAATAAAACCTCTAAAAACACTAAGTCAAGTGTGCATTTTCCAGTAAAAAACTGTCATCAGTAATTAAACATTTCCCTTAATTATTAACTAGTTGAAGCAAATAACATCTGCTCAGTGGGAAATTTGTTAGCGGTCTGCTGGGCTTATCATCCATTTCCTGTTCTCTGCAGTGGCAGCTCCATGACAATTACAACTGTCAGAAGAGGAACACATAACACAGCACAAGAGCTATCCACATTAGAGCTTAAATACAGCTGCAAGGCAGAAGACAGCTGATGAAGGAAGTGCACCAGGCACTCTCTTTTTCCAGTAAGGTAGGCAGTTTCTGGAATAATAGTTTTGAAACTATCACCAGTATCACCCCAAACCAGTTCTTATTTTGGCTACCAAATTTCATGTTCCATGATAGCATGGATTTAGAGGCAGTAGAGCTGCAGGTGGTAGACATGAGCACAGAATGATCAGCTGTTAACAGAGCTGGGGGGAGGAAGGGGAAGTGAGTCAAGACCGACATCTTAGAAAAAGTCAAGCCTTAGGCAACCACACAGATATTTCTAGAGAGTGGTTTCCTCATGGGATTTTTTGTTTGTTTTAACTACAAGCTGTGAAAACACCTTTAAGTTACTTTGCATTTTGAGAAGGCTCAAAATGCCATTTCTGGAGCTACTTAATTATTTCACTGTATGTCAATACACTATTATTCCAGAATATAGCCATCCTGCCACAGAAATCTCTTGCTTTACTAATGATCTAATCTACTCCATCCATTCATATTGTTCTTATGCTTACATTACCCATTTCTTTGGAAATATCTCACCACAAGAGTTAAAAAATACATATGTCATAACTAAAGACAAGTATTTCAGTACCAGGAGCTACTGACCAGTAGAGAGAGAAAATGCTCCCTTTGGAATAGTCAGGTATAGTAAAAAGGTTTATAAAGTGACAATAGCACGTTAAGCAGAAGTAAAATAATTTTTCCCTACTGTTTTTACTATTTCAGCCCCAAGTGAAACAATGAGGAGGAAAAAGGTCTACTAAAGAATTTACCTGTCAATCATCTCCTGAGGTCCCTGGTCCATTCCCATTCCTTCTCTCTCTAACATCACAGCATCCAAGAAAGCATCTTCCCAGAACTGCATCTGGTCCCACAAAGTTGAACGCTCTTTGCCTATGCAATGTATAAAAAACTGAGCATTTATTCTGTTTATTCCAGTCAGATACTTTATGATTAATTCCTGTTCATTCCCACTCCTTGAAAATACCATAAGCCAACACACAATGAAACTATATTAAATAAAAAAAAAAGGTTACTTGTAAACCACAAGCAATATCACAACTGAAGGTAAGTGTAAAATAAAAGACAAGACAAATCTCTCATTCTAATTAATGGCACGATATTTTTAATCCCTTACAGTAAGGTACCACTCATCTCTATTCTTTAAGGAGTACAGCGTCTTCCATAAACTGTAAACACAGTCCGAAAGAGACAGGAATATCTCACACAGACACAGATCACAGCAAACACACAGAGAAGTGGAAAGATAAGATTATTACTCAGAGAGAAGGTTTCCATTGCAGCATCCTCTAACTGGTCCCAGACAGATCCTTTATCCCTACCTGCACCATTCCAAGCAGGTAGGAACGATTAATGGGAAGGATGAAAAACACAGGAAGAGAGAGCTTTTGATTAACAGCAAGTCCAGACAAAATACAAAATAGCCAATGTACTCCTAATTCAAGGGATATACTTGAAGCCCTTTAGTATTCTGAGTTTAGCCCTCTGTTCAGTGACTTAAGCTGAATGATCTTTTCTCAAGATCAGGGATATATTTTAGCTTTCCATGCATAGCTAAGTTCCTTCTCCCCTTCTTCACACTGTTTAAGAACTCATATTCAAGAAGAGCAAGAGACTTGGACAGACTTAATTTTATGTAAACTACACCATTCACACCAATCTCCTCTTACACTTACTCAATTTCCCCAGCAAAACTTTGGCTTTACTCTGAATGGTCTGATGTGCCTTCCTATTCTACCAGCATGGACAACAGTTAGAGGTTAAAAACAGTGCCAGGGGAAGTGAGAATTCCAGTCTGTCCTAGACATGATTTCACCTGAACTTCAACCTGAGAGATTCCCTCTCCACAAAAAAAAGTAGCTTACCCAGAAGTCCTTCATACAGATAGACACGCTGGTTCCCATCCTCTGGACCTCTCCCTGGAGTACTCCCTTTGCTATCCTTCACACTCTGCTTCAGGTTGTGAGACTTGGCCTGAAAATAATACAAGCGGAATTGGCAATTTAACTCTGCACCCTGCAGGGATCTCTCTTGTGCTGTTGGGTTTAACAGACGCAAGTTTTCAACCTATACTTGAAAAAAGCTTCTGCAAACATTCACAAAACACTTGTTTTGTTTAAAGAGCAGCACTTTAACATCCAGAGTCAGCCAAAGAAAAATCAAGGAAAGACAAACAGAGAAATCAAAACACAGAGGAGGCACAGTGCTACCCTGAAGGAAAACTGAGGCAAAACTAAAACACAAGCCCCAGACTGAAGGAAAGAAATTCTTCTGTCATCCCCCCATTTCATACTTATGCATTCATAAAGGAGTGACATTAAGCAAATAATTACATCTCATCTGGCCTGAAGAGTGAGAGTTGGGACAACCAGCCAGCAGGAACTGTGACAACAAAGCTGGCCCATTTATTTCTCTACACCAGGTAAACTATGGTGCAATATTTGAATTCACTGAGCATCATATACACCCATCATCTTTGTTTTAAATCTCTTGCGAGGTTTCTTAGAATTCTATTTCATTTCTATTTAGTTCTATTCTATTTAGTTTAGTAGAAAAACACAGAAAAGTAAATGTTAAAAAAAAAGTCTGACTCTTCAGTAACTGAGAGGACACCCACTTGCAACTAAGGAAGCGGATGTGGTTAAATAATTTTCATGCTTTTTGCAGAAATCTGCCACGAAACACAATGGTTTTGTTTTTTGTTGTTTCTTAACATTAGAAGCAGAAGCCCTGTAAAGGCTTTTACAATCTTATCAGGATTATAAAATAGTGAACCCAGTGAGACCAATCTTAAGGCACTGCAGGTTGTTTTCTTATTTCGCTGAGAGCTTGACTTAGCCAAATCAAGTGTACCATTATTTGCTTGGTAAGATGCATATTAGAGGTTATACACAATAATCAAGGACTTTACAAAATGAAGTGCTCACAAATTATTTGGGTTTTGCTGCATACAGATCTTCCAACTAGGCAAATATATTTAAAAGTTATGATTACACTTCAAATAGGACTAAGTAATACTTTAAAGAAACAGAACAGCTACTAAAACTAACATGGATACTTAATCAAACAGCTTCTCCTAAGAAACAGGGAATTTTCATTTTAGTTCAGGACAAAAAATGCCCACCATATGTCCATTTGGTTGAGAGAAACACTGAATTAATATTAAACATTACTAGAGTCTCTAAAGTGGTGCAAGATGTGAATCTACTACTTTCAAAAAACCACTTATTGCACAGGAAATGAAGAAAGGTATGTGGATCCAGACAAAACTACATCTTTGACATTGTAATATTGTATGTCATTGCTGATTAAGCCTTAGAATTGAATCAGAGATCCTATTGTATACATGCACACACATTGAAATATTACTGTACAAGGTTAAAAAAAAAAAATTAAGTCTGCAATGCCCTTACAAAGATAGAGCTAGTAGCAGAGTTTGTCTCAATTTCACTGTCTGACACAGTGCCTCTGGATCCTGCTAAATTGCCACCATTTTCCACACTTGGGCCATCACCAGCATTGCTACTCAAGTCACTGTCTGCTCCCAGTGTCTCTCCAGAACTGTTACTAACCTGTGGAGAAAAATAAAGCCATTACCTTCAACAGATAATACATCAGAGAATTTCCTCTTATTTTTAATGCATGAAACAACCTGCCTTTTTTGCTCTCAGGTTACCCTTAAAACTTTTCTTTTTTACAGATAGTTTATACAAAACTAAGACATATTTACAGAACTGTTGCAATCCACCAGTTCCATACATACACCAATATGTAGGAAAGCAGAGCAGCAATGAGCACCACATATGAAGGCTGTAATGTCCTCATAAAGCAAGCACTATGTATGTTCTGGCACACACACATGCTTGCTGCCCACTCAGAGGCTCTGGAGAGAGAACTCACAGAGTACACGATGCATGTGTGACACTCTGCTGCCACACCACACAAAATGTAGGCACAAAATGCCCTTCCCCACTTCAACAAGCAGTCAAACACATCCAGATTTCACTCTGGGCATATCCTACCACAGTGCTGACTTCAGAATCCTGGCTTGTACTTCGGACCATTACTGTTGGTCCTCCACTGGGAATAGAGTCAAAATCACTCTTCTGCAGTCAAAACATATAAAGGACAAGAAGAGTCACATTAGTTTTTACCATAAGGAGAGAACATCACTTCCCATTCTTCTGGGCTCTTGAATCCCATGCCTTATGCTTCCTTAGCTTATTTAGCCAATCAGATAGAAACTGCTGAGTGTCAAAAAGGCCACGGTGTCCTGTAACTGAGTTTACAAAGACAATGCCCTAGAGAAAGGGGCAAAGAAATTTTACCAAATGAGCCTCTCGTTTGGTTTGAAGGAATACTCAACCCTAGAAGTCTTCCCATAATTAAGCAGTGAATAGAAGAATCCTGTCTCTTACCACATAAATAAAGCAAGCATAGGAGCCACTAACCTGAGAACCTGAGGCCAAACTGAGGCCACTGTCTGCACTGATTTGGGATTTCTTCTCATCTGTTTCTCCCAAATCAAACTGTTTCACACCTTCTGGTCCTGAACAAAGGAAAGAGTAAATAATTACTGTACCAAGAAAAAACAGCATAGGAGAAAGCAGATGACAAACTGTAAGCAGGAACAGTACCAAGAAAACAGATTTGCGGTCTCATTTCTTTCATTTTTAATGCATTTTTTATTATTCCTTGGTACTGAAAATAACAAGGCCAGCAGAGCACATGTGCTAGTCTTCAAACATTAGTCTGAATTTCAAATATTCTGAAGTCCGGGAGTGATCATAAACCTTTCTTAGCCATTCAAGAGAGATAAGAGGACAGACAACAGTCAAGTAGCTTCGAGTTACAATAACACATGCAGAGCAGTTGACATTCAACTCTAGGAAGCCACTTCCTTTAATTCTTGGTAACAAAAAAGAATACCTATTTACTTAAAAGTCAGAATCCTTTTTTGAACAGCTAAATTGCTCAAAGTCCTGGACTCAGTTTTTTGGTTGCCCACTGCAATTATCTAGGCAAAAATCAGGCAACACATGACAAGCAAATAAACAGTGACAATTGGAGTTACCCAATAAGATTTTCAAAGATTAAATTTGTATGATGCTGTACTTCACAACATTCCCCAATTACATTAACAAATGGCTCTCCAGAGTTGGCAATCACATAGGTAGGAAGAGAGAGAGGAAATCAGCAAGCTTTTAAAGTCATGCATTCATTAACCCAACAATCCAAAAAACAAAAAAGGGAAAGAAAGGATAAAGAACTTTATGTTCAATTTCCCATGCACTTCTAGAATCGTATCATCTATTTGTCCTCAGATGGGATGGCAGAAGGAAAAGAGAATGATGGAGAGGTAAAGCCTGAAAAGAAATTTGGATAAGCACTGAATGAAGTAAATAACAATGCAAGAAAATATGTGTGCTACAGGCTGTACACAGAATGTTAATACTCTCAGAAAGGGGAAGAGACTGAATGCAATACTGCTGCCATAGCCATATCTGCCAACTATTCAGTAACAGGAAGACATGATCAGCTGCTGGAATATTTGCAGTATATACCCATGTTATAGCCAGTATCTCTAAACAAACAATGCCACTACCTATGTAACCACTGATCACAACAACCTGGGAATTATGAGCATGTTTGTATTATATGTAATATTAGAGAGGACAAGATAGTGAAAAGGTAAGAAAAAGGGAAGGGAGGAGAGAGAGAGAGAAGGATAATATACAAAGATTTGTGGGAGTGAGTTTGAGATGATATGTAAACTCATGAATAGCAAAGCCATAAGCGGGCTGTGCAGACCATACTAGCTTACTACACAACCATCAATTCTTCCTGTGAAGTGTTTACAGAAAGCATTCTTCACTTGCTATAGTATTTTGCCTCTAGACCAAAGGCCTTATTTACTGTAAATCAACTCCTCAAAGACTCTAAGCAAGAGAAAGCATAAACACAATTGATGAAGAAAAATAACAAAAAAATATTTTCTAAGAATTTGGAATATTATTTTTCACAGAAATACACATAGCTCACTTCTAGAGGTCTATATCCACTCATTCAAGTGGTCATCATTTCTAGTTCTGATACAGCCAAAAGTTTTATATCGCATTATTACAGCAACAACACAAAATTTCAGCTGTGTGTTTCAAGCATTTTAGGAGTTTCCTGTCCCAACACATAATTCAGATATGTTTCTGGCAGTTTGACTTTTAAAGGAATTGAAATAGACTGAAGCAGTTCAGATATTTGAGGCCTGTAACTGAGTTTAAGGAGCACAACAGCCACAACTACATTGTTGTCACTGTCAATTTACAGGCACTCAAAAACCTCCCTTTCCCTTCTTTATGGAGCCATATTTCTAATACTCATGGAACACTAAAACTTCCATTTATCCCTCCCAATGCAGGCACCTACCTGAAAGGCTCATTTTGGGAGAGCAGGTTTGTGCATGGGCTGTGTGCCTGTCTCACACACTCCTACCTGAGCAGGTAGCAATGCACAACTGAAGTACAGTAAGCTGTACTGCAGAGTCACCCCATTGTCTCTGAACTAACTCCACATTCTCATCTGTACTTAACAGAAGTATTTAACTGAAGTGCCTAAAACTAATGTAAGCAAACCCAGGCCTAATCAGAATGTTTGGAATCTTCACTCATTCATCTCAGCTATTAACCCTTCCCAATTTCCAGTCTATAAAATGGGTAGCATCAGCACTGCAAAGTACAAACTAAGCTTATGGTTAGGAAACACCTACCACAACATGGATGCTATAAATTGGCTGTTGCCCTTAAGTCATATGTCCCTATTTACAACAGTGACAACCAAAAGAGCAAAACCTGGTATTGCACCTGCAGAGTACACATATTCAACATTTTATTCATTATCATATTTTAACAGAGGTTCAGATTTGCGTAGATTTAGACTATTATTTAGACTCTGCAACAGCCTCAAACTATTTTACTCCTTTACCAAGGGATATGAAAAACAAAATCAGGTTGATTCCTTATTATCAGGCTGTGTTCTAGAAGCCATCACTAAATACAATTATTCACATACACCTTCTCTCTCCCCCTCAGAAGTATTTCTTGTTGCAGACTGACTGCTCATAGTTGATGCCAGTTAACAAAATTCACCATCCCACGGCTTGAACAAATAGGAATTCTTCATTCCAGTAACATTGAATCAATCAATATATTCATGTAAACAACTTGTTAAAAAAGTTTTAACTTTTAAGGAAGGAGATGGAGTCTCTCAAAATTCTTTCACATTTATCTGATTGGTGAGGATGCAGAACACCTGCTTCCTCTTCTCTGAAGGCAACAACTGGGGGAGGAAAAAAGAAAGAAAAAAAAAAAGAAGAGATATTTGAACATAATTTGCTCAGGGCAAACAGATCTGTTTGGTCCTTTAATGGAGACTTTCTTGATAGATTTTGTTCTTGTGTGCCAGAGATGCAAGCTCACCCTGCACCTGGGGAGTTGGCAGTTATGGGGAGGCTGGAGGAGTCAGTTTCTACATTTTTTTTAAATTTCCTTACTCGTTTTTTCCAAAGATTTTTGCTTTTTCACTTCCTGGTGCTTGTTCCACAATTCTACCCAAGATGCATTGAAAGCAGGAGAGAAAGAGAAAGAGTCAGCAGCTGGTCAGACAGGTGAAAATGGGGAAAAAAATTTCAAACAAGAACCCCACCCCTTCACCTCAAAAAAACCCAAAATAAAGCAAAAGAAAAAAAAAAGGGGAAAAAAAGGAAGAATTTTATGACAACTACTGAGTGAAGGGTTCATTAACACCAGTTTAAAAGAAATCAGTGTTAGGTTTTGAGCACTGCATCATCTCTGAGTAACAGTATTCAGACATTAGAGATGACTTCATACAGTGATGGTGGTGCACCCCCCCTCCCCTCCTCGCGCCACACTTCGACAGCAGTTAATCAACTAAGGAAAAACAGTTCTTATGAACAAATAATTAATCACCTTTACTAAGAAAGGGATTTAAGACTGTCAGATATTTACCGCTCTAAAACATAGGCATCACAGAAGTTCTAATTAACAGAAACATTTTCATGTCTAGCTTATATCACTCAAAGGAGAAAGACACAAAAAACAACAGAAGCAATTCCAAAAATATTAAAGCATCGGTTAACACAACATTTAATCAATATTATGTCTTAGATATTATCACAAAGTTTACACGTTATTTTTGACCTGACAACTTTCTCAATGAATGCATGGCTCTGCCTATGAACCTGTCCTATATGCAAAGAGTTGAACTTCTCTGCATCCACTTGCTCCTATCAGGGTACAGAGAATAGAAAATGATGAACTAAAATGAGCAAGATATCACACATGCTTCACTCCAACTTCCAGAACTCAAAGTCACAGCACTCTAATCAAGTCGACGAATTCTGTAAGAGAATATACAATGCACAGACCAGCAAAACAGTCTGAAGTTTTCTTAAAAGTGAATTTGAAACTCAGCCCTGGGACAAAACAGTCATAAGGCACTTGCACTTTTCTACCACTCATATTGTTCAACTCTGAAATGCAGTCACCTTTTCTGCTCAGAAACATCAGATCATTCCAGGTGCTGGCCCTTTGGCCAAAGGAAACATTACAAGCTGACATGGTGAGCTGACTCTAAGTGTTAGGCACGGTCCTCTCTCACTAGCACCATTTAAGTTGGGGATGCTACAGAGGAAGATCCTCTTAGAAAAGTGGCAAATGGAAGGACAAAGAAGTAGAATGTTCTTTTACTGGTCTTTAAGAAAATTTCCTGAGCAACTGAAAGATCATTTAAGTGTATTAGAAACCCATTCCACCCTGCAAATAGCAGAAATAAGGGCACGACAGGTTCTAAATAAGTTCTGTTGAGTAAAATGTCCACTGAAAAAAAATTTAAAAGGATAGGTTACAACTGTGGAGTAAGGCTCCAAAGTATTATGAAAGAAGACATAAGGAGTGAGACATGCAACAAGGTAGAAAAAGCTAGAAAGATGGCTTGTAGCCTACCAATTTCTAGATCTGCTTCATGATTGATGGATGTTCCTTTAACTTTCATAAATAGACAGATGGATAAGATAAAACTGCTGGGGGATCCAAACAGCATCCTACAGGCTTATCAAGCTGAGCATACACTGACAAAGATAACAATCTCTAAGATGGACTGAATTTGTTTGTTAAAGGGCTTTAAAAACATCTGGCCTCTCCCATGCTCAGTCTATATGGCTTTACTTTAAAAATCACCAGTCTGAAAGCTACAATACCTGCCATTAACTTACTTTTAGCTGACCTGTCTGTTAATTTAGTGTAGAATAGATCCTAGCACATTAAAAACAGACTAGATTTTACTGTCAATTACTTAGTCAAAGAAGAAAAACAAAACTTCAATAAACTCACAGGGCATAAAATACTATACCTATGGCTTTGTTACATGACCCTGAACTAAACAAGACAGCAGGTCCAAAAAGGACCTGATGGGCACGAAGTATGTAGCACAATCTTTTCTGTTGAAAAAAAACAGCCAAAATAAAGTGATCTGACCGGATTATAAAATTATTTAAAAACTAGTAATGGAAACTTCAGTAAGTACTGACATTTTCATTAACAGTTATGGAAAGTATGCAATAAACCAAACTTATCACTAACATAAAGGGGTAAATTAATTATCAACCTAAAAGCCACCAGTGTCCTAACAAAAAGACCTACACTACAGGCGATAAACCCTGGAAGGCAAGAATCTCAGAAGTAAGCAATTGGTGAGTATCAGAAGCATCATCTTCATACTGAATTTTCTAGGTAGGAATTAGGTATCAAGCACAGTCAAGATCAAAGCTCAGATAGTAAAAATACATCCTACTTCACCTCAGAAACAGGAAACCCTGTGAACTTTATGGCCGTTGTTCCTGTAGTACCAGAAAACTCCACAGATTTAGCTACCATAGATTCAGCTCTAAATTTGAGATGCAGTTTAATCACCACACTAACATACACTTTACATGACTACTGCAAACAGAACTGTACATTATTTTGCTCCATCCTTCTGAAGACTTCTCATTCTAGTATTTCCTCCTGTATCTAGGTAAAAACGGTAGCAGCCCAATTTGTATTTCATCTATACAATACCAAGAGATTAATTCAAAGTTTTATTTATGTATCTGCAACCTGAGGCTGTAAGTACCTTCCAAACTTCACAGAATCACAGAACTGCTGAAGTTCAAAGGGACCTGAGAACATCACCTAGTCCAACCTTCCTGCTTAAAGTAGGATCGACTAAAGCTGCCTGCCACAGGACCATGTCCATTCAGGTATTCACTTTCTCCACAGATGGAGAATCTACCACCTTTCCAGGCAACCTAGTTGTTCTAGTGTTGGATCACCTTCATATAAAAACATTTTTTTCCCCATATTTAAATGGAACTGCTTACAAATACCTTATTTCAGCAAGATGCACATGTTTACCAAATGCTCTTCCTTAAATAAATTAGTTTGAATGAGAACACCTGCATTTCACAGCTAAGCCATGACTAACGCCAGCCCTGTATATCCAAAGTTGTCTGATTCTGAAGTTTCTATGACAGAATATAAAGAAAGTATAATAGGCAAGCAGCATTAAATTATCTCTCTGCAACACAAGAGAAACATCCTTTACTTCTAGATCACACGAATCAAGTGAACATGGAGACTACACTGTTTTTACAGCAATTTCCTAAAAAGTGACTTGCATGTTCATGTTCTGTTGTGAAAGACAAAAGCAGTTAGAAAAAAAGGCTTCAGGAAAAACATTCAAGTCTTTTGAACTTAGCCAGTCTAGGTAAAACCATATTCTTCTTGTAATTTAGCTCCATAAAAGACAAGTGGAAACCATCATAGCATCAGAACCACCAATGAGAATGTACCTTTGCCTGTCCTTGAAGACTGTGAATTGTTTAAGGCTTATATTCCGGCAACAGTAGCTAACGTGGCATATTGCACAGCACTTCTTTTGAAAAGCACTTCTTATGATGCTTCACAAACAGGAACTATCAGTCTATGATTTCCATTTCTATGAGGCTTTAATTTCATGAGAGGGAAAGCAGCAGTCTTAGCAACCTCATCAAAAGATCTCTCTTCATTCTTTAAAAGAACACTGTCCTAGAGCCCGGGTTATTCTTAGTTGTGCCAGAAGCATACTTTCCTTTTTCTCTTCTACAGAAAAGTAGAAGAGAAAAGTACCCAGACCAAACCAAACAACTATCTAAAATGAAGTACCTAGAGCAAACCAAACGACTAACTGAAATGCTGAACATCTCAATCTGTAACTCTTTCAGATTCCTGACAGCTTTTCAAATTGAGTGCAAGACTAGTTTCTGAGCAACTGCCTCCATAGATTACCTCCTTAAACAGAAAGCCAGTCAAGTCAGAGGGGTTCAGCATCAGTTCAGGACTCGACAGCACCCAGCCTGCAGTTATTAGGTGTGTATAAGAATGCATGTCTGTACTCCTGTCACTTGGCTGCTCAACACACACATTCCCTTGTCTTATGCCACAAACTACATACAAATCCTCACAGCACCACACTTTCAGAAGATTAATCTTTCAGACAGTGATTCCACGAAAATGTTATTTTAAACAGGCTGCAAGAAGCAATGTCTATAATTTAACATGACATAATTTTGCAGTTGAGAAAAAATTTCTCATATGCTGATGGTACTTCTCATGTTTACAACCCACAGCCCAGAGGATCCAACCAAAGTAATGTTTTTCTTTCTTCTCCACCAAAAAAAGTCTGTAAAGCCCTTTCTAAATAAAACAGTTCTGAAAGGCCTATTTCAAACGTTTTCCCATGACACAGGGAAAAGCTAGGCCATCTAAGAGTAAGACAGGAAAATCTCCAGTGACCAGCCTAGCAGATGCTGTTTACAAGAGCATACATTCTATTTGCCATTCCATAGAAGGAAAATCCATCACTCCTGCTCACTGAAACTGTACACTGTAACTAAAATCCTTTTGGAAATTTTGTTGTTTACAAACAGCAGATTTTGGATCCCACTTATATCAGGATACAATCTACGTAATTCACAGGTAGCCAGCAATGACAGAAAACCTTTATTTCATGTTTCCCTTCCACAGCTGCCCTTTCTGAAGTCCTGCTGCCCCTGTTCCTCTTTTGCCATTTCCCACTGCTTGAAAACAGCAATCACAGAACAAAAAATAAGGCTGTTTAAGGTGTAATGAAATATAGAAACAATTAAGATTAGACAGCTTCTGGGAGAAAATTGCGGTGGATAGTTTATCCAAGAGTAGGGTGAAAACACATATGATTGTTCCTTGTGATCCAAGGTGTAAATGAAGCATGTTATAGTAGCAATGTAGTGTGTTAAAATGAAGAGAATGCAAATAGAACCTAATGCCAAACCACAAGTCCCCCCTGCACTTCACATGCACCTCAATACACACCAATGGAAGCAATAAAATTTTCTTCCTTTAGACTTCTTGTGTCAAACTCCCTTGGCCCTTTGCCTGCAGGGCTGGGTGGCTTTGGCATTAGCTGAGGTACCGGCAGCTGCATCGCAGGTTTTGGCTCCACTCTTGGGGATGATGCAGGATCCTTGCCAACTGGAGTGACAGATCCATCTGTAGGACTTCGTTTTCTCTTTTCTGGTTCTTTAAATTAAAAGAAGAGTGTTGAGAGAAAATAAATTAATTAATTAATAGAAAGAAACCTAAGAAAAAGGAAAATGAGAGCAAGAGAAGAAAGATGAGACAGATGGTCTCACCTAAACCATTAAGCCTGGCACTGAAACAGCTCAGTGCGACATTTGTTCCCACAGGCCAATATGGCTTGCTGATAGTCTGACACACTGGTGGAAACAGTAGAGGAGAAACCCAGAGTTTTAGGGATACTCAAGTATCTCATTTCTGTATATCTGAAACCTAGGAATGTTCTCTGACACAGTAACTGTAGCATCTCCTCTCCTGAACTGTGAAAAATTAAACAACTCTGCCTAAACTACCAAGAATACAATTTGTAGAAGATAATTAAGTTCCACTCACAGTGCAAAAATTACAAATGCAATCAGTTTCATGGGTAACACTAAATGAAACTTCAGTTAGGGGAAAAAAAACAAAAACAAAAATACCAATCAGCTATAGCTCTTCCATAAATCTCTGAGACTTCCTAGAACCCTATGTCCCTAAAGGCAGTTTGGATTTCTCTGTATCAAACCCCACAGTTTGAACTACAGCAAAACCTTCAGAAAATAATAATTAAAACCAGGTTTTCCATAAAGAGCCTCCTGCACAAACTGTTTCAATATCTGATGAATCTAATAGCCAAAACTTCATTTCCTATTATCTAAATCTGTCATACCACTAGATTTTGTGATACCTTTGTTCAGTGGATTTAAGATTCTGCTATCACTACAACCTCTCTATTTAGACGGCAAGTGAAAAGAATCAACACCTAACACTCAACAGAATTAACAATTCCATCCTTTAGAGCAAAAGTGTTTCCCCAATTCCTTGCAGATCTTTCAGAAACCTTCTCAAATTTGCAAGATGTGAATACCAGAAGCAGGAGCACTACCTCAGTTGTGGGTCTTGTTACTGATGTATCAAGATACTATACTGTAGCTACATTCCAAATGTGTATTCACAGATACACAGTGCCCCTCCGCCCAGTTTTTACAGACACAGTAAATAGTGGGAAGTTCATATAGAGCAGCAGGAGACTGCTTCCTAGGATATAACTCCCAATCCTACTATTATTGTCAACTATCCTTGTTCCTAAAAACAAGTCCTCAGTTTGACCATATTATAATAACTTAATCACAACCATTATAAAGACTTAGCTTATCTAGACAAATAAGCTATATCCATCATGTCCTGTAGGATTACTAGTTTATTCCTATATGTTAAATAATATCAACATAAGGACTAATCTCTATACATTTCTAGAAATAAATACTAATTTCAACTAACTGAAAACAAGTAAAACATACTAAACAGTTAAAATTTTACTGCAAATTAAGATGTTATGCAATAATGAGAAGAGTCTTTAAAAGTTTGCACCAAATTTTGTCCGTCATGACCACAATTAGTGCACTGGGAAAACTCTACTTACCATCAAATTACATTATTTGGTCTTCACTCTAAAACTATTGAGTTTTACATCAGCCACTCCAATTTTCTTTAGAAATCAGTGTCAGACTAAAAGCTTTTAATACCAAGACCAGCCCATTCTCCACATCCAGGACTGTTCCATTAGCACAGCCTTCCTTACCCTTCCTTAGCATTCCAACTATGACTGGAAAGGAACACAGGGTGTATCTAAGTCAACTCATAAAAAAATTCCTGATACAAGACCCAGAACACCAACTATAAAAGGTTTAGTAGATGCTACTCCTCTGCTACAATGAAATAAGTAACTTTTCGTCATTTGAGATTACAGAAAAATCAGATACTAAGAAGAAATTTATCTTTTTGTCATCTTTTGCTTTCTTCCTTAGCATGCATTTTCTTATTTTGCATTAAGAATCAGATTCTTAAGAAACAGCTGAAAAATAAAGAGGTATTTTCAGACTTTCTTTAAGAATATTTAGTTGTATGAGAATAATTGTGTAGTGCAACGTGGCTGGTAAGATGGTTTCATATGGTTCCACATTACAAGTATCTCCCTCCCTACTGAGGTTGCCTGCAACAACTTTTCAAGACTGTGGCTGGAACAGTTTTAGCTGAAGGTCCCCATTCCTAGACTTCCCACTTCAGTTGTAGAAGTGCCAGGTTTTGTATCTTACTGCAGTGTTTCCATTTTCAAGTAAAGATCAGGCCATTATTTTGCTTAGGTCCGGTAACATGTGTGTAAGAAACACAAAACAGGCTTCAAGCTTTATAAGGCTTCAGTAACAATGGTACAATTCTCACCATTCTGGAAGTTTGGAAAAGCCCTGAAATCTCAAAAGGCACAAAACCAGCGACCTTCCCAATCTTGTTTGGTTCATGAACACTGCAATCTCATGAACACTTTTCTTACCTTTATTATAGTAGTGAGTATGTGCTATCTCTAGCAGGCCAAAAACGCTGGCCATGCCTCCCAGGCCAGCATTTGCATATGACTGTTCCAGGCTCAACACAGTGCACTTCAGCAGGTCCAGCATGCCTTTATAAACCTTGCGGCTGATCTCCTGCAATGAAAACCCCATTAGTGCTGCTATTTCACACATGAGAAAGTAAGTCAAGAACATAAATTCCAGAAGTGCTGTAACACCAGCTTTTCGCAATTGACAAAAACCTCCTGTGAACTGAGCATCAGCAGACACCCAGTGTGAGCACCCTGCTGAGTTCTGCACTGACCACGTCCTGTATGACATCCTGTCGAGCATCCTCCTCGGACTGGATCGTGCGGTTCAGCTTGCTCAGGACAAAGACACGCAGCTGCTCACTCTCCAGCAGACGCCGGACTCTCTTCATGTTCAGCCAGCCAACGCCTTGCCCATCAAGAACATTGTGTACCACTTCCTTCAGGAATTGCTGGTTCTCACTGATACATTTAAGAGAAAGCAGGGAAAAGTTAGTTAACCTCTGCTTACTTTGCCTTGCATGGGAAGACGGCTATGGCCAGGGCACACACAGAAGTACCTTCCCTATCAACAGGAGCTGGCATGTAGCTCTGTCTGCTGCTAATGTAACTGCACACAGCTCAAGCTCTGTTCCATAGGTATAGTATCAAATACTTTATTTTGTCCTTTATTTCCTATAAAAAGCCATAATCAGGCTTTCCTCTAGCTCCTCTAGGTACCACTCTACCCTTCACTTTCACAGCACCCCTCAGAATCCATAGGAATCCTTTATGCCTCAACCTTCTTCCATAGCCCCCAATCTGAGCTGTAGGCTTTCTTTGAAAGAGGAAGTACAGCACTACTAATGCATTACTGCAGCAGCCTTGGCACATGTTTTGTGTGGCACATTTGCTCAGCTTCTTTTCCCACAGAGGGAAAGGTAACCTAGTCTGTGCAACCTAGTCTGAACTGCATCCTAGTCTGAACCTAGTCATTCCCCAGTCTGAACTACAGTTATTGCTCTTACTTGTCCCCCAAAGCCACTAGATCAAAATAAATTCACTCTACCCATGACTGCTACATAAGAAAGCGAGGAGAAAGCACAGGCACAGGTCAGGTAATGTTTACTTGCACCATTCTGAGCCTGTTCCCAAGGCTGAGGAAAGCACTTTATATGAATTTATGGAATCAAACTTCTTTGTTGAACTCAGTTGATCCCCCTGCATGGTGCATTAAAACTCCAGTGGGCTAGATCACCTTGTTCAGAACACTCAATTACAAAGAATAACTACTGAGTTAAAGTAGAAACCTACAACATTTTGGATCTCAGACAGAAGAAGGATACATTTTGGAGCACAGAAAAATAAGCATGTGCACTATTAACTGTAAGACATCCGTACCAAATCTTCTTAGACAATAACATGTCCAGGTCTAGGGCAACAGGAAAGTACTATTTAGTTTTCAACAGCTAGACTTCTGAGAAAACATTGGACAAGTATGAGGCCACTCTAACTACACTGTATACTTGAAAAGCAGGAAAAGATATTACCTGGAATTACTAGATCGTCCCTGAGGTGATGGAGACTCTCTTTTCACTGTTGGGCTGTGCTTTATGACTGAAGACTTCTGATCAACAAGGGCCCGTCTGTTTCCTAAAGAGGAGAGGAAACAGAATGAGAGGAAAAGGAGGGAAGAAAACAAAGTGATCCCAGGAGAGTAACAAGCAACACTAAAGTTGGCTAACACACCTATTCGAATTACAGGTAACAGACTTCAAACAAAATGGAAACTCCAAAAAAGCAGCAGCGTATATCATATTCTAGCATCACACATCGGCAGAAAACAGTAATGGGAGTAATGCAGAGAGAAAAAGAGATGGTAATGGGAGCAGGAAGTGAGAGGCAGGAAAAGTTTGGCTGCTCTGCATGCAGTTCCACAACAAGGACCATCTTCAAATTAGTCACTATATGTAAAAGCATAATGCATTGAGGGTGACTAGTATAGATCATGTGGTACTGGTTACCCAGCGAGAAAGGTAGCCCGAAGTCAGGCACAGGGAATGCTGGAAATTGTTACATCATGCACAGCTCATGCTGTAGGGAACCCACCTTCATTGCTTACTGGGCCAGCTTCAGTAATAATCTCCATTATAGTATTTAACCCAAATACTGGGACACAAAATATACAATTAGTAGTGTACTGAAATATCTACACTCCCCACTGTCAGCATCAAAAGAATCCAACTATCAGCTTCTTCCCAGCCCTCCCTCAAAATAAAACCCAAATGACACTAGAGCAGGAAGGATGTTTGAAAGCCCAAGACCACAAGGGCCAGAATAACTTATCTTAAGAGATAGTGCTTGACTTGAAATTTGGCATCGTGGAACCAGTATATTGCATCTTCAAGGACATTACTGCACATATTGTATTTGCATGGCACTACAAAAACCATCTGCATCACCAATGAAAAAAATCAATGGATGCACATGAAATAAAAATTTAAAAGGAAAATGGAATGTGGTCAAACAGCAGCAATGAAATGGAGTCCCAGCATCATTTCCCATTACAGTTAGAAACACACACTTGGCAAGAACAAGTTAATACAGCAACTTTGTATCTCTACAACAGAGACAAAAACATCTAAAAACCACTGAAGTGCCCAGTGGGAATCCCAGTGAGCCAGCATGCATATGTAAATGAACACACACACACACACACACTCGCACATGCATAAAACAGACTGAACTACTCCATGGAAATCCCATCCTCATATCTGCACAGTAACATTAAAGGCCCTAGAGGTTTAAAATAGTCAAGAAAAGAACACCAAAGTGCAGAAGATGAGGCACAAAGCATGAATGAGGAATGGCAAACCCCATCACTGTTTTCTTCCAATGCATGGAATCAGTCATTAAGTTTACCCATGGAAACAGCCCTGACACAAAGCATGTTTCTTATCCAGTACAACTGGACATAAAAACATAACCAACTGGTAAAAGGTTGTCAAAAACAGCTGTGCAGAGTCTCTGCTAGTGTTTTCACCCTACCAGTCCTGTTACTCCTCATTTTACACACAGGGAATGATTACTTGTCTCAAAAACAAAGTCCAAAGCAGAAACACAAAATCCACCTTTTGGTCTTTGTTTCTACAAGGTCAAAGGTCAGCAAAACATCATACCAACCTTCATCCACATCCCTTCCCAATTCCAGATTAAAGTAATCTTTACCGATAAAAGTGATGAGGAGGAAAAAATAAATGAAAAAAAAATCAACACATTAAAACAAAAGCAGCAAGCTCTAATCAGATAGAATAACTCAAAAGGCAAAATAAAACCTCTCCTCAGTGTACATCTGAAAAGGTCTCAACACTACGACACCAGTGCAAGTTCAGTCACCCCTGTGATATTACATTTGGTACAAGGATGACCAGGCTGTCTAACACCCATGGTGTGAGGGGCATTTCTCTCGTGCCCATTCAGATATATTATCTAATGACACTGCAAACAGGAGATGTTCTAATGATAAGATTGTGTACGTATGCTAAGGATTGATCTTCACTCCCACAGAACTGAAAGTACGGTTGTAATCTGATTTTCTATTTAGCAATCTGAAAAGATGATAAACACTTTTGAAACTCACATAATCTGCAGTCACCATGGGAGGTTGGCATGGGTAATGCCATTTACAAATGCAGCATCATCACTCTTATAAACTACGTAAGGCTAAGCAAGAAGATAGTGGCAGTACAAAAGCAGGACCTACCTCTTGGTTCCCATTTTTTATACTAAGTACTTAAAAATAAAACTAAACAAAATACACTATGAATGTTGGTTTTGTTCTGTATCTGTTAACTCAGACTGGACTGGACACCCTCCCATCCCAACAGTGGTTGGGAAGAAGACTGACTGAGAAATATCACAACAATTTACTGTCTTGCTCCTTAACACAGGTACTACCCAAATGACCAAAAGGCATCACTCCCGGGATTCCTGTCAGGGGTAGGACCTCAGACTGCCAAGTCATAAGAACTGAAAAGGCTGCAGAAGACAAAGAGAAAAATCATTACCTTTCAGGCTGGGAAAGGGAGTATTTTTATCTCTCCCAACTTTGGTTGGTAGGGCTAAGTTGGACAGACTGAAACTTGTGCTGTGGTTTCTGTACAGGCTGCCTATGATAGAAGACAAAAACAATTAATGTCTACTGCTCACTGCACACTCCCAAAGATCCTGTTATTCGCCATCTTATTTCAGATCCTTAATCATGAAGTTCTTCCTTATTACCCAAAACTCTCACAACCATAACATGACCTCATTTACATTGCAACCATATCTGTAATCAGATTATTCTTAACAGTACAAAAACATAAGCCTTAGTTTCGTGTTACAATAATGGATGTTGGATCTTCAAGGCTCTAATGTAACAGCAAAATCCTCCTGTCTTCCTGCACTCAGATCACATCACCTTAGGTCTACCTTCTAGTTTGATCCTGTTTTTGGGAGCAAATGAATGGCTGGGCCACATGAGAAAACAGGATGACAGAAGATCTGCAAAACATATAACTCTGAAGTGAGGACTGCACACTGTGTCTTGTGAAACACTATAAATCTGCAATGGAACCATGCTTTGAAATAGAAGCTTTTCATTTATTAGGAAAAAACACACATTCTTCCTGGTACAGGCAGATCTTAAGGACACAATTATGCATCATCATCTGCTTAAGCCTGTAGACAGCCTGAAAGCACCACATTTAGATATACTGATTAACACTTCAAATTATTAATTTAAAGTGTCAACATATTATTTCAATTTGCTTTGGTTCTTTGGTTTTTTTTGTAGCCTTATTTTAGTAACAGTCATCTTACCAGAAACATTTAATGTATTTTCCCCAGTGCTAAAAACTTCTTTCACTGCTTTTTATTGTAGTGCAAGAGTAAAGTGGCCATGCCTTCTGTCATGCCATGTCATACTCATTAAGAGATTCTAGATTCATGTTTGACACCTGTGTTTTTTTTAATTAAAATATAATTGAAAGTCGGCAGCCAAGAAATTGAATTTTGCACCTAAGCACACAACATGGCAGCATGGAAGGCATATTACTGTAAGATTTTTTTTATCCATTTCGTAAAATTACACAATGCTTTGTTTAAATGAAACTGAAGAAATTTCTGATCTGTGCCCTAAAGTGCCATACAACTAAGGGCCTCACCACAAAACCAAAGTCCTCCTTACTGAAGAATATATAAAGCACTGCTGTCAGCAGCTGTCAGTAAGCCACCATGACTACTGGAGAGCTGGTAACAATTTGACAGCCAACTCGTTCTCTTGACTAGCCACCTCTCTATTCCATCTCTCTGTACACTCTGATATAATAAATAAAACTAGTTTAATTAATGCATCATACATACTTGCAAAAGACATGATGCCCCCAAAACCTTCGCTGCTGTTGTTGGAGATGGTAGAGTTTGGGGAGCTGGCCCTGGAATCTGAATCTGCATCAGAATCACTGGCCAGTTTTAAACTGTTTGGCCGAAGTAACTTCTGAGACCTTTAAAGAAATTAAGTACATCTGTTATTAGCATTCCCCCTTCCTGCCCCAAATCAATACATCGTATTGTTGTGGGAGACCGATGTTGGGCTCACTCCCACCAGTTTTCACCATACTACCTGCACCCTCTGGAAGAAAAAAAACCACCCAAACAAACAAGGAAAAGAAAAAAAAAAAGAGAGAGAACTGAAACATCTTACATGCAGGCTTTTATAACCTTTCAGGGCATGCTGAAAACTTGTCTACAAAAGGGCGTGGGCAGACTTGCAGGTGAAAGGGTTCTGGTTTGAAAGGGGTAACAAGAAAACCCATTGCCACCAATCACTGCAGTGATCTTTCCCCCAAAAGACAAAGATTTACCAAAACAGTTTAAAGAAATCAGTACATGACATACCAGAATGTTCTAGAAAGAACTGTTAATTCTCATAGCTTCTACTGCCTAAAAGTAAAGTAGGGAACTGAGGGACTAAGCAAAGGCTTTTATTCAAACCAGAATGGTTGACAGCACTTCAATGTTAAATAAAAGTGATCAAGAATACATCTCAGTAGCCAAAGACATTTGAGTGCACAAATGTTAAACTACATGAAGCAGACAAAACCCCAGAAGCGCTGAACAGAAGGGCAGGAGACAAGGAGGACTCACCTGCTTCCATTGAGATTCTGGTTAAATCTTGGGGTGTAGCTCTCTTCCTGCTCATCATCTTCATCCTCTGTAGGAAAACCATACTGTGGTTCAAAGTATGGATTGTCATACTCTCGCTTCCTCACCACCCCTTCTGAGGAGCTCATGCTGCCAGCTGTGATGTCACTCTCACGACGATCCAAGCTTATCTTGGGAAAGCTTGGTTGCAGTGGCAAGGAAGAGAGATGGTTTGAAAATCCAGCAGCCAACTTCTCTTCTATTTCTGCTGAGTCTGCTGCCTCCTGTGGACCAGTCAAATCATTGATCTGTTCGCTAATGTGGGGTACATACAACTGAAGGGCAGGACAAGAACAATTATTTCAAACTGGGAAATCTGCACAGTCCTTGCTGCTTGCTACGGGGCCCCCACCACATCCTCACTATCTGTATCTCTAAACTAGGATTTCATACACACTGCAGTATCTGTGCATTGTTCTGGGGACTTACTTCCCTTTAAAACAGCTCTGACTAGTAAGTGTTAGCTCAGGATAATGGCTTTCCATTACCATGTTCCCATTCTTCTTAAAAGACCACAAATTCATGAGTTTCCCCACCCCACTCCCCGTTCCCCTAAAGATATCAGGTCTTTCCAGATGCTGTAAAAGCAATTCCTGCAATCTCAACCTGGACCATTTCTCTCTGCTAATGCTGCATTTTTCAATGCACTGGAACTTTTTATACAGGAATGGTCTATCCCAGCATAAGAGGGTACCAGCAAACTCCACCTTGCTCAGAAAGTCCAGGGTGAGCATGCAATTAAATCTGTGCATGGTGTCACAGTCCTATTAGCTTTTGCCCTTCTCAGAAAGAACCACGTGCATTCTCCCCTTCTTTATATCCTATTACGCTGATCTTGAGGCTGAACTCATCTCAGTACACACATGATTCACTCCATGGATGACAGTGCTGGGGCTGCTACTGGCTGTAGTACTGGAACTTGAGCGAGGCTGGTTGTTCTCTTGGGAGTTCTCACTGTCCATGGTCTGTTCATCGGGATCCCCTGAATATTCTTGAAAATCATCAAATTCTACTTCACTAGCATCACCAAGGGCTGCATGAGTCAGGGGGTCAACATCTGCAAACACATCATTATTCATTAAACAACATTGCCTTCCTCAGCCTTTTGCCCATCTAACTAAATATTCCTAGAAGATGAGGACTGCTCAACAGAATCAACTTGTATAAAAATTTAGGTTGTAAAGAGCTTTTGGAAGTCATCCATTCCAGTTCTCTCCTCAAAGCAGGAGCACCTACAAAATTAAAGCAGGTTGCTCAGGGCTTTGTCCCACTGAGTTATGAAAGTTTTCAAGGTTTGACATTCTACAGTGATCCTGGGAATCTAGTCAACTACAATAACCATTAAGTTCTTTTCCTTACATCTGAGTTTCCTTGTCACAGCTTATGATTATTACCTCTTGTCCTTGGGACATGGGAAATGTTTTGGGACTTCTAGATTTAGTTTATTGAACAAAGTGAGTGTTTATGCAGTTTCCATATAAGCCACAGAGAATGCATTAGTCTGTCCCTACTAGGACAGAGTAATACTTTAAAGCTAGCACTGAGAACCAATATGCAGGGGCAGGAGAGAGCTCACACGCTGCTGTCCATATTGCACAGTATTTACTGGCAGCAGCAGGTTGTTTCCAGATCTAGTGGACCAGTTTTGTTCAGCTGCACTTATTTCTGTTCTTCCTCTTCACAGTGTTGTTTGGAGGAAGTTGTTTATAAGCAGGAGAAAAATGTCTTTTCTCAGTCTATCCGCACACTTTTACCTCAGAGCAAAACCACAATGGGACAATACTTTGTTCTGATTCAGAGATTATGGGGAGGCCTTTTTCCCAAAGTGCTTCAGATGAATGGGGAAAAGGAACCTACATGGATCTTGTGAAAGTAAAAGCAAAAGCTACTCACTTGGTGTATCACCATTAATGTCACATTTCATCATCTCACTGACAAAGTCACCGAGGGAGGAGTAGGAGGAACTTGAATCGTCGTAGTCAACACTGTCACTGCCACTGCCGCAACAGGCGAGAGAGAGAGATGAGTGGCAGCATCAAAGCAACGGCAGGCTCTGTTGCTTTGAAGATGTGAATCAGCACTGTTTTTATGGACCTCCTAAAATCTCATATAATAGTAGCTACAAACAAATTTCACAGGCCAACTTCATGAAAGGTAAGAGCAAAAACATAACTTTCAGGTGTGTGAGGAGTTATGGGAAGACATTTAAAATCTCTTAGCGAAGTTATGAGACTAAACATAAGTGAGTAGAGAATAGTGTATTAATTCACAAAATGTGTGTGTTTATGTAGGATAACTTCAAGGGAACTGGGAATCACAAGTAAAAGCAATTCCTTTTTGCACTAGTGATAAATCCCATTCTGTTAGGACCACAGGTGCTGTGCAGAATGCAAAACACATGCAAGTCCAAGGCCAAAAGATCTCACAAATCAGGAAGGAATGAAAGGGAATACAACTAGACACAAAACTCCAAGAAATATGGCCAAAAACTACTATATAAATTTTCCTTTCATTTTACTAAACACACAAGGTGGTCACAGACTGGGTAGTACTAACAAGTTTTGCATAACTAAGGATAGGGAACAGAGATTTGGAAGAGTAGTAAGATGGGTGGGAGTATTTGCATTACTGCAACAGAAAGAAAGAAGAAACAGAGAAAGAACAGCGTGGAAGAAAAGACAATTAGGGTGTGAGGAAATTACAAATGTCAAGTGGCATAAAGGTAGCAAAAGAAAACAGGAAAATAAGTATGGAGAATCACATTAAATGAATAGCAAAGGGTTAAGAGGTTTGCCGTGATAACAGAGCAGTGAGAAAATTTACTTCAGTGCCAGTATTCTGCCCAGACAAGAAATGAAACAACAGCCTGGCATACTACAGGAAAAGGCTGCAAATGAGAAGTAGGAGAGGTCCAACAATCTGAAATAACTCATGTCACTATGGGCATGTTCCCCACTAACCTGTCATCAGTGGGATCAGAATCTGTTTCCTTCTCTGCTGGGACATTCAGGGCTTCAGCCAGCTGTGAATTGCTGTCATAAACTCGATAGTGGATGGGCTGCAGCTGGTGAGCATACCACTTGGGTTTGTCACCAATTAGGGCTGGGTCAAACATGTCTGCACAAAAAACCAAGGAGAGCATTAATCAAACTAATTTACTGGTGTCAAAGGCTGTGACACTACCCTCTACTAAGTCTTGAACAAAGGGACAGTCTTTGAGAAGCCTACAAGACTTCCCCATAATCAAACGAGGTAAAATTAATTGGAGGAGCAACTCACCAATAGCAGGGCTAACTTGGGAGAAGCATGAGGCCATACATAAAAAGAGAAAAAATTCCTTGAACTAGATTTTCCTCCACAGCAGGACTAATACGGTATAAAATTAAATCCTTCCCTAGAATGTCTGGTTTTTAACTCCTGCATTACATCCAAGTGCAGGAAAGGCAAGACCAACACTTACTGTTATGAATTCTTTGGAAAGCATAATTAGTAGGGTTGAGTGACCATTCTCCAAAGTATTCTACTGCCTGTGTTCTGGAAAGCTTATCTGCAAAAGGTGTTTGCTTCGGCCTAGAGGCAAGAAAAGAATTTGCCTGGAAGGCTACCACTGGTCGTGGGAAGAGGCGAAGAGTGCGAGTGTGCATTTGGAAACCTTGCAAAACATTTGGTGAGTTGAAGAATCTCACCATAGCAACCCTAAAAAGAAACAGAGAACAATACATTAGATAAAAACACAGAGCATAACAAAAAAGAAGAAAGAGTGCCCTTAAAAGGTATGCCATAGGCAATATTTCAAACCTTTGAAGAATGGTAACCTAACTCTTCTTAGAAAACAGCTGTCTTGCAAAAAATAAAAGAAAAATCCAAACAAACCAAAACCCAAGAAATCACTTTGTTCTAACTCACCATCTTGACACAAACACCCACTCAGTAGAGGATATCATTCTTGTTTCTACCAGCTGAGTGAAAAACTAAGTCCCAGCTTTTTTTTTCTGTAGTTAAGGTTTGTGATTTAAGCTGAGGATATAGTATCAAACTGACAAATCCAGGTAAAGTGGATGATCTATAGGAAAATGCAAGAAGCAAAACACCCCCTCAAGATACGAAGTTTTGTTCATGCAGGTAATAGATATGAGATAAACACTGTAATTGCTGCTCTTTTCCCCACATGATGTCAAGGAGAATCTACAATAGTACCTGACAGATGCTGTTTCACCCACAGCAATGTTTGTGCTGCCCTTAAGTGCAAACTTTTATGAAGACTCAGTGCCACCTTCCTGTTAAGCCTCACCTGGTAGCCACATCAACAGAGTCCACATCATTTCCATAGATCAAAGGGTTGAATTCTGTGGAGGGAGTAGACTGCAAATCATTCTGTGGTCTTCCCAGCAGCAGAGGCACCTCCTGCCCCTCATGAAACTTCTCTAGGTTAAGAATGGGCTGAGTATTCAGGCTCATGCTGGCCAGGGCCTATTGAAGGACATTATGCAAACATTGAGCAAGAACAGTTATTTAAGGAACAGATGATCAGAGCTACCCTGCCCTCTAGGCAATTGCAACCATTATGCATGCTCCATTAATTTGTCTTAAACCACCTCCACGCAGAGTCAACAAGTATCTCCAGGCCCTCCTTTATGCTGATTGTCAAAATTATCTCCTCCGTGCTGAAACAGTCCTGGAGCCAGTCAAGGAGTAGCACAGAATTTCACTTTGCTAGATCATTCATGACATGAAAACAGATAGTCCTAACTGGATCAGCAGTAGTATGGCACTGCACAACTCTACTGCTTGTAGAGTTATTTCCATGTGTAATTAGAATACATCTTGGGAATTAGAGGCCTTGAAACTTGCCCTTAAAGGTGGCTATACAACCAGTAATTTGATATTCCAGGAAAATGTGGAGACACCTTGACACAAACATCTGCTTGTATGCCCTGAAAACCTCCACTCTTCATTGGAATGAAGCCTTCATCTGTCCCTAAAGTTACCTCTTCAACCCTCATGAAATCTTCAAGGAGCAGCACAACTGGTGAATCAGTCCTGGACACCCAGACCTATCCTAAATCTTTCTCATTTTTCCCATTTGCCCACTGAGGCTTCATCTTTTCACTTAAAAAATAAATATATTAAACCAAAACAAAGAAACAAACAAACAAAAAAAAACTCCAAAGGAAAAGGGTAAAATGGAAAATTGAGGGGAAAAGAATAAAATAAAGAACCTTGTTGTCAGGAGTGAGCAGCTGTTTCTGAGTGATTGCAGTCATGCTAACCAGACACTGGAGGCAAGATGGAAGATCATATGATAACACCACAGCAGCCCATCAGAGCCAAGACGAACACATGACCACAGAGAAACAGATGGAAGGAAAAAAAATATCTATTACTACCAAATATCACAAATGAGAGGAAAACAAAACGGACCACAAAATAGACACATCTTAGGAAAGAGGTATAACTGCCCCACCCCCAAACATTCATATCTGGCCACTCTGGAAACAGGCAAGCCTGTTGTCCTTAATGATGCAGCTAAGAACTTTCCACAGCAGTTTAAAAGCAGATATCCTGAAATTCATTTATTGACTCTAAGAACTAAAGGCACACAGAAGTGTCAGCCTTAATAATGTGGGTCACTATTTGTCTGCTTTGTACCAGCAGCACTCCTTTGCCAATGGCAAACCCTTCATGACAATGTCCATAGGAATACACATGGGATATAAGCTGCATTTGGGTAAACACTCCAAGAATTTTAAATATATCTTAAAAAAAATTGCAATTTATTATTCTGATACTTGAGTTTGCCTTCGCACTAGCAAGAAAGTTTTGCTAAGTAGTGCCTGAAATTGCAAGGGGGTGAGGCAGCAGTGGGGGGAAGGCTGATCTAACAAAACTCCAGGCAATACATCACTTCCATCTGTGCTGACAGCAGGTACTGGGATATCAGAGAGGTTACACACTTTGCTCTCCTGGTCTATGAGGAAAGAGAAAGAGCAAACCTCATCACATTAGTAACACACTTTACCTTTAGATACTGCATGCAGCGTGCATAAGGAAAACAGAAATAAAGAGATAAAACCTGCTTGACACGATCAGCCAGGATGACCCAAGCTGATTAATGGCTTAGCAGGACCTGAGAGGAGAGACTGACACTTCACACATAGATCTGTGAATGGAGGGGAAACAAAGATGATCATAGCTTGATGGATCAAGTCAGAGTTTAAAGCCTACATGGCAAACATAAAGGAGAAATCTGGAACTTTCTGTATCGACTGGAAACAAGTTAGCCTCAAACAATGGTAAAAATAAGAAACCGCCTCTGCTGTGTACAGGGACATTTCAGCTTTGCATTCACTGACTTGCATTCTTATCCACTCCAGCAGAAGACCGGGCAACACTACATATGCTACACTCTGCTGCATCTGAGTCCTTTCCCCAAAGTGCATATTACCTGTTTCAGATGCTTTTTCAGCTCTGAAGCTTCTGGTTCTGGCAGTGCTGGCAAAGGTTCTGCATTTGTGGGAACAATCACCTGGAATTAAGCACAACAACAGACTAAAAATTCCCCAGCTCTAGTCATTTCCAAAACAGAATCTCCAGCACTCCAGACACCAAGGAATAAAAGACACAGAAGTAAAATAAGAAAAAAAACAAAACAACACAGTCTCAGACAGACACCAGCTCTTCACTTCTTTAAGGCTGTTATTGTTTACAATATAATAAACAATGGAGTTACTTTATCATTTACCACAAAAACAAGACATTTGAATCAACCCACACTTTCCTTCAAGTCAATTTTGTTATTCACATTTTCCTTAAATTAGCCTTGCTTATACCCTTGTACAAAGTGAGATACTTAGCCCCACTTGAATCATGACAACCTGTGGGAAGGTTCTTAACAGACTGGGTTTCTTAGGTAGGGCTATAAGTCAGTCTGACAATTAGTCAAGAAGAAAGTTCTATCATTTGCTTGAGGATTTACCTTCTAATGATATAGCCAGGTCAATTAACTGGAAAAAGGATGCCTAATGCAAAAGACATGGGGACCTTGAGACACAACAAGGAATGGAATCCTAAAGTTTAAGATGGAAGTAGCAAAGGTAGACTGAGGCCAGGCATCACTAAATTCTCAGTGGGCACACTGGGACAGTACACAGCTCCTGGAAACAAAGCCACAACTTCTTATAGGTGCCACTTACCCTATTGGTATCCAGGTCAATAAGCCACACATCATCAGGCATTTTAAAATCCAGTTTGTAAAGGAAGAAACTTGCTGGAACACCAATGATATAAGGTGTAGGGGCTAGAAGCAACTGAGAAAAAGACAGACGTTACTAAGGACAAGATCTGCATTTGATATCACCATGTTCTTCCCAAATCTTTATTTATTGACTACTGTATGTTTATAGCAGAGTAGACAACACAAAAGGCATTGATAAATAAGTAATTACTACCATACAATGGAAGCATAAAAAAAAAAGAAAAAAAGAGAATAAAAGCTCCTGCTCAGAAAGCCTCAATTTTCATCTAGGAGAAAATACACTTCCATCTCCCATGTTACATATCCCACTCCCACCAAGGACGTAATTTATATGGCTACATAGCTCTTTGGAAACAGCTTTCCATGTCTATCACGGTCCAAAAAAAAAAATGTTCAGAGTAAGAGCCTATGTTGAAAAACAGGAAGTCATGGATGAATACCTCCTCAGCTCAAACTGAGTCTGTACCATTGTAAATAGGCACACACAAGGACTTTATCCTTATGCTTGTAGTGGCAATTTGGTTTCAAAATAATAACATCTCTAAGAAGTACAAGATAGACACATTTTTTTCAGATGTCTGTGGAAAACTTTCTGGGGAAATTCAGGTTGCTTCTCATAAGGCAACGAGCAGAGGAAAAAGTTTTAAATCAACATAGCAGCTTGAGACCAGTGGCTTGGGAGGCTAATTTATTCTTTTAATCCAGAACTGTTGGTCATCTCCAAGGAGTGGCACAAGAAGAAATCTGCAGCATCAGTTGCAGGATAGCACTGAAGTAGTAAGACAGCCTGAATTCTATCTTTCCAAGCAGAATAATGAGCTCCTGCAAAGAACTGACTACTGGCAAAATCCAGGCTCCCAGCTGAAGCTAAACAACACTTCATATTTCTGAGTTTGCAGGCAAGAGTTTCTGAACTCTGAATTAAAGAGACCTCAAGCATCCTTACATATTACTCTGGACCCTCCTCAAGAAACTTGAATACTCAGTTTAGAGGGGGAGGGGGTAAATATCATCACAATATTGTCGATCTATGGTCCTTCAGACCATTGTTTGTGAACTACCGCTTTTTTTTTTTTTACTGAATTTTCTATTCACTGAGTGTGCTCTGAAGATATCCTACATAAGTGGTGCTAGCTATGATTTAAACAGTCACACTCAAGCAACGTTCTTTGCAAGGCAGACTTTGATACAATCTCTGAGAAGATGGTGAATGAAAAAAGAACTACAACTATATGAATTTCAGACATCACAGAAACCTCTTTTGTAAAAGACCAATAAAGGAAAAATATGTACCTGTTCTGCAGAGGCCATGCAGGTGGGAAGCAGAGGGATCACTGGGAACATGTACTCCAATGGGTAGATCATGGCCACAAAGGCCATCACAGACATTGAAAGTGCATTATAATCTCGGGACTGCAATACAACCTGCAACCAAAGAAACTCCCATTAGCACTGCAGCAACCATTCACTTCTAAGACTCCCCTCAGGTGTATACAAAGACCACAGACTTTGTGATCTCCACAGACTCAAATTCAATGGCTGTGAACTGGGTAACCCTCCATTAATCTGTCAGAAAATAAGCTTTGAGTGTTTTTTTGAGTGAGAACAGAACTGTTCAAAATAGGAACCTCAGAAGGAGCTATTTATTCCCCTCATCCTCCACAGACAAAATTCATTCCAGGCAGTGCAGAGAGACAGCTGTTGTACACATCCAGCCTACCGTGGTTTTCAAGAGGACAGAACATCCTACATACTTACCAAAGAGCAATGATCTTCCCTTCTTACCTTGTGCTCCAGAAGGATGCAGGTCAGCACCTGCAGGCAGGCATCCACTCCCAACAACTCCAAAGGCAGGTGTAATGGAAAATCCACCAAAGTGAAGCGGGACGGATCAGGAAGAGCAAAGGTCAAAGCTGGCTGCAGCTCGTGTGGCAAGACTTCCACGTCCACCCGCTTCTGCCCAGCAACGGGCATGGGGGAGCGGAGCAGCCGGTATATCCAGGCCTCAATCTCCCGCAAGTCGTGAAGCAAGGCGCTCGACTTCTCTTCCACCAGCAGGGAGCCTGTGAAAATCCGCCACATTGTGTCCCTGGACAGGGAGAACGCCAAGGTTAACACTCCAAGAACTTCACTTGACAGCTATCCCGCAAGGCTCTTCCAGAGGAAGGGTAGATCCACCAAGGATTAAAAGAGGCAACAAACAAACCTTTGATCACAAAAAGGAATGGAAGATAGGCATTCAAGCTTACTGACACAACCCACAATGTGAGGAAGAATAAATTTTTCTGTGGCAGGAAACAACACAAGTATGTCACTTCAGACTTCATTCACACATTTAAAGGATTCAGTCAGGTCCAGATCTGTGAAGAACTCTCATCACCCTCACACTTGAAATTCAGCAGGCACAGAGGATACTCTCCTATCTCATCCAGAACTGTAGCAGATTGACTGCAAGACTCTGCTTCTACCAGTCTACAAACCTTTGCAAGAACGGAAATTAAACCTGAGACAATAAAAATATGCCACATCCAAGATCTCCCAGATAAAATACCCTTCATCATTCTGTCCTAAATTGCAATGTATCATTCTTAAGGGCTGAATAACTCATGGGAAAAATGGATCTATTTCAGCTAAATCTCCAAAAGCTGCGTAGAAAATATTTAGGTGCCTTAGCAAAACAAGCAGCAAGTTCTCCACACCCTAAGCTGGCAATCTCCAAACCTGCGGCTCACAGACAGCCTGGCCAAAAAGCACCTACAGCATTTTGCTCAGGGCCTTCAGAGCTTCACAACTCAAAACTGGGTCTTACAAGGGAAGCACAGAATCTTGTCCACTTCAGCCCTTTACCCTCAGCACAGTGAAGGCTGCAAACCTTCTGTATTCATTCTCCAAATAACTGCAGCCTGATAAATATCTTGAGTTACTGTAACAGACCCCCCAGAAAGTTATGGGTTCAAATTGGAAGCTCTATCTTACAGTTCACAACTTTTTAAAAAAATAAGGAAAAGGAAAAAAGATTATGACACTGGAGGCTTCACAAAGACAGAATAATTAGAGACATTTGGATGGCTCAAAATAAGGGCAATTTGAGATTACACTGAGTACATGATACACCTCTCAGGAACTGTGATGCTTCTAATCCTCCACTCTACCTTCAGCTACTTGTCATGCATAAGACATTAGGCTGCTAGGAGGTGTGCTCCACCTTTTGCCAGCTGTAAGGATTCAGTTTCACCTTTATTCTGCCACCACTTCAAAACTATTCTACTTTTCCAGGTCACCACTAGAAAACCACATGGTAATTCAAACCTGCTGCTTTACTTTTCCCAGAGATGTATGCTCAATATTCCTTCTCTTGCTATCCTCATCCATCATTCAATTATTCTCTTTAAGAATTATGCCCAATAAGTGCAAATTTTTCAAATACCACGTCACTGAAACAGCAAAAGGAGGAAAATCATGAAATTCAGCGGGGTGTTTTTTCCTCAATAATTATCAGGCTAAACCAAGTAACAAAATAACATTCCTTAACACATACTTCCATTGGGGGGAGAAGTTTTGCTCTGACAAAATAATTTATTCCCCATCAGTGGATTCAAATTATAAATTTGCTAATGCAGAAAGCAGTCATACTAGCCCAGAACAGTCTCCTAGAACTATTCCAGGGCAGTAGCCCAAGAAGTAGGCCACTGCTCTATAAATAGGACACATTTTCCATTTCATGCAAAATGTAAAGAGCTTATAAAGATTAAAATTATAATAATTATAATCCTGTCATTTTTGGCTTTTGACAAGTTTAACTTGGAGTGTACCAAGCTACTTAACTCATATTATGTACTACCTCACAGTCCTGTCCCTCAAACTGTTGAGATAATCCCCTGCTTTTGCAGAGATTCATTTCATACTTTTTCTATTCAGTTAGCACATTGGAAAGGAAAACACAATCCCAGAAGGAAGGTGTCAGGCACAGTAGCAGATACACATCCTTGACTGAAATACATAAAGACATTGTTCCTTCCATACCCTACAGTGCAACAGCTTCTGTTACATACTCAACACTACAACAGCAGATACGTTAGGCTTCCTACATTATATTAAATACACACCAAGTTCCTGTCAATTTGCTGTTACCAACAACCATTCCCATGTTTCCTAGACAACTACTTTGTTTTCTACCTCTCCTCCCACTCTCCTTCAAATATTGTACTTTGACCTATTTCAGCTGATCCTGCTTCTCTAGTCTGTTCTCTCCCACACTGAAGTTCAGACTGTTTCATAAGCTTGTTAAGCACATTTTCATCATTTCCCTCCTGCCTCAAGTAGAAATTCTCTCTGTTATTTCTTGGCTGCTCCTAATTTCCCAGAGAATCAGTCCTGACATACACTGCCACAGAGCTGAAATGCCAAAGCAACAGTAGCAGCATGAGCACTCGGCTTCAGTCGTCAGAAGCGTAACGCCTCCTTAGGAGGATCAAAAATGAAAATCATACCAGATTACAGAATCAGAGACAGAAGTTTTAAAGAAATCGTTATAAAAATTTCCTTTTCCTACTGTGAACGTGGGTTAAAACAGTGAAAAAGGCCAACCCTTGGTGTTTGGCTGCTTCTGCAACCACATCTGCAGCCACAATTTACTGCGCAAATAAATTGCAGCACCGAACACAAACAGTAGGAGGAAAAAGTTCTTCCCTCTCAACGTACCTCTGCACCCCACGCGGAATCCCCAACTTCTTGCCCAACAGTCTCTCACTACAGCAGTCCACAAGTCTCTTGAGGGTGTACAGACACTCACGGAAGGTGGAAAAGAAGGGATAATGACTAAGGATGCACAGGGAAGTCAGAGTGCTGTTCCGAGAGCGATGGCTGCCCTTGGCCAGGCGCTTACTGCGCGGGGATCGATTCACGTCAGGGGTGGACTCTGCACTGGGAGCCTGCAGTGAAGAACCGCTCTCCGAACTCTCAGTGCCCGCTTCCTCCTGGGGTGCTGATGCATCCCCAGATTTAGGGACCTTCTGTCCCTCTCGAGCTCGATGTCCCCCCGTGCCTTCTCCCTTCTCCTTGGGCACTCGCTTCTGGAAGGAGCGGTAGAAGTTGACGCAGATTCCATAGCGAGTGACCCCCGTGTCCTTGTCCGTGAGGGTGAACACGAAGGAAGTGTCATCACGGAAGCTCATGCGCTTCTGCCGCACGCTCAGGCATCCTTCTGGCTGGCAGAAGAACACAACATCGGGCGGCAGAGGAAAGTCTGCGTGGTCTTCCAGAGGGTAACGCCGCAGCAGCTCAGGAGTCTGAGCAACACTGTCGCTGCTTGGGTGCCTACAAAAGAAAAAACAAAAAACCACATACATAGATGACCAATAATAGATATTTTTGGGAACTTCCTACTAATGTGTCAGGAGCCTGTGGACTCAGCTTCAGCTTTGTTCCCTCTCTTCCCTACTGTCCAGGGCAAGTGCAGCTGTTCAGTCACTAGCCACAAATCTCACTCACTAGCACAAGGCAGAAAGGTTCAGTAAAGAAGTCTAAGTCTATACAATCATTAGCAAGGAGCCTGTTCAAATCTGATTAAGAAAATGCCTTCCAGGAATATGCTGTTCCCAGGAGAACACTGTATTGTCATGTTGCTCTGACTTTGATTTTCAAAATTAATTTAACTGCACGGGTCGCTGTGCAACACTTCAGTAGGAAACACATTGTCCCTCCCCAAATACACAGAGGAAAAGCTCCTAGATTTCAGCCATTTATGAACAAGATGAAAAATTAACTGACAAATCCGGTATAAATTCCTAACTGAGAAAGCAAGACTTTACAAGGAAAGAACTCAGATCAATAGTGGAGGGATATGGACATAACCCTAAAACCACTTTCATTAAAAAGTTCTAGCAACCACACAAACATATGTGTTTGATTTTCAAATTGGGATTTAAAGTGTAATTTATATAAAAACTGCATGGTAATATGCACAGCTCTTTACCACTGTGACTCACTAATCTTTGGATTACAAATCACTACAGAAACATGAAGACAGAAAGGCAATACTGTTGTTTCCTAATTTTCCACTAGATTCTTTCAAGATATTATGCTTTTGCCTATTTCAAAACACAAATGACACTTGCTTTTCTCATGTAAGAGATGTGAGAAAATCCAAACAAGTAGTAATAGAATGCTCTCAATTTACAAAAGAAAATCACTGGTGTAAATAGCTCTGCTGACTAATTCTTCCAAACTAATATTTTATTTAAAACAAGTAAATATGGTTTCATAATAAAATTGGCAACAAGATTTATACTGCCTGTAAAGTTAGATATTGAAATACTGTATGAAAAAAAAGAGAAACACTAAAATGTTTTTATATATTAATGGACACAACTAATGCATCATGTGCTGAAAAAGAAATGTCAAATAATGCTGGTACTATTTAGAGAGTCTATTTGTCAGCAAATGGTCCAAAAACTGACATCAACAAAGCAGGAGTGCACGTATCACCACTTTGTGCCTTTGCTGTAATATTAGCTACAAGGACAGAGTTTTCTCAGACATTAATAAAGTTTAAACACAACATTCCAAAAAGTATTGCTGTCTGTGCACAGTGGATAACAAGATGTAACAGTAAAGGCCACATGGAGCTCCTAAGGGCTTTGCAGGAGAGGCTGTTTCAGTCAGCTCCATCTTTCATCATAGGCATTTGCCAAAGTGCCAAACAAGACAGCAGCAGCAATCTAACCAGCACAGGCTGGCAAAAAGCAAGAGAACTGTAGGAGTCCAGAAGTGATAGTAGCAAATTTCTAAGTGAGAACACCAGACACTATAAGCTTCATTGGAGGAGGCAGCTAACATTTCTCCCTCCTCTTCCTACATGGTGACACACGTATAGAAAACTTGGTTGTTTTTCTACAGACAGTAAGAAGTATTAAACTATTACAGTATTCGGTCCATAAAATGCAATAATAAAATAACCTTTAGTCAAGATTATGTAATTTCTTCCACTCAGCCTATTTAAATATTGCATTCAAAGTATTCTGAAAAGAAAGCAGGAGATACAACAACAGGCTGATGCCCACAAACCATTGATATTTAGAAATGAAAGCAAAACAGACTTTGGCATACACCCATTACACAGAATTTGCAGAAAGCTGCTGCATAAACTTTGAATAAGGAAAAAATAACATTTATTGAACACCTCTGTGTTTGACAAACAGAACACATCAACCCTGTATTTCATATGTGCTTTAAGTAAATATGCATGACATTTTATCTATTAATAAGACTTTAAAACCAGAAAGCATTCATGTCATTCTTGTGAGGATAAATGAGTATTAGAGGGAGAAACAGCCAAGTAAAGCAAGTTTCAGATTTTTTTTTAAACTGAGTTTACAGACTACATTTCAAAAGCTAGAAGAGTAGTATTATTCTACTACTAGCACATTACTAGTAATAAAAGGAGTAGAAAACTTGTATTTTACTTGTGTTTAGCTTTCAGTGTTTTCAGCTTGTGAATCCCTCTGTCCTGATGCCAGTAGAAGCAAAGTTCAGACACAAAGACTACCAGAGAGTTAAACTAGCTTTTCTTAGTCACCCTCTGCAGACCCTTGAAAAGAAGTCTGAAGACCACAAGTTAAAAACTCTGACTACACTAGTATCTTTCAAGAAGTGCCCTGGCTCAAGTAGGTGCTCTCCTTAGGGGAGCATTCTATACACATTTCAGACAGCACTTCCTGAGCATCAGGAAGGCCTCATCCATGGATGCAAGGCTATTTATCCCCACTCTACTGCCCAAGCAAAAGTTCTGCTGAGACTGTTTCACATTACCTGGCTCCAATGATCACAAGATAGTCCAGTAGCCGAGAGCAGATTTTCTTTTTCTGCACCATTGTCCTCGATGCCCCTCCCTATGTCATCTCAAGGACTTGCTGTTCATTGATCCAGTGGTCAGTTATCCCATCAGCCGTGATCGCTGCCTTGGGGAACAGAATCTGCTTGGAACTGTCTGCCAAGTCCAACCTATAACCAAGAAAAGCAAGAGTGTCAAAAGCACAACCAGGAACATCCAATACATACAAGCAACTTAATGACCCTAATTACATTCCCAAAAAGCCTCAATGTTCGGTGCAGTCATGGTCACGCCCAATCTCTATCTTCATGAGTATAAAAACACAGCCATACGCCCACAAAAGCAGAGGGATGAAAAACACACAAAAAACACAAGAGTATCTCAAGAATTAATGGTTGGAGTCGATCATCTTAGAGGTCTTTTCCAACGTAAATGATGCTATGATTCTGTTCTAAGGGAGAACACAGACCAACAAAGCTGCCTACCACTGGCAAAGAGCTACTCATTACATGGTTTGTGTCGCGCTTAGGCAAATCTGTAAGATCACGAGAGTACTTGGGAAGGGAGCTCCAGCTGGCAAGACTGAAGAAAAAAACACAACCTGAACTCTAGCTATGGGATAAACAGAACTAAAGAAGAGGTAACATCAGAAATCCGATTTGATAAAACTCAGGCCGCCATCCCAAACCTGCAAATGGCTGTCAGCAGGAATGATCTCCACAATTCCCAAAGACTGTGATCTCTAACACTTTCTGTGCAGATACAGAACTGCAGTTCTACAGAGTTGCAGTTTACAACAGCAAAAGTGCATCTTGTAAACCATACTGGGTTTTTCATTATTTTGTTCAGTTCCATTTGTCTTGTTTAACTTCACTCCTTACTCTTGACACCCATGCCTCCTGCAGCTAATTTCTGTGAGTACTTCAATACAGAAAGATTCTCTTGGTAAAACTAAGATTATACTGCAGCATTACTACTTGTCAATAGTTATGCTTAATAGATATGCAGAAAATAATTCTTTCCAATCCCACCATTCATAGTTCACAGAATTCACGAAAGAACAGGGAGGAAAAAAAAGTTTTAATAAGAAATACAGTTCCACATTACAGTGTTTCCTACAGTGTTTGAAACAAACTTGAAAACAGAAACTTCCTGAAATGGAAAGGTCTCAGAAACTCTAAAAAATCAGAGATGCTCAGAGTATTCTAGAAGTTTACTGAGTACTCCAATGGATTTTTTACTAAGAATTATTTTATATTTAAAAATTAATTGATTGCTTTCTGGGACATATTCAGAATAAAGTTTCCATTTCAGTTCATGTTTACATCCTAAGGCAGGATGTAAAAACATCATACAGCAGGGAAGTTTTATTCATTAGCCCTCCAAACAGCAGTAAGAACACAAAAACATTACAACAAGAAGAACAAAAAAGCACATATGCAATTCATAAAAAGGAAAATCATACTAGTCAGTTGGTACTATTAAAGGAGTAATAAACAAAGAAACTTAAAGCCTCCCACATAAAAAATCCCACATTTTGTGAAACTGTGGCATGTTTTTAGTAGATCCTCAACTACAGATACTGTAGAGTCCTAAGTAACAGCAGTATGAATTATCTTCTCTGAGCAGCAATATTGGTGTAAATTATCTTCTCTGAACAACAGAGAAAATACAGACACAGGAAGCAAAGTTTCTGTTTCTACATTTTAATGACATTATTGAAAACATTGTAGGATCTGTCCTGGAAATGCTCTTGATCCTTGATATTCTGCAAATATCTTGGCACAGAAAAACTCAAGAGGAACAAGATGAAGTTGGGATATCAAGTGGTCCTTTTTGTCTCCATTTTGAAGAACTACTTTATCTGTTTTCCTTCCAAATGGCTTTCCCCAGAATTAAAGAACAAACTGCTCAGTCACAGACAGGGGCATAGCAAGAAGTCATCGCAATGCAACCTAGAAGTACGACTTCGAGGAAATTCTGCTACTTAGTGGTAACCAAAGATGTTTTTCTTCAAAAAGAGAGGCTACCCAACCCCTCAGTGAAGGGGGGGAATATACACTTTTGTGTTTGTCTTACAACTGCAATTCCTTACACATATTTCCACAGCTCTGCAAAGGAGTTAGCAAGGTATGCATTATGAAGGTCTTAGAAATCATGAAATTTCAAGAATATCTGAGCAGACAAGTAAAAGGAATATATGCAGGGCTTACCATATCCCTGGAATGGCTGAAGCTACAATGCACTGATATCAGACACTGAAGTTTCTGTCCATTTTTTAAAAAAAGATCTGAGCACTTTCCATGATTTCTGCTTTCTATTGCAACACAAGTACCAGTGAGACCAGACGGATGCAGATGTTGTGCCAGGGCTTCCAGAGCCACCTTTATTGGTTTACTATATTTAACAACACAACAGCTTCAGTCAGACATAAGACGACAAAGGCTCTTTTTGCGAAGATGATTTATTGTTGGATTGGAACAAGAGGTAGAAGAATTAGAACCAAGAGTAGTTTTTCTGCCTTCCTCTATTCAATCTCTGACTTCTTCAGAGATCTAGCAATGTCTGATGACAGCACTTAGAGTATTGCACCAGCATTTGTTGGAACTCATCTTCCTACTCGTGCTTGGAATCAGACACTACAGTTGATGATCTGTACAATGCACCACAAACAGGCATTCCAGTCCTGCCTCCCCCTCCCTCTCTGCCAAAGGCTTCCTTCAGGCCAGTATCGTTCCATTCCCTGTGCTGGCAGAAGAGTTTGTGCAGCTACAGGGCAAAACAGGCTGTGGAATTGATACAGACTAAACCTAACGCCCTCCCTGCCCTCCCTTCTTCTCCCTCGCCACTTTCGTTTTTACAAGATTATTTATTTTTTTACTTGTTTCACCAAGTGACCCCACAAATGCTTGTGCAGGCACAAAAAAAAAGGTAGAAGAAAGCAGTTAAGGGAATCTGGAAGACTTGACTGAACACAGGTGATCACAGAACTACAGACAGCACCACTACAGGCAATACAGAGGTAAAGTAGTTTCTTTCCTATCATCCTTCCAATCATCCTCCTAGATTTTAGAGACTAAGTACCTTAGGACAGAAATAGATCAAACAACCAAGAGATACTTCATTTTTTCCTCTTTTATGTTGGAATTTGGACCTGAACCAAAAGGTTATCTTGATTCTGAGATGGTTGAGATGTCAAAAACCTCTTCTCTCAAACTGCTTTAACTTTATTCATTTTTTCCTCTTTTATGTTGGAATTTGGACCTGAACCAAAAGATTATCTTGATTCTGAGATGGCTGAGATGTCAAAACCTCTTCTCTCTCTCAAACTGCTTTTACTTTCCATTGCTTTCTCTGAAAAGGCCTTGTGCAGTGTCTTTTCTCTTTGCAAACATATTGGAACCAGCCCTTTGAAGGCTGAATCCTCAAGCATCATTTGAGAAGAGACTTCCTATTATTTCAACTCTAGAAAAGAAGAAAAATAGAAAAGGGAATGCCCACCACAGAAAAATACTGCACCAACAGATCATGTCTCAGACAACACCAAAATTGAAATAAGCACTTATATGGATGGTGAACGGGTTGGTGAGAACTAACACTACCCACACACTGTAGCAGCTGTCAGCAATACTCACTAGTAAAAGCTGACACTGTAGCCTAGGCACAAAGACAAAAAGCAAGACCCAGCACAAAACCATGGCTTACCAGCAACTCGAGACATGAAAAAATGTTCAAAACAACAAACACTTCTATTATTGGCATTACTCTGCATTCCAAAATTCCCCAAACCCCACATTTTAGGTTGTAGCACAACTTCTTAGAGGACAATCTGCATGGTATTCTGCAATTTAAAGCCCTCCCAGAAATAAAAGTCTATATAAACAAACACACACACTCATGAAAAGCACCACAGCACATGATATGAAATGAAAAAAACACAGCAGACTTTCTATCAGTTTAGAGTCATCTGTGTCAGAGCCATGCCCCGCATTAGTCCCAAGTTGAGTTAGGACTAATGAGATGTGCAGTTATCCTGTTTCATCTATCCCTTGGAGCTCCCAATCTTTGTTAAGAGTCTTCTCATTCGAGACACAAATCTAGAAGAACAAAGCAATTTAGTCTAAGAATCACTTGGATACAACAAACTGTTAACTCAGCTAGTGTCAGTGTATGGGGTCTGGCTGGGATGGAGGTCATTTTCCCCACAGCAGCCCTCCCAGTGATGTGCTGTGTACTGGTAACTGGAAAGATGCTGATAACACGTCTGTGTTTTGGCTACTGCTGAGCAGTGCTGGCACAGCATCAAGGCTGCCTCTCCAACATCTTCCCCCCAGCACTGCTGGGGAATATGCAAAGTCTTGGGAGGGGACACAGCCAGGACTGCTAACCCAGCTGACCAGAAGGATATCCCATATGACATCTGCTCAGGAAAAAACCTAAGAGAGAGGAGAAAGGCAGAGAATCCATTATTTAAAACATTTATAATCTGGAGCAACCACTAAGCCTACTGAAGCTCTGCTTCCCAGGAAATAGCTGGACAGCACTTGCTTCTGGGAAGTGGATAATAAAATTTCTTGGGCTTCTTTGCTTCCATAAATGCAATCTTTGCTTTATTAAACTGCCTCTGCTTTTACCCACAAGGTTTTTTCCATCTTATTTTCTTCCCACTGTTCTGCTGAGCAGGGGTGTGATAGAGTGGCTTGGTGGACAAGTGGCATCCAGCCAAGGACAACCCACCACACTCAAGTTGTTTTCCTCACACAGAGGCTCCCAGCTTTGATGGGCCAGGCTTACACTGAACTGCATGATGCCCAGCGGGTATTTACACCATTGCTTGCAAAAATGGTATGAAGACAACAGATTCACTTCCAAGAAGTGCTAAGCCCTGCTTACAACTCTTCCATGCTTTAAGATGGGACCAGAAAGGCTTCTCCTTTCATTATCTCCAGCTTTTACATGGTAAAAGGATGATACTGCACAGTTCACCTGTGCATGGATACCTTTAGAATATAAATCAGCATTGTACAATTCATTGACTGAATAGTGAGCATACATGGGACATTAATTTGTAAGAGAAAAAAGCGGAAATTGTGAAGGAGACAGAAAAAAATTACAGGACAGAAGCCACATAAACTACAGTTCACTGAAATTTCACCTTGTGAAAAATCAGATTTCCAGTCACACCCAAAAAGAACTAAATTTTTAGTTTCCTTGGAACATCCTGAATTTCTATTTACTCTCACCAAGACAGTCTGTACTGAGTTCAGCTCTAATAGCCGCTATGGCTGACCTTAGTGCATTGTTTTCTGAACTCAAGGCTCACCAATTGAACCAAACTCAGAGCTGAAAGAAATACAAATAGGGCCAGGAGTTTCAATACCCACCTTTGGGTTGCTTTATGTTTCTTTTTCTCACATCACACACCTTGACCTATCTGCTAAGCTATGAGAAAGAGGTGTGAGTACCTCAGGACCAGCCAACCTCACCTGTGTGGGCAGGAACTCCATTGAACTCACTGCTGAACTGGAAACAACATGGTTTGAAGCCCAGTATGAACTGTTCATGGTAGCTCTGCCTTTAGACATTTTAATAATCTTTATGGAATCTTTACCACTGAAATTTTGGTTACTACTTCTTCCAAGTGTGTTTTAAATGATGCCAGACATTATCTCTGGTATAGCAAATGCTATTTTTGCTTGGATTAAACTTTTAAAGAAGCAGACAGGCAGTATTCTTTTCACATGAGCCATTTTTCACTTCCTCTGCTTAACAACTATATAAAACACTGCAAATAGTTTGATACTTTAAAATATACAAAATTCTAGGAAGCTCATTATTGCTATTATCCAGATACTACAGTGGTTCTGCTAACACAAGAAACAGACAACAGTAGAGATAAGAACACTTCCCATTCTCCAGAACCTGATAGAACATGGAACAATTTCTAAAATCTGACCTGGATGGACTTGCTATACTGGTGCAGCTGCTTCGTTTGTTACCATGCACCTTGGCGAGGCAGCAGTGCATGCCAAAAATGTGACTCCTAAGAAGATACTTGCACTCTGGAGGGGAAAAAAAATAATAAAAAGGGCATTTTCAAAAAATTGCAAGCATACCTAAACAATTACATATTTATCTAGTATGGCTAATCTATAACATAGGTGTGGTTTTGCAAAATGCCATGGGGATAGTTCCAAGCATAAAAAATCACCCAGCAGAGAACAGGACTGCTGGCAAATTCTAAAAGCATCCACCCTGGAGCACATGCATCACTTCAATCAGTAAGAGTTGCTTACAGGTAAAACAGCAGATGCACCCCAACTATTTCCACTTTTCACCTATCAATAAATCTTGAGGGAAAGGGCAGAACAAACCAGATAAAAGAAAATTAAAGAATGAATGGGGAAAACAGGTTTTGGCAATACAAGAAGACTTAAAGGCCTTCTCAATAATCATAATAATTAAAAGATTTCTTCCTTTCCTATTTAGTAATATTATCTCTTTGCCTTCTGAAAACAGAACTGACACAGGCAAGCATCTTTAGCTTCCACATTAGTTGTCGAGAGCAAAATGGAAGTAGCATGGGCAGGGGTGCTGACAGATAGACTGAAAATGACCAGAGTTACTCCACAAACAGAAGAATCATGGCACACAGATGGAACCTTTTTGCAGTATCACGGAGTGAAGCTGGACTGATTCAGGTTCCCGGTTGCTATAGTGACAGATTTCCCCGTCCGTCCTTGCCATATGTCGGCCCTTCAGTGTTGCTTCCTCTCTCCTCCCTGCTCCAGCCAAAAGCTTGGCTAAAGCAGCCTGCTGTACATGCAAGATCACGCAGTCACCACACATGCACATGCTGTGAAAACAGCCCCACAGGTAATCTGATTCAGATCAATCGCCATAGCAACCCAATCTTTTAGTCCCTAGATTTCAGCCTGTCGGGTGTATTTATAGAGCAGCTGCAGCGCTCCACCCCCTCCGCTCCACCACCAAAGCTCCCAGCACTGCCCACACTGCCAACAAGCTTCACCCAGACACATGGGCTGCCTGCAGCCAGCGCTGAAACACAGCCCTCCTGGCACCTGCATGCCCCAGGCCAGATGACAGCACATCTGCAACATGCCAAAAGCCTCCAGTCCATGAGCCGACCATATCCACGAGTACTACAAATATCAGGAGGCATCCTTGTGCACAGAAAGCTGAGTTACTAACCACAGCTGCTAAAATCTGCTTACCCAGGTACCCACAGGATGCTTGCACAAACATGCAGTGCAGGCACAAAAAGAACGTGCAGAGTGTGCTAACACAAACACACAATCCTAAGAGGAACTTGCAGGCAGCAGCAAAGGCTAAGGAGAGGTTCCAGCAGCACCTGCCCCACAGAGCCACAGCTGCACCCAACCAGTAGCACCTGAAAGCCATGAAGAAAAATCAAGACCAGGGCTTGAATGAGCAACAAGAGATAAGTATGTGAGAAAGAACGGTATGCAAATACTGTTATCTATTTTATTTCATTACACTCTTGGGGAAAACCATCAACAATCAACTAATGCAGGAAAAACACACCATTTCATAGTACTCCACTTCCCAACAGGAAGGAGATGGCAGATTTCAGCCTCAGCTACAGGACATTTCACACGCTTCGATTTAGGTTAAAGACCTTATTTTCCTCCCCTTCTTTACTGTGTGAAACATCTCTCTCGTGATCCTTCCTGGGCAGGATCATTGTGCAGGGCACCACTCACTATAGAATCACAGGAAAAATGCTGGCATAAAAACCCGCTCCCAATCTGGCCAGTTCTCCTGCTCTACACTGTTTGAATTTAAATTCATCTCTCATTCAAAAATCACCTCTGGAGATTTGCATGAGAGAACGGTAACACAAGGCCAACTCTTTTGAAGTCTGTCCTTTTTTGCCCCTCCTTGCAAAACGTCACTATCACAAATTACAAGAGCCTTCTCATTTTCTCTACCTCATCAGCTTTTCACTGATCCTCAAATCTGCACTTGAACATTTTGCAAGGAGTAGGGGTGGGAGGAAGGAAGGGCAAACCAAAGCCCACACAATGCCTCCAGGCCCAATTAGCCTCACACTACCTGCAACCACTACAGCATTACATTTTTTTCCAAACCAGAACTGCTTTTGGCATGAACTTTGAGCTGAGAAATGCTGGTGTTGCTTCTAAGTGTAGCCCAGACCCCAGCACCCACAAGATGCTTCCATTCCCAGCCCTCTGCTGGGAATTTGAGCAGTAGGCCACAGTTCCCATAATGCAGGCACCAGAAGGTTTTTTTCCAATAACCAAACTTGAGCAGTAGGCCACAGTTCCCATAATGCAGAAGGTTTTTTTCCAATAACCAAATAGTGTAAATGTACAGCCATTAAAAAATTAACAAGAAAACAACAAAGCGTGTGACATTTGAGAGAACTGCTGGATGCAGCTGCAACTGCTAAATTATTCAGTGCTTTCCCTTGCCATGGCGCCTCCCCCAGCCACAGTGAGCAGCTCTGGGCCAGGAGACATCACTCACAGCACCACCACCAGCAGATACAGGCACATTCAACTCTTTCCTGGAAATCCATCACACAGACAAATGGGATCTCAACAATAAATTACAGCCATTTGTAAGACAGAGTGGGGGCAATGCTCACAACCAGTGTGGAAACACTGAAACATTGTTCAGGATAATGCAAACCAGAAAATAAAGTACTTTAAATAATCCAGTCATTTGGCTGTTGTTAGCACCTCAGAACTCAGAGCCCCACATCTGTTTTGCCTTGTGTATTAGAAGCACTCAGCCTGTCTCCCCACCTGTGCCACCTGCTTGTTCTTCCTTCCCTCTACACACCTTCCCCTTCTCTTCATCAACACTATGGGAGATCAGAAATTCCTACTCTCAAACCGATCCTACTATTAATTTTGGTAACAAATCATAGTACCAGCTGGTCAAAACTGGAAGGAAATAAAGAGACAAGCCCATTTTCTCTCTACAAGAGCTCTGGGGTGTGAGAAGCATGTTTGGCAGACTCACCCACACGTAAACATTGGGGGAAGCAAGCTCAGAGTGAAGAAGGGACAGGAACCGCCTCAAGCAACTGCTGGAGCCAGCCAGCGACAGAGCAAGGGCTCCCCAGAGGTCCTTCCAGACACTGGCAGTGGCAGTCACCACAGCAAGGCAAGGAGGGAAAACACCACCCTGCTGGGTGTGTCTTAAGACTACTAACAAGAGAGAAGGGAGAAACCAGGTGGCCTGGAGGACGGAAGCAGCATGTCCAGCTCGTGGCTCCAGCAGAGCAGTTGAACTGCTCATCAAGAGGAAACACACCCAGCAGCAGAGCCGGGTGGGTGTGGCTGCAGCAAATTTTGGTGGGTAGTGGTTTTGATTCTTAATTATCTGTATCACAAAAAGCACTCCTCCTGCTAGCTGATGACAAGGAAACAGGCAGAGGCACAACTCCTCATCTCCTGTCACCAGGGCTCTTCCAGAGGAAGGACAAGACAGCAGGGCAAGAAGAGATCCAGGCAAGCTGGTGTCAAAGCTACAGGCAAGAAGGTGATCAAAAGTTTTACATTGACATTGGCAAATTCAGTCAGAATATAATGGGAAGCAGGACACAACCAGGACACTGATGTGACAAAGTAACAGGATATGAAATAAAAGGCTGCTCTGCTCAAAAGATAACACACAGTTCCTGGAGGTCATCAGATAACAAATTTGACAGTAATGTATCTTTGTCCCTCATATAAAAAAGCAAATGTTAATTCCCTGATTGTCACAGCTGTTCAGAGATTAGTTACAAACAAAACAAAAAGGTGATATCTGACAAACATTACCAGATACATCAAAGGCAACATGATGACCAGCTCAGTTTTGAGGAATGCTGCTGCTCTGACATAATGAAGGCAGTAGAAGAAACAGAAAACCATGAAACCTTGTTCCTTGCTGCTACTCTGATGCATTATTTCTCACAGCAACCCAGAAGCACAAGTCTCTTATTTAACTGCAGTGTCTGGGATCACAGCACGAGAACTGCCTCATCTTAGGTAATTTAGGCATATGCAAACAGCACTTCTTATTTCTAAATCCCTGCAAGGGTCCTGCTAGTAGCAGTGATCTAAAGTGAACACAACCTCTCACAATTCAGTGGTTTCTGGGCACCAACAGGCACAACCTCCCCATCTGGGAGTTCTCCAGTGTAAAGACACTTCTGAGCTCCTGGCAGTACATGGGTCAGCTCTTCAGTTTGCTTGGTTTGGGGTTTCAACCAGTTATTCTAGTTCCAAGACAGAAATCACGAGCATGTTTGTCAATAATCAACAGTAATTTCCATGTTGTTTTGACAGGTTTAAGGAGATCCAGTGACAGAGAATCTAGCTGCTCTAAAATTATTTTCCAGCTCAAACAACAGAGCAAAGACCAGCTGAATTATACAGGTTCAGCCACAGAGAGTGAGCAGTAGGTCAGTGGAAGTTTTTCATAGCTCTCAAGGTAGAGAATGAAAAGCAGCAAAGCGTTCTGTCCTCAAAAGAAATATCATAATTATTCCACAGATTAACAGATTATCCCACTAAAATACATTCCCTTGTAATTGATGCCTCATGATGCTCATTTTTATTTCATGTAGTTTCTTATTAGGTCACTGACATTGCTTTCACTTCACAAAAATTCATATCTTGAGATAGATGAAAGCTCTTTAAACTGGGGACATGATATTAATCTTGCATATCAAGCTCTTTCATTCTTTTTTACTAAATCCTTTCCTCATTGCTGCAAATCCCTAATCAGAAGCTGTATCTGTACTTTCCACCAGTGCATTGAATAACCATGTCAACTGCCTGGAAATTTAATGCAGTATATCTTAAATGCAGGCACAACAGGGCCAAAGGACATTGCAGGAATTCATTTAGGTTGTAACATATTCATTGCCCGTCTCCAATTCCTTCCTAATGGAAAGTAAGTGAACCATTCACCTCTGTACTAAGTTTTAACATAAAAGTATTAACATCTTGTGAGTATGATGGCAATTCCAGTTAAAAAATGACAGTGTGAAACG